ACTTGAAGAATTGGGATGAATTATTAGAAATATAGCTTTGCAGTATGTTATCTTGTTCACCACACTCAAGGCTCTTCCACTGTAATGCCGGCATGCCTCAAATGACCTCTCGCACTATCTTGTCTCTCGCCCACAACGTCGATACACCACCTGAGAAACACACCAAAACCCTGTCCTGGCGCCTCTTTAAACACTTGCTAGTGCTTCTTGACGAAAGCCTTTAGTTCCGCGAAGAACTCTTCGATTGGGTTGAAGCGCGGCGAGTACGGAGACAGATAGAGAAGTGCTACGCCAGCGTCCTCACATATCTGACGGAGTCGGTCGGATTGATGGAAATATGCGTTGTCCATCACGAGAACAGAATGTCTCTTAGACTCTGTGCTGCAATGTTGCAAAAGCTGTGCTACAAAATCTTCGTACAAGGCGCTGTCCGTTCCCCCTTAATACACGCGCGAGAGCAGGACACCATCCTGGGTGTATGCTGCTAGGATCTGATGTCGCTGGTTGCGGTGGAACTGAGTGACTTGGACGGGCGTCGTGCCGACAGGCGACCAGCTAGTGCGCTGTGTGCCGATGCGTTTGTCGCAGCTAGACTTATCAATAAAGACGAGCTGATAGGAGCAGAACTGCGAGACTTTGTGAAAGTAGTAGCTTTGAAGATCCGCGTTCTGTTTCCGTGCTACCTGCCGGGTTGTCTTTTTAGATCACTTTATGGACTTCAACGCCCTGCTTACGCTCGCCTGCGACACTCCGATACCAAACGTGTTGCGCACAAAACGAGCCATCTCGTCTTGATACAGCCCTGGCTCTGCGAGAAGATTGATAAATGCTGCTTCGCCAACTTCCTATACCAACGATTCTATAAGCTCTTCCATACGAATGGATGCTGTACCAATGTTATCGGTGGCTTCTCGCTCAATGCGCGCGGTCACGCTCGCGCGAATGAGCTCGGCAACGGTGATAGGAGCTTCAACAGGCGCAGAAAACGAGTCTGACATATCTTTTAGTGGTAGATATGCTAAAGGGATGGGTGGTGTGCTCAAGTGATCGACTTGAATGCTGTATGGAAGGGCAAATGTGAAAGCCTGAAGATAGGTTGTTGGATGAGTTGGAGGTTTAGTTAGAAATGTAGAAGGGATCTTTATACCTATAGGACGACATTAACCTGTGTGGAAACAGTATGTTAATCTTATTCTTGCTTCAAAACTATGTACTCGCAAATGTGCATATGATAGCTGCCAAATCACACAATAATTATCACAGATACATCAGGGACTAGTTGAGGGAAAGCGTAGAAATTATATCCATGCACTAGCGGCAAGTGAACAATGAGTTCTTCAGTCAATTTACGCGTGCTTCTTCGATCCACGTCATAATGGCGGCTCGGGCCAATCAGTGGTGAATTGTGCTTTCACCCTTGGCGGCGCGACTAGCCCAAGCTTGTCCAAGCGTGTTTTACTCCCACAAAACTTGCACAGTATTATTTCACATCATCTGTTCGTCAATCTAGCGGAAATGCCGTCACTCTACTTCATTGTGCGCTTCGAGGCAGCCAATGAGAGCAAATCATCCTGCCGAACCAGGGATATCACGATAACCGGGCTGCCAGCAGCTCTGGAAGCTGACACGACGCGCACTGTCAAGACGTACACTGTTATAGATGAGGAAGTCGCCGGTGGCCCTTGGACATACCGCGTCGCTTTCGATATCATCAACATGAACGGCAAAGACGTGCACGTTTCCTACGGCAGCGTCTCTCGAGACGATGCACTTCATCACCTCAAAGAAATCACCGACTCCGTCAAAGAACATGACGCAGAAAGGGTCAAAAACGACAATATGCGCAACAAAGACCCCGAAGACGACATTTACGATGCGCCCGATAGTAACGACAAAGCTGAAATACAGTGGGAGGACGACACTTGCATCAAGATCAGGCTGCGAAGAGACAGCTTTCTCTGGTACAAGCTGTACATCGTGGATGTAGAGGACCGAGCGAACTGGAGAGCCAAGGAGCCTGACGTGCAGGAAGGCGGAGATAAGAAGAGAAGGAAGATGGATATTGAGGTGGCTGTAGGCGAAGACATGCATTTTTTTGACGATGTCGAGGGCAAGGGCGTGTAGACGTGGCGTAACTCTTAGGACACGAGTACAGAGTGTCTGAAAATTTCCTCAATCAAGCTCATGTCATACTGCGGTTCACCAATCCGCGATTTGCATTTTCACGGCCCTGACTCTTTTGACAAAGTCTTCCATCCTGAAGAGCTATGGCGTCAAATCATGCAATCGCCGCCTAGCTCAACAATGTTGACGTCTGATGCCACGAGGCACCGACCATCTTCCTGTACATCTTTCCCTTAGCGTTGGATCACCATAAGATAATTCGTTAGGCGCTTTCAACATAACCGGAAACAGTCGACTATACGTTTGCTAGTCATCAGTTGGTCGTGAAGTCTAATGATCAGAGGCCGATGCACTCTAATCTGCTTTCTGCACGCTGTTACGCCCAAAAAAAGCTAGTATCCGAGCTTGCAGTATAGTAATCATGATTGCCTATGCTATAATGCAGTCGATATCGAAGCGAGCCACCAAGCCTGAGATTCTCATCCAGCACATTCTAACATCCAGCACTGCAACGTTCCCCACATTAGACCTAGCGCATAACCAATACGATGAGACCGACGTGATTCTCGCGGATGACCCAGAAGGCTGCCACATCATGTTCAGAGCTCGCATACCGAGGACCGACTCATCTTCATGCTGTGCAGTTCGTCGGGGGTGGAAGGTTGACGTTTTGAGCGCTAGGGATAAGCACCTTGAGTGAATGCTGGATTTAAGGAACGCGATGAGAAATAGGATGATTGCCATGGAATGGATACAAAGAAGCAACGCGCAGGAGGGATGGGCTCACATATTGTTGCAACACGATTCGCACGTCGAACAGCATGATTGGTGGGAGTTGAAGTAGTCGTGCCTAAGTATACCATGTCATGAAGAACCTGGCGGGTCGCATGTCCGAAATTCAAGTATTCTTCGAGCAGCTCACAAGTGTCACTGTATGCCTGGGTGAACAGACAATGATTGGTACCTGAACTGCCGTCAGGTCGAACTGACTTGATGCCGAAGTGCCGAAGAGCTCGCTTCAAATCCACACATGTGGATTTGCTACGCCGTAACATAGGCGTGCTTTTTGAGTTGGCCATGCTTGACTGATTGGGAACCTTGACGGTGGCCTTCTCTTTGATCAATATCGACCGTCCACTATCTCAGGCCTAAGAAGTCGGTGAAATGACTTAAGTCATTGATACGACTGAACCGTCGAAAAGAGCAAGTTCAAAACCTCACATATATCTTGCCAGTCATACTTGCGGCTCCGCGGCGTGACGGATACGAAAGGGGTACCAGTCTAGGACAAGTTTGCGAAAAAAGAAGTGTTGCTGCGAGTCGCTGGTGCGTGATAACAGACCCGTTGTGGACCGGACTGAAGGCCATTGTCAGGTCGTCCGATGATGTTGTCGGTGGTGATGTCTTCTTCCGGTGAGCGTTGCACCGTCATTGTCGACGCACGTCCGTGGTTGAAACCCGATGTTATGCCGCGCCTCACGTGATCTCGTGTTCTCGGCGCGGAAAAGCTTACCTAGGTAAATTCGCGCTCGAGCGGCGCCAACCGTCTCGGTTAATAGAGTAGCTCGGAGATTTCCATGTCCACTTCCTTTCCTGTCAGCGCGAGTAATTCCTCATGCCTTGTTCCAGCAGCCAATACCCATCCGAAAATAAAGTGGCCAGCGCACCAATTGGGCTAAGCAGGATGGGATGCTCCGTAGGGTTATCGATTGTCCAGGGTTACCTCAATGTTTCTCCTGGTAGGATTGCGTTCTAGGCTAATCGTCCGCTGCAGTGATCCAGGGGGCAAGGATCGATCGGCACGGAAAGGGTAGGCGACTCCACACCGCTGCTCAAGGATGTACCTCGCCATGCAAGGCGAAAATAGATCCTCATAGCTGCAACCGTTGTAAGCTAGGATCCATTAACACGAGAGACGTGCATCACGTTAGTACTCGGTAGCGGTCAACACTGTATATAACCCAACGATTCTGCTTTGCAAGAAAGACACCACCATCACTCATCACTTCCAACACATCCTTCCATCTACCAACCAACCTTTAATACCATCACCATCAATATGCAGTTCTCCACCGTCGTCCTCGCTCTCGCAGCCACTGCTTCTGCTGCCGTTCTCCCCCGCGCCAACCCCCAGGGACAGTGGCTCGCCAGCCTGACCCTCGGTCCCGTTGTCGAGGATCTCTACCTCACTGCGGAGTTCACTTCCGACGAGTACTCCGGCGACAACAAGCTGCACAACGCCTGCGTCCAGAACGGCGAAGGCTTCCACCGCTGCGACCATGTCGAGTTTGACTTCTCCTACGACGGAGCCAGTAAGTATCCTCTGCAATCGGGATTTCTTGTAACGTGAACTAATCCTTTGCAGCCCTCAACCTCACCCAGAACCTCCCCAACGGTGTCACCGTCTTCGGATCTGTTCCCTTCCCAGTCACCACCTACCAGGAGGATGGTAGCTTCCGTGACACCCAGATCGTCCCTGTCACCAGCGCCATTGCCTAGATATGTGTAACGATGGATGGATATTAGCCTTTCGATCTACTGGCCTTAAAAGTAGTGTGTACATATTGTAATGTAATCCTCAATCTCGGGATCGACGCAAGTTGATCTCGTACCAAAATCTCGCTTCTTTCCGCGTGATCTTCGCCACATGCTTGTTCTTGAGCTAGCTCATCTGGGTGTGATGTGCACTTGCGCATGGCCTTGGTTACAGCGAGGTGTCTATGCATCAACATCCATCGTTAGAATCTGAAAGGATACAAATCGCTTCGTGACCGGTAATCGCAAGTGCGCAGCTGCACTCGTCTCGTCTTTCCTCCACCGACACTCAAACTCATACTCCAACCCCATATCCATAACATCCTTCAACTCCTTCACCGCGAGCTCAGTCACTCTCGTATTGGCCTTGTGAACGTCCCAGTGAATCTCACATCCGTCGATATAGTTTCCGTTCCTTTTCTCAATCGCCACGTCAAATGTAACGTGCGTGGAGGGATCTTGAGGGAGCGTCGTCGATTTCGTTGCCCATGCGTAATTGCGATCTGGAGAGCTAATTGCGGGTTGCTGCGTGGAGAACACCACTTCACTGCGTCTGATGGTAGGTTTGACGAGGGTGGCATGTGAGACGCGGATGATGTAGAATGCCAAGTACATGGTGCAGTTAGGAAATTGGACCACATTGCGAGAGAATTGATCGTGGAGGACTTAGATATGCATGATCTTGGCTTGTGATGAAATGATCAAGCCTGAAGCAAGCGATGTGTAGATTGTCTGTTTGACCACGTGAAGATGGCTGTCAGTTTCGCAAATGCTATAAGCAATCGCGAGAGCCATAAATACCATCTTATTATCCCGTAGTGTTCTGTACCTCAGTCATGACAGGCATGATGCGACTCCCACCAACCCAGATCGACCTCAGCAATCATCAGGCAACCGTCTTCATAATCTTGCGCCGCACAAACCACTTTGCCCAAAAGCCACCCAACCCACGCATCCTGAATCGTACTGTCGCTCAAGCTGGCGAGTTGGAGACACCCTTGGACCCAAGGTACGACTGGTCCGCTCCGACACCCAATCCTGATAGGGGCAACAGGCAGGTCCGCATTGGTGTTGAAAAACCGGACCCGTCTGGTGAATCGACTTGCGCTATCAATGGAGTAGCTTTCCGTTCCCAAACAGGTCTGCAAGCAGGATTGGAGGCTCTCGATACGAAGCTTACAGAGTACCTGAACCTCGACATAGCGATTCTCAGGAATGAAAAGAACGACCGCAAAGTGACAGTCGAACGAACGCACAAAGATGGGGATACTGGACCCACAGGAAGGCTGATACGAATTGCTGTTCATGATACTGACGTCGACAAGAAGCTGTGGATTTGTTGGGAGATACTGGAGGTCCAAATTTACTGATCGATGTTGTTGACAGTCAAGCGAGGATGGGAGATGATACATGGTGTGCTCGCGCACTTCTCGCGGTGGTTTTCCACAGCCGTGGGCGATGTTCAAATGCGATTATAGCTCTCCGCAATACACGCGTCTCCTACAGAATACCTACTGCGCAGCTCTTTCCAGTACCACACAGGTGGCTCAGATAAGTATTGATCCATGACGATGTCGCCACTGCTAGCAGCGACAATGTTTCCTCTACAGTCGACCACATCAACCATTTCCTAGTCTTCATATTGATCCCAGTCTTGACGTTGCTGCCAACACCTCACATCGTAGAGGTCTAAGGGTTCAAGGTGGTTATGGGTTTGACATGGAAATGGAAAAATTAGCGGCTTCCAATCCACAATCGATAATTTCCTCAACGCTGGTTGTAGTATCAGGAAAATTGGTGCCGTCGCTAGAAAGGTCTCGATATAACTATCGATGTGCCCGCCCACGAAATTGGCAGATTCATTCACAGAAAGACCAAGACGCCCAATGCCTTTCGGTAGGCATTTTAATATGCGTTCTGATCGGGAATATACCACCGCATGTGGAACGGGGGGCCTATGGTAATGATTCGGAAGATATCCCTTGAGCGGAAGGAAACTAATAAAGTCGACATCCAGTGCACGTAATCCCCTCAAAGCACTGAAGCATTGTAGCAAGTCTTCATAGTTATCAAGTAAACGTGAAATTTTGTTCCTGATACGTATATTTTCGGAAGGGACTCCCGGTGATCGTTGCAGAGGCGTATCAGTGCTTGATAGGCCTTGGCTCGACTCTGCCCTGGCAAGCGGATCCATACGACTCCAAATCCCTTAAGACGTTGGAAAGACTTGGCCAGAGACATCAGTGGCAACGTTGGGCCATAGCTGCCTGCCAAATTGAAGCATCCGACATTTGACCGCCCACTCCGGAAAGGTTGGTGAAGCTTGTCACGTTTGTCACACTCAACAAACTGAGGCCGTCGCTCGACATAGTCGGTGTGGGGTCTCCCTCTAATACATCATCGCGCCGCTGTCTCAGAAGCCGTGCGCAGAGGAGCCAGTTGTTTTTGTCTGTGTATGTTCGGAATCAGGTGGGCGTGATTCACCTCAGGAACGTAAGGCGACAGAACGCGCTAAAAGCTTAGCGCATCAGATGTCTGACTCGCGCCTTCGAATGCACGTCATGCCCGTTCTGACTCCCCACCAAATCGTCAAGTCGCAACCTTCGACAGACCACTCAACGTCAAAATCAAGATTTATTGCCCCAAAATGTCTCAGAAAGCAGAGAACTTGCTGCAGCGACCGCTTTACGGTAAAATACAAAATGTTCCTCTGCATGTGCATTGCTGACACGCACAGTCTTCGACCTGCCCGAAGAGCTTTTAGCCACTCTCACACTCAAGAACCAATCCGACCGCCCAGTACCACAGTCACCTCCCAGAACTCCGACCCGCACCTCCGAGTCAACCGAAAAGACAGACACAGAGGAAACTGGTCCAGCAAGAGCCACTTCATGTTCTCTGTGCGGCTTGAGCTTCGCGTCAGTCGATGAGCAGCGCAGTCATATCCGGTCTGATCTTCATGGCTACAATCTGAAGCAGAAGATAAAAGGCGCTAAGCCCGTTGGAGAGGCGGACTTTGAGAAGCTGATTGGAGACTTGGACGAGAGCATATCAGGCTCAGAGTCGGACGAATCGGACGATGACGATGACGATCGAAGATGGAAACAAGCCGAAGGACTCGACCTTGAGTGCACTTCTCAAGAAGCAGGCCAAGATATCGAACCCAGAATTTGACGAGTTTGCTGCGCGGAAGAAGCAGCGCGGGCCTGGCAAGCCACCGTTATTGTGGTTTGGATCACCATCTTTGCCAGAGAACCTATCGCTAGGAGTCTACCGTGCCATATTTTCGAACGAAGAGCAAGAGGAGGAATCGCACATCTTGGAGACAATACGGAAGAAACAGCTGTCACCCACGCAGCCTCCAAAAGTTAAGCCTGATGGTGGCGTCCCTTTGCCTGGTGCAGACATCGGTCCTCACTACTTCCTTTGTATGATAGGAGGTGGTCATTTTGCGGCCATGGTCGTAGCTCTGGCGCCTAAGATGGGCAAGAAACACACCGGTGTGGATGAGCGGTCGGCGACAGTGATTGCACACAAGACCTTCCACCGATATACCACTCGACGGAAGCAAGGTGGATCGCAATCGGCAAACGACAACGCAAAAGGGAACGCGCATTCTGCCGGATCTTCGATACGTCGATACAACGAAACTGCACTCGTGAATGAAGTGCGCGAGCTCCTGTCGAGCTGGAAGGCAATGATTGACACAGCCGAGCTTGTCTTCGTTCGGGCGACTGGCGCGACCAACCGACGGACATTGTTTGGGCCATACGAAGGCCAGGTCTTGCGAAACAACGACCCGCGTAATCGAGGATTCCCGTTTAGTACACGACGTGCAACACAGAAGGAACTCATGCGCGCATTTGTGGAGCTTACTCGCGTCAAGCAAAGCACCATCGACGAGGCTGCTCTTGCTGCGTTGAACGCTCCTCCAGCCGAGACCGCACCGACACCCGCTCCAGTGAAGCCGAAGGCACAGAAGCCATCAAAAGAAGAAGAGGAAGCTACTTTACATACCGTCACAAATTATACCCTTGATCAAGCGGTCAAAGGTGCCGGCGCTGCTCAACTATCTAAAGTCTAACAACGTTCCGCCAACCTTCAACTTTCTACCCGTAAATCACCATACGCCAACGCCGCTTCATCTTGCTGCATCATTAAATTCCGCACCCATCGTTCTCGCCCTGCTGACCAAAGGTGGCGCAGATCCTACCATCATGAACGATGATGCTCGTACACCTTTCACTGTAGCTGGTGACCGCGCAACACGTGATGCGTTCCGAGTCGCGCGACATGAGCTTGGCGAGTCGGTCTGGCAGTGGGATCAAGCCGGAGTACCTTCTGCACTTTCTAGAGCAGATGCTGAAAAGCGCGACACTCAGGAGAAGACGGAGAAGGCTGCAGAAAGCAAGGCGGAGTCCGAAAGACGGAAAGCGGAGACAGAGCGCGTGCGGAAAGAAGGCGAAGCCGAAGAGGCCAGACGGAGGGAGCAGCGATTGGGCAAGGGTAAAGCGTTGGGCGTTTTGCCTGTCAAGACTGGTGCGGAGCTGAGAGAGGAGGAGGCACGAGGTTTGACACCAGAAGCCAGAGCAAAGATAGAAAGGGAGCGAAGAGCTAGGGCGGCAGAGGAAAGGTTCAAGAGGATGCAGGGGAGCTGAAACCTTCTCTGTTGAACATGATGAAATGCAATAAATCATGTCAGCCGGTATCCGGCTGACTTCATTTTGATTCCATGCTTCGTGAGATCTTTCATATATTTACATGTCTTTTCCTAGCGTTGCCTACAAAGCACCAAGCTCCTTCAACTTGCTGATCATGCCATCAACATCCTCAACCTTGACTCCCGCCTTTCTTGCCTCGGGCTCCGCCACCTTGACCGTCTTCAACCGCAACTCGGTATCCAGTCCATAATCGCCAAGAGTCTTCTTATCCAGCTTCTTCTTCTTGGCCTTCATGATGTTCGGCAAACTAGCATATCTCGGCTCATTCAAGCGCAAATCTGTTGTGATGACCATGGGCAGCTTCGCCTTGAGCGTCTCCACACCGCCATCAACTTCGCGAATAACCTCCACCGTCTCATCCTTGAAAGTAATCTTCGACGCCTGTGTCGCCTGTGGCCAATTCAACAGACCCGCAAGCATCTGTCCCGTCTGCCCCGCATCATCATCGATACTCTGCTTGCCCAGAATGACCAAACTGCTCTTGTTCTCATCGACGACTTTCTTCAACAGCTTAGCAACGCCTAATGGCTCCAAGGCGTCCTTTTCCTCGACCACAACGTGCAGGCCGCGATCGGCGCCCATGGCCATTGCGGTGCGCAGGATGTCCTGGGATTTCGGCGGGCCGGCGCTGAAAGCGACGATTTCTTCGACTTTGGGCGCGGAGGTGTGGTGCCCTTTTTGCTCGCGCACGCGCACGGCTTCTTCGATGGAGAGCTCGTCAAAGGGGTTCATTGAGTGTTTTACGTTGGCGGTTTCGACGGCGGTTTGGGCGCGGTTGACACGGGGTTTGACCTTTACTCGATATTAGCTACATGTGAGCCTTCGGTAGTTTGGCTTGTGGATAATGGTCATGTTCGTCATCCATTATGTTCATGGTGGTGACATTTCATGGTTGAAAGTTTCGTAGTGTTTAACTTACCGCATAGTCGATAACCCGCTTTACGGGCACTAATATCCTCAGACTTGACATTGTGATGTGTGTTGTTCGGCGTCCACAATTCGTTGCGAAATGCTGCAGATGTTGTCACGATCAGAGGCAAGGGTGGGGGATAGCATCGGAGCTTCAATTGTCTTAGCCGAGGCGTTTCCGTAGCGGCCTTGGCGGCGTGTATGACATCGCACGGAAATGGGCCGCCTACCTACAATGTACATCTATCTCATCACAGTCGGATCTTGATCCTAGTGTGAAAAATTGTGATTATTTGTAGTTTGATTTATGAACTCAGTATAGGATGAGCGCTGTGTAAGTTGCAGGAAAGATATTTACGGCTCATGGGTTATTTGCCTGAGGTCAGGGTAACGACTGTTTCTCCCCCTTCTTCTTCAACTCTTTCATTCCTTCCTAACGTTGCGCTCTTTGCAACGCCTTCTTGAATTTTCTTTCTTGCACATTCCGAGCTTGGGAAGACCTAGCATGCCGACCGCCAGGGCTTCCAGAGTTGACAAAACGGCTCTGCTCTTGCACAGGCTCGGCAACCCTCTATAATTCCATCATGCCGAACATTCTTGTTATCTCCCTTGCTGGCTTTACTGTTCTATCCTGTGACATGTATCCTCGGCTGAACCTTAAGCTATTGACACGCGCCGCCGTCCACGAGTCCTTTATCCCGGAAGATGCTCTTCATTACATTGGCATCAGTTGGCCGCAGATCATACTCGTCTCCGACTCCGCAATTCTCGACCAAGAGAATGAGCGCCTTCTCGAAGCTGTCACGGAACAGGTGAAGTATGGGTGCACAATGGTCTGCATGGGCACTTTCGCAACCACGGCCCCGTATGATAAACTGGACTCCATGTTCAAGGAACGTTTCGGCCTCGGATGGCGTGTCTACGAGTTCACGACGCGAACAGTACGTCTTTGGCATAAGGTCCAACAGGCGATGGTCAGCAGGACGAGTCTGGTGTCGATGTTCTCCGCGGAGGCTGTCTTCCTGCGCCATGTACCTACGAAAGAGATGGTGTATGTTGATGATTCGAGCGACCACACATACGCTGCCTTCGCAAGAGTTGGATACGGGAAGCTAGGGTATATTGGAGACGTGAACTTCATGGAGGAGCCTGAACATTTGATATTGGGAATGTGTCAGATCGATTGGCCTGCAGACGCGCCGCGGGCTATCGTATAACGATTTGGCATGGAAAACCCTCACTACGACACCAATGTCCATTACACATCTTGATATCAGTAAGGTGGGAATAATAACGCCTATCTCGGAGATAGGCAGATTACCCCGCTGCGGCAGATGAGTCCAAGCTCCTGCCTCATTTGGAGTTCAACCTATGGTATACATTGGTTTGTTTTAACAATCAAGATTGCAACCGTTCTCTAAACCACTTCACATCTCTCACAAGCGATCATTATATTCATGCTTGACGCCACATTCTGCTAAGTAATTTGATATCATCTCGGCTATCGACATGGCTTCCACTGTGCCCACAGAACCACATCGCAAAGCCATCATCGGCTCCGCGTCGAACTTCTGGATTCATTCTTCTCAGACTGGGTTCGATCTTACACACCCTGCCGATCCATCTAATTCAACAACAATACCAAAAATAACCATACAAACCACCAACACTCCGATTACCGTCGCACCATCCAAGTCTGCACTTGTCATCATCGATATGCAAAACTTCTTTCTCTCTTCAGCATTTGGTCGCAAGAAAGGCGCGGGTCATTCTGCCTGCGAACAACTTGTGCAACACGCCATACCCGCAGCTCGCAAGGCAGGCATCCGTATCATTTGGCTAAACTGGGGATTGTCAGAGCAAGAAGTTAAAAATATGCCACCAGCAGTCAAGCGTGCATTCGGCTTCTTCGCCATCCCAGCAGACTCTGATATCAGGACTGGCAAAGGAGCATTCGGCGACTATCCGGCAAGCGTGAGCGTCAACAGGCACGGCGCCCTCCGTGACAAGCAATCCGCATACAAAGGCCTAGGCACTGACTGCGGCACCCTCACTCTCGAAGATGGCACCAAAATCGACGCTGGAAAACTGCTCATGCGCGACCAATGGAACGCCGCTTTATACCCACCTCTCGACACCATATACACTCAAGGCTCCCAACTCCCCAACATCCCAGACGTCTGGATTCACAAAGACCGCATGTCCGGACTGTGGGGTGCCAAAACTGCGTGCGAGGAGTTTCTGGAGAAAGAGGAGGTTAAGACATTGTTCTTTACCGGTGTCAACACGGATCAGTGTGTGGGTGGCACGCTGACAGATGCATTTAGTAAAGGGTATGATTGCGTGCTATTGAGTGATGGATGTGGGACTACGAGTCCGGAGAGTGCGCAGGAGTGCTATGAGTATAATAGTGCGAACACGTATGGGTTTTGTACGAGTTGTAGGGAGTTTGCGGAGGGGGTGGAGAGGAGTTTGGGATAGTACTCGCCATATTTTGCCGGTATAGATATTCGTTGTTTGGCAGTGTAAGCGGTTGAAAACACGTGCTATAATCACTTCTACTTGTCTGAGATGTCAAGAATAGTAGCCATGCATATCAACATAAGAAGTACTATGTCGGTAATCGGTGTAATTGTATCCGCACAGGTTTGTAATCATGGAATCACACAGCCAATCAATCCGTGGGCTGTGGCTGACAAAGATCACACACGGATCACGGCACGGGTGTTTGAGCTCCGATTAGCGCCGGATTACCAACTTCTCGTTTCCCCTGCGTCAATATGCAGCTCACCGTCCAATGTGACCACACGCGTATCTGTACTGAGCGTTACAATGGTGAGATATCGTTAATGAAATTTCTGGTCTGACCACCGTTCAGATATTCGTCCGTGTAGGGTGCACCATACACTGTAAGAGGTCCGAGTGTGATTCACAAGAGAATATATGTATTCATTGTAGACGCAATGTGAATCCCATATGCCCTATTAACACCTCACCACACTTTGAGAGCTTCGGTTCTTTTCATTGTCCAGATTGAGCCTTGAGATCTTGCCAACTTTCTTGCCAACACCTTTTCAACATTTTCATCATTCCATACGATGGCTGAACAACGTAACATCGTAGTTGTTGGCGGTAGTATCGGTGGGTTGATGGTCGCACACGACGTCCTGAAGAACATCCTCCCAGTGCTCAAGGACAAGGCCGATGCGAATTACCATGTGTATCTCATCAACCCCTCTTCGAACTGGTATTATAAAGTGGCCGCTCCACGTGCGTCAGCCTCGACTACTCGTATGGCCGCTGAGAAGCTCATGTTTAACATCGAGGATGGTTTCAAACAATATTCAGCAGACGACTTTACGTTCATTGAGGCTACTGCTACAGGGCTCAACATCACCTCACGCACTGTATCATACAAGAGTCGGAAGTCCTTGGACGATGAGTACCTCGCATACCATGCCCTTATTGTCGCAACAGGAAGCAATACTTATTACCAGGCCTTCTCCCAAAGCGCTGCTACACAAGACGTCTTCGATGCTATCAAGACCACGAACGAAAAGGTCGACTCAGCGAACGACATCGTCATCGTTGGCGGAGGTCCCACAGCCATCGAGTTCGCCGCCGAAGTAGCAGAACATCGTAACGGAAAGCCTGGGTGGTTTACCAATGCCGAGCGAAAAGTTAACATCACACTCATTACCACGACTGATCGTTTACTCACCTCCCTCCGCCCTGCCATCGGTCAAGCCGCAGAGCGAAAACTCAAAACCATGGGTGTCGATGTCGTCCTCAATACTCGCGTCGTCGGCGCAGAAAAGAACAGACTCGGCCGCACAACCGTCACTCTTGCCCAAGGCGAGACTCTCGAGACGGATCTCTATGTCCCCGCCTATGGCGTCGAACCTAACTCCTCATGGTTGCCCACCTCGCTCCTCGACGAGAGGAAGTACCTCGTAACAAACGACACCCTCCGCGTAGAAGGTGCTGGCTCACGAGTCTACGCCATTGGCGACGTAGGGTCCTACTCGCACAACAACATTTGGGACATTCTTGACTCAATACCCGTCCTCGCTGTGAACATGAAGCGCGATCTTCTATCATATAATGCTATGCTGCCGAATGAGAAACCAAGAGGCAAGGATCGTATGTTCAAGACGGAAACGCGCGAGCGCATGGCGGTGCCCATGGGAACGAGTGGGGGTGTGGGTGCGTTCATGGGGTGGTGGTTGCCAAGTTGGGCGGTTTGGTTGGGTAAAGGAAGGGATTATTTGATTGGCATGGCCGGATTGCCGACAGTGAATGGGAAGGCTGTCAAGAAGACGGTTTGGACGAGAGAGGAGGCTGCGATATGACCTTCCCATGTTGTTCGATCAGTTCTTGCGTTCCAGCGTTTCTTCGGATTTTCTGTCGTGTTCCGTTTTCTTCTAGACTGAGCTCCATCTCCTACCGTGTAAGGCTGTTTCTTCCAGCACGTGGCCCAATATCGTTTGACGTCAATATAAGTGGGGCTTCTCTGTCTCTCACTCATATTCCAACTCACAGTTTGTGCAACCGCTGCCAAATTTTGCAACAACCTCAAGACCATGGCTGATCAGGATCCGGAAATCGAATCGAGGAGAGCATGTCTACATCGTCGCATGCGCCAGTAAGAGTGCGCTCACTCATAGTAGCAACCATAAAACTGACATGTGAAACAGGACAGATTTGAAGCGCAGTGATGGCCAGAAGCTGTACGTAACAAAGCTCTCTTTTCTCGTACACGTGTCCATATGTACTCCGGGACTTTAGCTGAAGAAAGTGCTGTCCAGTCTAGACGATCTTAACGAAGAGATGGTAGCCCTGTCTAAGCTCATAGAGGAAGCGGAGGATTACGTGGATACTACGACGAGGTAGAAAAGGTCTGCAAGTTTTCATATATCCACTAACACTTAGATGGATCTGCGGATGAGGCTTTCGATGACTGCTTGAAGCTAGAGGTACGTCTAATCACAGACGCCATGAAGGAAATATTGCCACGAGAGCTCAGAGACATGATCTGGTCGTTCTGTTGGGCTGAGAGTCTCAACAAATATGAGGCCTGCGATAATGAGCGTCCCTGGAGAGCCCATAGCGTGCATGAGGATACCGTCACCGGTGTGGAGTACGAAGAGTCCGAGTATGATATTGAACCACACAGGCGCGCACAAGCTCTAGGGCAATATCCGATCGGACACCTCGCAGACACGGAATACATGAGCCCAAATTCAGCTCGCGAATCTGCAGAGATGTTTTACAGGATGGCACCCGCCTTTATTGAAACGCTCGATCAACGCGCCCTACAGAATTACTTCTGCAACGACATCTTTGGCCTGGGCCTGGAACCTCGAAACTACGTCACCTCGGTTGTCTTCTTCCTCCACCATTGCGAGTTCCGTGAAGATATCGATTGGGGACGGCCCGGCCGATGTCTCAGCTTCCTCAGGCTGCACAAAGAAAGCAAGCATACCATATTTGGATGCAGACGAGACAGATTACCTGGTGTCGTCTTCCACACCTCTGGCAATGCCACTACAGTTCAGAAGCTTCTTGATAAGGCTATCCAACTGTTTCACCAGCTCAACGATATCCGTGCAACAATCACTATTAAATCGGATTTGCACCGGACCAAGGACTTTCCGTGAAGCAAGTAGGGAGGGCATAGTTTTTGGAGGTCTGTTTCGAAAAAGGTTTCACAGGCAATGATTTGGCGCCGTCGTTGAAATGCCTCAAGTCCACTGTCCCGATCAAAATGGTTCAGTGCTTTATAATTACGAGCTATCGATGGCACACTATTACGTGCAGCACATCATGGCCTCCCTAGCACGAATGGAATTAATACCAATAATTTTCCAGCGGTTGAGTCACACACAAGATCGAACGTAGGGAGAATGAGCAAAGCATATGATATTGAGATTGGTGTTGAATTCTTGGTCTTTTCTGCTACTTGCGCATCTACCTTCTAAGCCCCATGATCAGTCCTCACAACTAGGCAAATGACCGCACAGAGAGCGTCCTGCCGTTAACCATCGTCGAAATTATTTGGTCTTTAACCTGCAAAGTATCCAAAGCCACACGAACGTACCACGCGCAACCTTGCTGATCCGCGTCCAAGAACGCCGCGGAGTTAATGTCAGGCAAGTATTTGTGCTTGCCGGCAATCTTTTGATGCCTGAAACCTTTGATACTTTCGTCTGCGATGGCTTCGTTGAATGTAGCCGTTTGGATGGCAACGTGGGGTGGGGCGTGTTGGGTACTCGCAACGTTGACGCACACGTTGTTGTGTAGGTCGTTGTTGGGGTTTGTGATGTTGGAGCTGATGTATGAGCCGTTGGCGAAGTTCAGCAACATGGTGTTGGTGCCGCTGGCCCAGGTAGAGACGGTCACGACGAAGTCGGGCAAGGCGCTGGATTCGGTCTCGATGTAGACGATGACGTGGAGTTGAGACATGGTTGAATGCTGCGAGAGGCTGATGGGCTGCCTTGGTATCTTGAGATAGAGCTATATATGATCCCAGAGGCGCCATGATCATGTGAAGAAACCAAGCTTGGTGTTTGTGTTTGGTGAGTCGGCGTGACTGCGATATCGCTTGCTCATAGTCCTCCGTAGATTGCGAATGACGACAGGATGAGCACGAGGGTGTTGATGATGCCCCATACGAATGGGATCCAGGTTGACATCTCAAAGTATCCTGCTTGATATACTCCTCCCAGCCTACACATGGTCAGTGTCTCCCAGTCTGTGTCTTTGAAATGGAACATCTTACAGTCCACCAACGATTGCACCGCTCACCAATGCCTCAATACCGCCAACCACGATAAACAGAGCTGGTGCAATCCATATGAGTTTCCAATTGCGCCATTGCACTATGCAGGCCCACAGCGCAACGATCAAGTGGATACCACCAACGAGTAGCAGGGTCCAGTAGACGGTGAAGCGGAGGATGTCGCTGGGTTTGTAGAGGTAATAAGAGGTAGCGGCGCCGATGGGGAGAGGCCAGTAGAGGGACGGGAAGTCGGGTGTTGTGTAGCCCAGGGGAACGGCGCTCTTCGCGCGCTGGATGAAGCTGTGGAATTGTCAGAAAGGAGCTCCGCGAGAACCACGGGTAAGATTGGATTGGTATACCTCATGATGCCATCATTGGGATGGCTCTATCCTCTATCGTGTGGAATGATACGGATTACTTGCCTATGCGCGGTCGCGATACAACTTTGCAGCATCGAAAGCATGTGACGTCGAATCGCTCGGGAGTGAATGTTTCGTGGCCCGAGCTCACTGACCTCGGTCCAAGCATCGCGGCGCGACAACACCAGCCTCAACCCTCGCGCGATCACATCTCCATGCGCAGCTACGGCCGTCTGCGAAAGACATTGCGCCGTCACGATGCCGGTTGATCGTCTCCTAACGACGCTTTTGCGGTCACTGCAGACTTACACAGACCAACAAGACACTCCTCGGTTCGCATCTCGAGTCCCGTCCTGCGCGCATCATACTGACAACCTCAGGATCCTCGGAACAGCATCTTCACTTCTCACATCTCTGGGAAACCCGCACAATCTCAGCCTCCTCACCTCGCATCTCCTCACCGCGCCTGCTTTTTGGGACCGGCCCGATGGCGTCCGAACCCCCTTGCGCCTCCTCTCCGTCTTCCACGCTGCTGTCACGACCATCGTAAACTACCACAACGAAGTACGATGGAAGAAAGCCCCCAAACCTGAGCCGGGCCAGCTTCCCGTGGGCGGGGGCCTGTCTCTAGACGAATGGATCCGTGCCGTAGTGGCTGGCGCAGACGACCGAAGCCAAAGATGGAAGCACCTCATCGTTCTTGGAGGGCTTCTGATCGGCATCGGAAGTCTGGAAGAGCAAGGAATGGACCTCTACTGGGCCTCTTCCATGAGGAAACTGGTGGAAGGCGCCTTGGTGCGCGCCACAAACCTGGCGCTGGTCGAGGTCAGGGAGCGGAATGAGGTGGATGGACTCGGAGGACAGACGATTACCCTGGCACTGAACCATGCATTTGGATGTCTTGCCGATGTAGAGAGAGCACAAATAGACTACGATCTGCTGCTACCGGTACTGATTGGTACTGCATACTACTCGAGTGAAGGCTTCCAGTCGGCATACTTCCTCGGAGGGTTGGACCTCGACGTGCAGGTAGCACAGTCAGGGAAGCTGGATTGGAGTGTAAGTACATGGCAAAAAACATGAGCTTATATTCGGCTAATCAATGCAGACCCGCTCCAGCTCCTACAGACAGGTCGAAGGCATCATGAATCGACCCCTTGTGGCCTCCATGGGACCCCTGTCAAGGCTCATTGCACATGCAGTGGAGAACGCGAAGAATCCATGGATCATCCAAACAATGATGGACGACCTGGCGAGCTTCTCTCGAGCACTCACGACTCAGTGGCGACAGATCAAGTTCTCTGACATCGAGCCTGCGGAGGAGTCGGCGCAACTAGAGGATGAAGCGCTCCATCGCAGCACGCCGCAACTGTGGAAGCTGCTCAAGGCCGCTCTATTCGCAACTACCATCATTCTCCGCGGCGTATTTACTCGGACTTTGCGCGACCGAGCACTTGCAGCCGATGCGATAGCCCCCATGCTAGCATCACAAGCTCTGCATACCCTCCGACATCTCTACTTCATCACATCCCGATTAGGTCCAGCATCTTTCTCCCAACATACCTTTGTCTACTTGACAGCCATCGACATCCTTGCTGCCTACCCAAACCACACAGACAAATTCCTAAAATCGATCGCACCGCAGCAGCTTGGCCACATCCCACGACACCCACTTGACCGCATATTGGATCTTTACTTCCTGAACACGGCAGAGCACTTCACGCTCATACTTTCAACTAAGACGAATGAAGACCTGCTGGTAGCTTCAGCGATGCCATACCTAGCAGCAGGAGAGAATCGACATATGCTGCCCGTCTTTGAGGCTGCGCACAGTGTCATGCTCGCTGTACTCACCGCACCGCAATCCGCAGAAATCACTGCAAAGCACCTGCCGTTTTACATCGACGCGCTGTTCAGTGTCTTTCCCCACAATCTTTCGCCACGACAGTTCCGACTGGCATTCAAGACTTTGATGCGTGTGACGGCGCCACCATCAGCACTTTCAGCTACCCATCCAGATCTGCCTGCAACATTACTGGAGCTTGTTTTCCACCGAGCATTGAGCGCACCAGCGCAACCACTCCCGCCCGATGAGACAGCTCTTGCACTCCAAGGCTCAGATGCGCCGCCTCCTCCACTTTCGGAACAAGCCGTGCTCGCTCTAACCCTCATCGACGCTCTTCCAATGCTTCCTATCCCGTTGCTAGAAGAGTGGCTCCCGTTATGTGCCGACTTACTGAATCGCATTGAAGACGATGACATGCGAGAGATTGTGAAAGCAAGGTACTGGGAAGTGCTAGTGAGTGGTGAGATGGACCCGGAACGCAGCAGTGCATCAGTCACATGGTGGACCACAAGAGGAGGACGAGAATTGGTCTTATTTGGAAGAGAAAACATGCAATATGGCATGATGAGTGGAGCATTGCCAGTCGAAGAGAGAGTTGTGCGAGAAAGCAAATTGTAGGATGATACCCGTCGACTCAAAGTCTGACATAAATGACACAGCAACTTTCGATATTGTGTTACGCATCTTGCTCTCGGACTGGACTGATTGGGTTTGGTAATATGCAAACGCCCGCCATCCGTGCTCATCTCCGTTGGGACAAACAAACAGACTTGTTGACACATCAGTCGCTTTGGCGTTACGATCTCTCTTTCCGTCGCAGTCTTTCCTTCAGCAATTTCACTCACGACGATGGACTGCCAACCATCTGACACTGATCGTGGTGAGCCGACTTACACCGAACCGCCGCGCGGAGACGACTGTGACAAGTCGCTACCGAAGAACTTCGACAAACCCCTAACGTGCTTCTTCTGGTACCAGACCGGACGATGCAGTAAGCGCGATATCGATTGCATCTATGCACACTACGATACGGGATACTATGCAGCCGGGCCTATTCACGTGGCGCGTCGTACGTGGATCGCTGTCTATACAACATGTCGTGTTACTTACTTTGACCAGCAACCGGTACTATTGCCGTAGCCGGAAGGAATGCTCGTCAAATGAGCTCGACCAACGCACCGCTGCAGATTCTACCTTCGATTGCAGACCTTCACCTAAAAGCGGCGCGGCTTGCTGCTTGGGAGCAAGAGTTGATGAGGCGGGAAGCGTCGGTCACGCTGAGGGAGCAGCAGCTGAACTCGACCCTGCATGGGGGAAGGCCATCGAGGGCCAGGCGACAGGAGCGTGGGGCGAGAAATAGGGGAGAGCTCAGGACGGTCGATCGCAGACGTCGCGAAGGCGCTGCATAAGGTACGTTGCGTGGGCAGCTTGGACAGAGACCGTTGTTTGGTCAACGTCCACATACATTTTCTTGGGGCTATTGCTGATGCTCTCATCTCGCCAGGGCTGTCTCTACTATGCCTTTAAGCATGACCCTCTTTACACCTAGACAGGTGGCTGCCGATATGAAAAGTTCGACGTCACAGAGTTATGTTACCTATAGAGGCTTCGCTTAGCTCGGCAGATTTCTCGTTCAGCGGCAGATAATAATGGCAACTACAAAGAAATACTCGATCTTCGCTGCACTGAAGTGAGACATGGACCCCACCAACCAAGTCTCAACCAAGTTTACCGAAGCCTCTCGCTACCTGGTGCAGTCGTTTATACAGTTGTCGTACGATGTCATTTAGACTGGAACCCATGTTGCTCCCGCATTTTCCAGTTATCCCACGTGTCTCGTACACCGGTACACAATTCCAAGGCTGGAATGATACACACTGGCCACCGACGAGTGTCTAGAAGCTAGAGTGATTCTGCATTACCTTGAAGCGGGTGGCGCAAGTGCTCGCCAGAGACATTACCATGAGCGTCCAACACACGAGCATCCCGGCCAAATTTTCTCGAGTACCGACGAGACATGATGGCTTCGGCACTTCTGAGGGGACGAAAGTATAAAGCTGCCCATGACGGAAATTTGGCAACCTACCTCTTATTTCGCAAACTGAAGTCAATTTACTCACGCGCAATCGACACATTGATTCGACAGTCAGGCGTCCAGGCAGCATCTTAATATGAGTGCACTAGGTAAAGTTCGCATTGGCCATAAGGCGCCAGACTTCCACTGCGAGGCCGTCATGAAAGGCGTGATCGAAGGTCCGTCTTCCTCTTCCGCCCCAAGGATACTTGCTTATCCATATAACTATAATAGAAGTCAGCCTTAGCACCTACATTCGTCCTTCCATCAAGCCCGGAGAACCTAATCACGACGCACCATGGCTCATCATTCTCTTTATCCCTGCGGCATTCAGCTTCGTGTGCCCAACAGAGGTGCTGGCTTTCCAGAACTGCCTGGATGAGTTCAAGGACCGTAATTGTAGCGTCATCTTCATTTCCGTGGACACGAAACATGCTCTATGGCATTGGCAAAATGTTCCAAGGCAGTATGGCGGCCTAGGGATGATCGATATCTCGTTGCTGAGTGATGCAACACATCGCATAAGCCAGGACTATGGGGTTTTGATCGAGGATGAAGGTATTAGTTTACGGGGCATGTTCATCATTGATGGAGAGGGGATTGTTCAGCAGGTTAGTCTATACAACTTGATTGCCCTACTCGTGACCCATAGCAGCAGAACTTTTCGAGGCCATCTCGACTGACGACAGCTAGATTACACTCAACGCCCTTACCGTTGGTCGCAGCGTGTTGGAAGCTCTACGTCTTCTAGAGGCCTTTCAGGCTGTTGCCAAACACGGCGTTCTCTGTCCGATCGACTGGAAGCCGAGTGGTGATGCGGCAGATACGCTCAACACCATCTCTAACACGTTGACCGAGTCGTATGATGAGAGGCTTGCTAACCTGCAGAAAGAATTTGGTAGCGTACAGGTCACAGATCTCGACGCGAAGCAGAAGAGTGGAGGCTCTATCGACGGCGATTCCCAAGCCAACGAGAGCTATCCAGAGGAGACAATGCCAAAATCATCGACCGAACGTGTGCGCTCGGATTCCAGATCCCAAAGGCCTATCATCCAGGAGGTAAAGTGTGAGCGCGGTCAGCAAATTAGGCCTCCCAACAGCCATACTGGCAGCGACTGTCTGCCACATCCGCCGTCACCGCCACCGAAGCCAACCCACGCCGACAACAGCTCTGCCCAACCAACATCAGCCCCCCACTGTAGGAGCATGACTCCCGTAGGAACCTCTTCGACACAACCCACCGCAAACCGGCGAAGCGGCGCGCGTCATACAAGAGGTATGGGCCCCCGCTGCAACGCTCACTACATCAACAATCTCTTCACTCAGCCCTCTCCCTCCATCTTCCACCCTCACATCCGCCGCCTCTCGTCCCAAACATCCTCGTCTGACACATCTGACTAGGCCACTCGACCGCGCCTCCATGCCTCCTGCGCGCCCAGTCCAGCAACTCCGTCGTCCAGCAGCGTCTGGCGTCACGCAACACTGCGAATACGTACGAGAGCAGGCGTGGAAGCCAGGTCGTGCTGGAATTCGCGGATCCCACTGCTGCCAGTCCCAAGGGCAGTCCACAGCCTGCGTCGTTCCCCAAGGCTCCGGCGTTGACGAGGGCGGCAAGTTGGCAGTGTTCCACAGCGGCCAACGGGGGTGGGTGGAAGAGCCCTGGTACGCCGGGGCAGACGAGGCTGCAGCAGACATTTGACACGATTAAGAAGATAAGTGCGGGGCTGGCGAGCCCGAGATTGGATTATGGGAGGGATTGGGGGAGCAGGAGTGGGAGTGGGAGCAATGCCGGGGATGCTAAAAGCTATTTTGACGTTGTTGTTGAGGGGAATGAGGCGGAGTCTTAGGAGGGCTGAGTGTTCATACTGCTGTTTCTTTTTTATCGGGAAAGATTGTAGGCTTAGACCAGATTTAATATTGTGGTAGTTGTCCATAGTTCTCGATGCTCTGTTCAATGTAGTCTTGAGGTCAACAACAACCTTTTCGTGCGCGCCCTGCACATGCTAACAATGTCTACCTTCCTAACAGCCAGCATCGAAATCGAACCCGTGCAGCCGTAGAAATATGCCTAATCATTACTTTGGGGTCCCCAGAGAACCCTCACTTGGTTGGGGCTGTACATTACGGTGATGGAAGGCCGGTGGTTCTTACTTAGTTGGGACAGCTGCAACAGGGACTCGTTTCGCACCATTTCCCAACTCGAGCGGTGCGTCCCGCGCTGCACATCTACGCCTCGTCATACCTTGCTCCCCCCACGTTGCCGCCCCAAATGCGGGGTGAATAGAACTGCACATGGACTTCGTAAGCATTCCGCAGTCTTCAAATGTGTACACAGTTAGCTAACGCTCTTCCAGTGGGTCAGGCTGCTCGGCGGCTCCTCCCAGAAGAAGCAAGCCGCGCCAAACAACCCCCAACAGCGTCTGGCACGCTTCCGACAGCGATACAATCAAGTCCTGGTCCGTCGCATGTGTGTTTATGGGGGATGGAGGGCTAATTGGGGGTACAGCAAACATGGCAAAAAGCGCAAAACCTCGCGAGCGACCGCGAAGCGCTGGGCAACATCCGCCGCGGCTTCCAGGCGCTCACGGCTATCCTCAACGATGAATCACGCTCTCCGGCGCCACATATGTGTCTGCAGTTCGCGGCGGCGAATCAGATATACACGGCTGTCTCGAAGATTGCGGCGACGTCGCATGATGAGGGCATGGTGAGGGATGCGGTGGCATTCTACAATGCGCTGATTGATAGCGAAGAGGAGGATTTTCTCGAAAACGACGTGTTTGCCGTGTCGCTTATGAACTTCATCAACCGCACGGTGGGCTCGGGGAGTATGGGCGTGGGCGAAGATATCGAAGCGGATATTGTGGAGCTGCTGTTTGGCATTGCGGCGAAGATCCGATTACAGCCTGAGATTCTGCCGGTGTGGTTCACGACGGCGTCGTCGGACGAGAACGGGCGGCTGGTGAATAAAAAGGTGGATTTCGCGGGCGTCACGCAGAAGGAGGACTTCCCGTTGTGCTACCAGCTCATTGATCATGTGCATCATGAGGGGCGTATTGGGGACTTTGCGCGCACGGGGTTGTTGTACATCTTCGAGTCGGCGTCGAAGTCGTTGACGTTGGAGGCGTGGATTGTGAATAGTGATCTGCCTACGCTGATGGCGACGGGTCTGGGAGCTCTCTACAGCCAGTTGAGCAGGTATGGAATGTTATCAAGCATGGTATGAAACACTACTAACATCAGCAGAAAACTATCGGTTCTGCACCCTCCACAGACACTTGCCGATTATCCTGTCGCTTTCCGACTACAGCGAAATGCAGTCAAATGCACAGGCGGAGAGCTTCTTCGGCGAAGACTTCCAGAACCATTTGGTCACTTTCCTGTCGTATCTCACCTTCTGGCAAGATGTGCTCGAGCACTGCCGATCGACTGAGGTCCGACATACCTTGATTGACCACTTCCAGATTCTATTCCTTCAACAGCTCTTGTAAGTTTTGCCCAAGAGGTTTATCATGTAAAGTATGAGCTGACTGATTGTAGATACCCCTCGCTACTTGAGTCATCCGATGCTGATGGTGGCTCCTCAGTGGCGGTACTCACATATCTCAGACGCATTCTTGATGCATTAGATCATCCTGAACTTGTCAACATGATCCTTCAATACCTACTCGCACTCAAAGACTACGCGTCAACGTCACCAGAAGCGCCACGATCACCCGTTGCTATCAAGCGAAGGCAGTCGCTGATGCTTCTCAGTGGACCAGATCAGGATGACGATCGCCTGAATCCCTCATTGTTCAATCTAGTTGATCTGGTACTGGGCAGCACTAGTTCACGTAACGCGCAGACAGTCAGTGCCGCGTTGAAACTGACTACGGTCATAGTTGGCAAGAATCATGGGTACGCTCTCGGTTCCCTCGTCAAGGTCATGCATCTGCATCACAAAGAGCACTACCGGACAATCGGCTCGCTCAACATCGAACTTGAAACGTATCTAAACCTCGCTATCAATCTAGCGGGAGAAGAAGGCGTTGATGAGGCATATGAAACCCATCTCAAAGACATGCAGAGCATGCTAGAGAGTCATCCATGCTCTCTGAAAGCTATTGCTCTGCCGGATTCGTCACATAAAACCCAAAACTACTTCGATGGGTCCGAGTCTGCAGCGAAAGAAGTCGACCCGCATTACCTCTTACCTGAAGATCCGCTCTTCCAATCCCTCGTCGATCTGCTACTCAGCTTTCTCACGAACGATATTGAGACGAATCTCGCACTCACAGAAACGATCATCTGTATGGGAACATGCTCTCAGCTGAGACTTGAGGGGTGGCTTGCTGTCGACCCGGCGGACTACCACTTTGAAGAGATGGGAGAAGAACCCGAGCAGTTCACGAACGAGAACTTCCGCGACATGCTCATGGCAAACCGAATCCCTACCTGGAAACCATCAGCCACACCGCAACTGCTTGCGTGCCTACAACAGCTACAGGTTCAAGTTGATTCTCTGAGAAGTGACATCACAGATTGGGATGACCATGTTGCGAACCGCAAAACCGCGTTCCAATTCCACGAAGAGATGCACGATGCGATGAAGATGTCAACGCCACAGCAGAGGCCGACTCGAGCGCCATCGGAGACCCAGACAGGATCATGGACTCCGCAGATACCAAAACACGTGCTTGATAACCCAACAACTCCATCAAGAACGGGATCCCCTCGAGGAAGGAAGGAGGCTTTGGCGGAGCAACGTGGCACGCCAGCAGCATCGCCCGCGCCGTCGAAGTTTGGCGGACAGACACTTGTCGGATCACCATCGCGGACTTTATCACCACTACCAGCCACTCAAGCCGCGAAAAGGCAGACGACGCTCTTCTCAGACATTGATGCAAATTTTGCAGGTCTGCGACACAACGAGTTTCTCAAGAGACGCATACGCTTCCGTCGCCCTGCTGGTTCACGGGAGATTGAAGTCTTGCTTTCTAAGTACCAACCTCCGCCTAAGGACGAAAGCGAAGATGCCGCTGCTGGAGCAGAGGAAGAAGTAGAACAAGATGACATTCGCGAAGCTAGCTTGTTGCACATCATCACAAACGTGGTTATATTGCAAGAGTTTGTATTGGAGCTGGTGGCCCTGATGCAGATCCGAGCCAGCTTGTTTAACGAGGTCAAGTTTGCTTGAAAGTAGAAAGGAGAGAGGGCGAGATTCGATAGCGCAGAGTATATACCCAATCTATACACCGTACAGCAAGTCATCTGACTTTCCACGCGCACATGCTCGGCAACGCAAACTGAACCCTCTCCTCCGAAGACTCCGATTAGTCCTCGTTCGTGATCCCGCGCACGCACCAACCTCGGCCACATTCGGAACCGCTGCAGCGGAGCTTTTCCCGCCAAAAACGTCATCTTTCACATGTTCTTCGCACCCCTCTACCACGAAATCGCAGCTTCTGCTTGTGAAAGAATGGTCATGCGACATATGCACTACAGACTGTAGAATCACTGAAGTGTGATGGAAGCCAAGGTGTTCAGCAGCAACCTGAGAGGCTGAGGATGACTTGGCTCGGCAACACAATTCCAGCAGCTGAGTTGGTAGGACGCAGGACGAGCGGAAGGTGGAGGGAAACCTGGGGTAAGCGAAAAAGGGTGCCAAGCGCCAGATTTCCTGATGCGGGTTAAACGCGTTTTGTGGAGTTCTGGAGCAGTGGTTCCGTGAGGGCCGAGGCATTGCGGGCGCGCGCGCAGAGGCCGCGGGTAGGGAAGGACATTTCAGGTGTGACTGTGTCTGTCAAAACTATGGTGCCGGGTTTTCTTTAATGGAGGGCTGGTCTGCTCTTTTTCTTCTTGATTTCACTTTTCCCCCCACGATATCAGAGAATCTTGGAAAGTGATTCATTGCAGCTTCCTTTGTTCCTGGGCCGAGGATCTTAGACTGGGGTAGGAACCAACACTTTCGCATCGTTAACGCTGATCGCTATTGGGACGGTGCCGTCATAAGTGTGCAGGGTATTTGTTACTTCGTTTTTGTGAAGTCTTTCTCCAATCGCTCTTCCTACAGCTTCGATTTTGACGAGAAGCGTGTTTCTGCACATCATGTCGGCAAAGTCTACGGCTGGGCCTGGTGGCAGGAAGCCGGCGAGCGCGGCGACGAATTTGATTGGTATGGTCCTAGAAGGTTATCTGGAGGAACAGTGGGAAGCTGACTGTTTGTATAGCTGGCGGTGGTGCTGGTATGATGGAGGCGCTTGCGTGTCATCCTTTAGGTATGTCAAGCATACTGGGCATGGTTTGAAGAGAACAAGAGTGCTGATCCAAGCCGCAGATACAATCAAAGTGCGCATGCAACTTTCAAGACGAGCACGAGCGCCAGGTGTACGTCCACATTCCCAAATCGCAGCAAGAGTCTCGACATCACACGACCATGAATCAAACTGACAAGAAGTGTTACAGGCACCAAAACGTGGATTTCTTACCACAGGAAAAGAGATTGTGAAGCGTGAAACTGCTCTTGGATTGTACAAGGGTCTTGGTGCGGTGCTTACGGGCATTGTACCGAAGATGGCGACGAGGTTCACGAGTTATGAGTGGTACAAGCAGATGCTGGCGGATAGTGCAGGCAATGTTAATTCGAAATCTACGTTCATGGGTAAGTTGGATGGATCTCTCTTCGTGGAAATGACTATAGGGGCTGGGCAAGAGAGGATCCTCGGACATGCACTCTCTCTCTACAGTCATTCTTGGGGGAATAATCACTAACAAAGTATAGCTGGTCTAGCTGCCGGTGTCACTGAAGCGGTCTTCGTCGTTACGCCCATGGAAGTCGTCAAGATTCGTTTACAAGCGCAACACCACTCGATGGCAGATCCGCTAGACGTTCCCAAGTACCGAAATGCTGCGCACGCGTTATACACCGTCGTGAAGGAAGAAGGTGCCGGAGCTTTGTGGCGTGGTGTATCGCTCACCGCGTTGCGACAAGGAACGAATCAGGCTGCCAACTTCACTGCATACTCTGAGCTGCGAGCGGCGCTGCAAAAGTACCATGGCACAAACGACCTACCAAGCTACGAGACTTCGCTCATTGGACTCATGTCTGGTGCCGTCGGACCCTTCACCAATGCGCCCATCGACACAATCAAGACAAGGTTGCAAAAGACTCCGGCTGAGGCAGGAACAAGTGCTTTGCAGAGGATACAAGCAATTGCAAAGTATGTGTAGACGAAGTCTTTTTGAACTATGTTGCTGATCTGAATACAGTGAGATGTGGAGACAAGAGGGCATCCGTAGTTTCTACAAGGGAATCACACCCCGTGTCATGCGTGTCGCGCCCGGTCAGGCCGTCACATTCACAGTGTACGAATACTTGAAGGGCGTGCTGGAGAAGGGGAGGGAAATGCTGCCTGGCGGACAGTACGAGGAGTAGTGTGCCAAAGACGAGAAGCAGGTCCGTTGATATCCATTTGCATCGTGCGATGTACATAGCAAGCATAGCATCAAAAGAATAATTCCATTTTTACAAAACTTGAACCAGGGAGGTCTGGCGAATGGAGCTGGAGGCGGCAAACGGCAGGGTCCGCCAAGTTGCTTCCGCCCGCCTTGCCCCACTACTGCGTCGCCCCTCGTCGTCCGCGTAAACATTGACCAAGCTTCAAAGTCTCTTGCACACCGCCCACCAACACTCGCAACACAACAAGAGACTTGTTCATATCCGGCAGCAACCATGCAGTCCGGAATCGCCGGTACATTCTGCACACTTGCTACACTCTCAATGGCTAGCTAACCACCTCCAAAGCTTCCCAAGAGCTCAAATCCGCCCTCGGGAACCTCATAACCTCGACCTCCCAACGTGGCCTCCTCGCCACAATCCAAAACGAAACCATCATCCCCGGCGCCAGCATCTCCTCGTCCTCCTCATCCTTCCTCTCGGACCTGTCCGCCCTCGACACACACGTCACGCCCAATGCCGCGCTCTACATCCTCCTCCGCCTCGCCGACGATCTCTCCAGCCCCAACAAGTCCCTCGTCGCAATAACCTACGTCCCCAATGCCGCGCCCGTGCGCCAAAAGATGCTCTTCGCATCCACGCGGCTGACGCTCGTGCGCGAGCTCGGCGGCGAGCATTTTGCAGAGAGCGTGTTCACTACCGAAGCTGCGGAGCTTACCAGTGAGGGCTGGCAGAAACACCTTGCGCACGAGGCCAAGGAGAATCCGCTGACGAGCGAGGAGCAAAGCGCCAAGGACCTGCGTGATGCAGAGGCGCTGGAGAGCAGGGGGACAAGGGGCCAGGGGCTTGTGCAGAGCGGGAAACTGGCCATGAGGGTTGACGACGGGGTCGTTGATGCTTTGAAGAAGTTGGGGGGAGGGAGCGGGGAGAATCTTGTGCAGTTGAGGATGGATGGCGGGTCGGAGAGTTTGCAGCTCGTCTCGTCTACGACGTCCTCGCCAGGTCAGATTTCAAAGGAACTGGACGACAAGGAGCCGCGGTATGCGTTTTACCGACACAGTGATGACGCGGGCTCGATTGTGTTTATATCGACGTGTCCGAGCGGCGCGAAGATTCGGGAGCGCATGTTGTATGCGGCGAGTCGGGGGAATGTGGTTAGTTTGGCGCAGGGCGAGGGGGGGTTGACGGTTGCGAAGAAACTGGAGGCGACGAACCCGGATGAGGTTACCGAGACGGTTATTCTGGAGGAGTTTAAAGTGGAGGAGAAGGAAGAGAAGAAGGGGTTTGCGAAGCCGAAGAGGCCGGGACGGAGGTAGTGGGTCGTGTAGTGTCACGATTGTAGAAGAACAATGGATATCTCAAGGGTTCAGTCAACTCAGCGAGTCGACATAAGCTTCATGATTACGATAGCTTGAGACTAATTGTCTCCATCTAATCATCGCCTCTCAAGAAGCCTCTGTTGCCGAATGCCTTCCTCTCCATCTTGCCCCCAATACCTTTCCCTCCCTTCTTGGCATCGACCTGTCTTCCCTTGAGCCACTTTTCCCGCACATTCTTCGTCGCCCTATTCGCCTTCGGTGGCAGGACTCTATTCTGCTGACCCAGCACCGCAACACTCAGTTTTCCCTTCTTCACATCCTTCGGTCCCTTATCCGTACGCTCGAGAAACTTGATATGATGTCTCAACTTCTCCTTGCGCAATTCTTCCTCCGTCTTTCCGGCGCGGACAGGTGGAGGCGTAGGCGCGCGCTGATCGGGCAAGTTCGAAAGCAGCGACGTAGGGAGGAGACCCGAGAGATCGATATCGCCCGCCATCGACTTCTCCACAATCTCCTCGGGCTGTTGCTTCGCCGCAAGTTTCGCGAGTTTCTTCGCCTTCTTCTCCTCGCGCTTGCGCTTCTCGGCTTGTTCCTCAGCGATGCGCTGTTCGCGGGCTTCACGCTTCGCTCGTTCCTTCTCCTGCTGGGCGAGCAGGGCACGGGCGGCATCTTGTTGGGAGGCCTTAGCTTTTGAGACGGCGGCCGAGGTTGTGACGACTTCGGGGGCTTCGTCGGAGTCGCTTGCGTCGTCTTCGGAATCGGCGACTTCGGGCGGGGCTTCGTAGCGCTTGTGGCCTTGGAGGTTCACGATGACTTCTGGCTGTGCTTCCGCGGGCTCTTCGCTGCCGAAGCGCAGATGCGCTTTCTTGGGAGCTGCATCTTGAGTTGGGGTTTGTTCTGTGGGTGTAGCCTCGTCTGCGGAAGCTTCCTGCTCGGCTGGCGCGGCCTTCTTGCGTCCACTGGATTTCTGCGCTGAGTTTATTCGCTCACTTGCTCTCTTGGCTCTAGGCGTGGGTGACCCAGCCGTCTTCTTGCTGGTAGCCGGCGTCACGTGCACTGCATCGGCCTGCGGCTCTGGTGTGTGGAACTCTTCTTCTTGTGTAGACGTAGGCGCGTCGTCCTCAACCGCCTCTTCGGTGGCTTCCGCTGTCGTGGAGGCGGGTGGTGAAGGCTTAGCAACAACGACCTGGGGACTCGACCGCCGACGAATAGGCAGCTTATCTTCTAAGCTGGGTGTCTGTATGCGATCAATGGCGACATTGATGGTATCTGAGGTGTCTTCTGCCGAGTCCGGAACGGCTTCTTCAGCGCCAGGCTCCTGTATTTCTTCGACCACCTTCTTCTTGGGCGTGCTCTTCTTTTGCCTCTTAGTAGCTGTGGGTGTATCAAGCGCATCCAATTCTCTTTTCAGGGCATTCCGCTTCCCAGAGCTGCGTGGTGTCGCTGCCGAGTCCTGCCCCGGCGTCTCTGTGCCTCGTCGCGTAGTAACCATGGCGACTTCGATGTGGCGCGATGTCGGTGTCGTATCTCTTGTCTCACTCGCGCGATCCTGTACTGAAGGAGAACGACTCAAGATTCGTTTTGCGGTGTTGTAGATGTGGGTCAGCATCGTGGTGGAGATTTCCAACTTTTTTGATGCGCTAAGACTTTACGCGGAACTTCGTTGCGCCGCCGCAGACCCCCGAGCTCTGCTTAACCTCACTCACCAAAACATAATCCTGGCCCAGTCCGGTAATAACATGTCTTCATCTCGATTGCCGACAAGAGGATCAGTCTTGGCTCGGGCTGTCAAATGCTATCTATCCTGCAATGTTCATCAAATCGCCGCAAACACAAATGCCCTGGGTGCCCTGAAGCACTCGTTCCAGCCAATCAAACGTGCGAGAGTCACTGGCATTGACGGTGCTCGTCGAGCATATGCCACATCTTCTGGTCAAAGGCACGATGTCCAAAGATATCGCAAAGATGTGGATGAGCGTGGTCGCCTTGGCTACTATGTTCTCAGCAAGCAGCAGGGAGCTTTGCACATGGAATCAGCCAAAGCCAACGCTATCGTCAAAGAATTTCTTGCGAAGCAGAAGACAATGGATCATCGCAGCAACATACAGCATTTGGCAACTAGTGTGTCTCTTTTGATTTCAGCAGTGAATGGGATGTGCTAACGTGCTCAGAGTATCGTGTCAGCATTGAGGACCTGGCTTCGCTTGCCATCGTCACATTCAAGGTACCAGATATATCAGACAAGAAAAGGAGAGCGGAGATACCACCAAGTCAAAATGCGCCCTTGGGCGGCTGCATGCTCCAAGGCTGTGCTCAAGCCGAAGAACCTCTCGCTATCATGCAAGTCCTCACTGCTGTATATCTTGCTGGCTCAACCGATGGAGCGCCATATAGGACCCTTGCTTCCCTCTTTCCTCAAGCTGAAGTAGCCAAGTATCGGAAGATCTTAGAGACGCTTTGTACCAAGGCCAAAACTTTTCCCTTGGGTCCCGAAGTATTGACTCTGCAGGGCTTGTTTCTAGAGAGAGAAGGTCGAACAGACCGAGCCAAGGAACTCTACACCGAGGCCGTACAGCGATGTCATTTCAAGTTTACCCCAGGTTCGAGGCACCCACTGCAACTCCCACTCGTAACTCCCTGGAACGCCCTTGGGTATCTGTTGAAAACAGAAAAGACTCCAGATGCACAAATGCAAGCCAGGGAATGTTTTAAGAAAGGAGCTGTGGAAGGAGACGATCCACTCTCATGCTACGAGTTGGCAACTCTCTTGGACAAAGCAGATCCAGATTGGCTGTTGTACACTAGTAAAGCTGCTGCCTCAGGACATCGTCAAGCAACAGTCGACCTCGCCGATTTCTATCACGAAGCGAGCTCGAAAGACTCGCCGCTTTTGGAGAATAGCCTCATGCGAAAAGCCCTGAATTGGCTGCTAGAATGGAAACGCGGCGATCCGGCTATCCTGGCTCGCGAATGGCTTCAGGCCGCTTCAAGTATGGACCACAAGCCCTCTGCACTGCAACTGGCCGATTATCACGAGTCTATTGGGGACAAAGAGGGGACTAAAGATTACTTGCGAAAGGTCGCTGAATTGCCGAGCTCGCCAGGGCAGACGGAGGAGTGGCCGCAACTTGTTCAAGCCGCGAAAAGACGTCTTGCGGGTATCACCACCTGATCATCTGCATGGTGAAGTCAGTATTCTGGTTCATCTGGCTCAGAGCTCGACTAGAGCCCATTGCATGCTATACGACTTGATTACAAATACGGCGAGAATCATTACTAGTCTGCAGTCAAGAGCGATATGGGCGTGGCTGTTGGTTAGCGCATCCGTGCTCTGGGCAGATGGAAAGCTGACCTGGTCTGGTCTGTTTATAGCCCATGAAGGAAGCCGGAACAACAAGCTGCGTAGATTGACTTTGCTTCCCCAGTGTTACGGTGGAGCTCACGGACCTTTTGGGGAGATCCCCTGCTGCATCACACGAAGTGGACCTCACGCTCAGCGAGTCTTGCACCCCGATCCGGCTAGCAACTTTGATGATGTGAAGCCTGGTCTCATGACCAGTGAAAGACCGAGCCATCTCCACGAAAAATTCAGGCGCTCTGGGCTGGTCTCCAGACCCACGAGGATATTCTGTAACGAGTGTCTTCCGAGACTAGCATCAAGCTTTACCAGCAACACACGGTCCAACCTTCGGTCTCTCATGGAATCTGGAACGGAGAGAACTTGTATTTTAATGTTGTGCTGCTCTAAACTAGTTTTACATACTATCAAAAAAGTTCACGACCGATTGCAACCTCAGCATTTTCTCCACACCAGCGTCCAGCTCGCATGCTTGAAGTCGTATGTTCCGAAGTCTCCCTGTACTACTGGCCTAAAGTTGACGTTCAAGATACCTGGGCTGCCGTTGTCGCCAGTGCACTTCGACCATTTCAAGTCCGCCGTGCTTGAGCGAACTGTGAGGTACTCTCTGATCTCGGGGCCGGTGCATGTGAGACTTCCAGTCAGCGTTCCCTGGGGTTGCTATCAGCATGTACATTCCTAAGTATCTGAACGGCCAAACTCACGGTGTTGCCAGCATTCTCGCTCCAGAAAACTTGCGTAAATGTGTCCAGCTCACTACGTCCGCGCAGATTTACATCGCCCTCGTATGTGATCTGGCTGACTGCCACTTGCCACCCTGGTGTAGCGCCCGAGGACTGAATGTGTACTGCGCAGTTGTCTGTGTTGTCGCCCTTGAGCGCGCTGAACGACACGCCGGCACTGTCGCCAAGAGTTGGTGTATCTGCTCTGACGGAGCCTGAGTCGTTGGGGCAGCCGCTGCCCGAGAAGACTATCTTCGTAATAGTAGGCGAGGTGGGAGGGGCGGCGAGGGTGAGTGCGGGTAAAACGAGGAACAGAAGGGACGAAAGCATGGTGACCTTGAGGGAGGGCTAGTTTGCAGGCGAGAAGTATTTCGAGTGCAGGCTTCTACAACTATCGAATGCAATGTACGTCTAAGTAACATCACTGAGACGCAGGGCCTCGGATCTTATATGCACCCGTACACGAAGTCGCCCTCGCCCTCTCCCAACATCGCCAACCGCAGATCCAGAATCCCCGGAGACTAGATCGGCCCTACCATCGTATAGCACTCTGACGTCGATTTAAGCCTTAATATCCCGTGAGTACCTGTAAGGAACGTTCGCAATTGCGTTCGGTTGGCACTCGCTCTCGACCGCATTTATCCAGATTAATCATCCCACAGCCCAGGTCCAACTTCGCCTGCAACAGGATCTGCGAGAAGATCAAATCTCGTTACTAGATGGCATGGTTTATTTTTGGCTTCCCCGCAATATCGTAGAGCAGGGGCAGGTGGCTTCTGGAAGGCGGAGTTTGCTGGGACAGCTGATCGACAGGTGTAGGCGTGCTATTTCGGACGGTGGGATGTTGGCCGAGATGGACGCGGATCGTTAAGTGGATACTGCGGTGTCGTATCTACAATTTCAGAAGGGTCTCGCCACTGTCTTTCAAGCATTCTTTCTAAAACAGCTTTGTTGTTCGCATGCTCTTGTACGCTGAGGGCTGGGCATCTATGTACTCGGCTATTATTATGAATAAGCGTCGGGCCTACTAGCTGTCAGGCTCATACCCTGACGGATTAGTGTGTATCATGTATAATCTTCAGGCGATGGTGGCCGTACAATGTCGTGAATCCTATCCAAGTTCGCGACTTCGCCCTTCCCTTCAAGTGGCCAGATCCTGCCTTGAAAAGTGAACAACTTAAAAAATAAGTCAAATGATTGCTTTCATTGGCACGCACTTCAAGAATTTCAGCAAGCTATTTCACGATACGGATCCTGAGAATTGATTCAAAGCGACACACCTCAAGGCGCCTTCTTTCACAAACAGAGATAAAGAAGCACGTATCGCCGAGAGAAAAATTAGCAGGTCATTATTTCATTGCTCTAAGTCTTCTCCACCAGCTCTTTGAGCTCTTCGAGCCTAATGGTAATGGTGGCAGGGCTTTGCTCAAAACGCCTGGTTTCGCGGCTCCCGAATCGTCCTCATCATCCGAGCTCTCCTCGTAAAAGGTCTCTGAATCGCTCTTAAGAGATCCTTCCACGTCGAATTCTGTATCACTCGGTGACTTCCGCTCGTCCCAACTCTTCTGGTACTCGGGGAAGTCAGGCAGCTCAGATGGGGTCGCAGACCTTCGCATCGAGGGAGGTGCCCAGACGTGCTTCAAAAGCGGATTTAGGCTTGGTAAAGAAGCCACAACAATGCCGATGTCGACTTCTATCTGCGACCAGATAGGTACCCATGCCCACGTCCTGTGGTAACAGGTTAGCTACTTTCTCGAATAAGGCGTGCATATGGCTGACATACCAGCTCGAATCTCCGTCTTGCCACGACATGCTGGTCGATGTCGGACTGCCCGACATGGCGATTTCGCAGAGACGCATCGTGCTTGCTATGACAGGGACTAGACCGATGGAGAATATCAATGCAAGCGCAGCTTCAAAGCATGTCAGCGAAAATACAAGCCAATCACAGATGACACTTACTTCGCTGTTTCTTGTTGAACTTCATCAGAGGCAGCAGTGGCAGCGGGAAGAGTAGTAAGACTATGTCTGTGCCCACGTTGATCGCCGCTGAAATCTGCATGAAGAGTGCGCCGTTGATACAACCTTCTGGCTGTCGTTCGATGTCCCAGGCTCTCGAAACCGGAAGACAGGCAAGGAGCTGTGCCTGGGCTAGGGTCAGCAAAAACTTTTGATTCTCGAGGATTTTTGGGCTCACCATGAAGCTGGCAACTGCTGCCGCCGTCATCACGCCAGCCGTCACCCATACTCCCCGCGCTTGCACTACCCAAGGAAGCCCTCTCACACCAGCCCCAATCCTGTAATACAACGCCAGGATGCTCATCTTGACGGTCCTGTGTCATGTTGTCAGCACTATACATATCGTAGGGATCTTGTGCAAACTCACCAAGTGGCAACGAAGTATACGAGCATATTCAGCCACGAGTACTGTCTGTGTCAGTACCACATATTGAAAAAGGTGGTTAATAACTTACCTTCAGCATCTCATTGAACTCCATCACATGGAGCTCTGTCGCATGTCGTCCACGGCCATGCTCGACTTGCATGAAAATGGTCACAGTTTGCAGACCTCCGAGCGCCTTCATACTGTTAATGAGTCTCTTAGAAATCGGTATAGTTTGTTTGGACTGACCACTGCAACAGCGATGAAGAGGTCATCTTAGCCCGAACTTTTTGACCAGGCATGCTCGCGTTATGAAGCTATCTCAAGTCAATGATCCTTTCGCCAAACGCTCCTTACATTACTTACCGTATCGCCACAAAGAAGACCGCTATTACATACAGCGCAATACTCGTATGATTTAGTAGCGGACCCAGGTCATTCCCCACCGGTATATCAATAATATGTCCCATCAGATAGCAGAACAGACGTCAAGCCCGCCCTCTCGGTAAAGTGCGAATATCCGGCCGCCGCAAAAGAAACATGAGCTCTCCTAAAGATTACAAATACGTAAAAAGTAAAAAAGAACGACAAATTCGCAAACAACAAAGAGTGTAATGTTGGTTCAAGCAACCAAACTTGCAAGCCAGAAGTAAAACCAGTTGAGCGGGATCAGCACAGCTATATTGTGTCGAGCGAGATTCGCATCGGTGGGTACCCAGCTTACGGTATGCACAACCACAATGCACAATCCGGCATCCGCGCGCCCAAACGCCGCCGGCATGATACACGACGAGGCAATCCGGGCATCCAGCTTGCATGAAACTTCTGGAATACGCGCGCAAGAGCAGTTCCCCTAGCGAGCGTGCTGTTGCGCATGCCGTAGCGCAGACGACATGGTGCGGCACGTCGCGTGCCAACCCTACACGCGAAACCGCACGAGAACGCGCGTGATAGGCCAGAATTCTCCGACGCCGAACGCGTGCCCAAGGCGTCTGTCATTCTGGACGTTGACGGTGGGTGGCTTGTTTGACAGGGGCGCTGCGCGCTGTCGGAGGTTGGGAGCGATTATCCTGGTGCTGTCAAAACACGGCTTCCCGGCGCGCGGGTGGTTGGAGGGCATGAAGGTACGGCATGACAGTCTCATGAGTCGAGAGCTGAGGCGATCGTGCCGGTGGCTTGGGAATACAGGCGGATAAAAGCGTAGATCGATTGTGAGATCGAGTCCAGCGAGCAAGAGGGAAACGTTTGGGACAGATGTGAAGAACATTTGGCATGCGCGGGTCGAAGCATGGTATTTGCGCAGGTCAGCAACCGCTGATACAGGCCAGTCGTACAATCGATGCCCTTTGGCTGAACAAGTGAAGCTCCTGGCCGTCATCGCAAACTTGCTCGTCTAGTCACAACATGTTTCTTGACCCGCATCTCGGTGGTCATTGACAAATGCTGTAACCCAGTAGTGCACAAAATCTGCTCTTGACAGTTAGTAGGTGCAAGCCGTCGAACAATCGCATGGAAGCATGGTCAGCAGGAAAGACACCGAAGTACACGTCATTGAGAAGAGAGCATTGTTCATTTCATTTCGTGAAGAAGAGGAGTAATGCTAAACGCCTAGGCGCGGATGCCGTTGTCATATCTCGTAAGGCGTGTCGTTCGTGTTCAGGACCATGCCGCTTGCAGCTCCCACCCGTATCGTACAGTGTCCCAACCCAAAGTCGTCAATCCAAACAGCAACACCAATCTTGTTGAGACTACGCCAACAAAAGGTGATATGCTGTAGCAGCAACACAGAGAGTGGCAACCGTAACGCTGTAATAGCTGTGTTAGTCACACACTACAAGGCGTAATGTTCAAAATAGTAGTATCGTGAGTGTCCGCCATAGCTTTACTCACGTCAAAAAGGTGGAATGAGACTTGGGGTCTTACCCAGCACGTTTTCGGTCCCCTACGCAGACAGCCAAGAAGCGGCCAACGGATCCGAAGACGACACGGAAAAAGGTCTGAAGGAAGGACTCCTCATAATGGGCGACTTTCTGGTTGCCTGATGGCGTTCCGGCCCCTTCAAGAGTGTTGCTGTCATCCTGGCTGTGATCTTCGGGTGTGGCGTTCGCTGCTTCCGCTTTCGGGGCCTGACGTCGGCGAACTTGCGGCTCCGACACTGTTGTAGACTCATCGTCACCTATAGATAGGGCTTCGTTCTCTGGCGTTAGTGGTGGAGTGATAGGATTCAACATGTTGCTCGGTGATGCTATAGCCTCGTGAAGCTTGCTCAGAATAGCTTCCTTTGTACCATCAGTCCTGTTCACGTTGTCTGCTTCGCTAGACTGCATTGAGCAATCGATTGACGATTGTTGTGTGCCGTCTTCTGTAGGTTCAAGTTGTCTGGAGTCATTGGGCATCGGCGTGGCGTGAGGATCGCGAGCGAAAGCGGCTGCCGAGCCGAACTTCATGACCATAGGCGAGGGTAGACTATCGACATCTCCATCTGCGTCGTATTCCTCCTCATCCGAGTCGTCGGCTTCTGGGACGGATGCCAGCGAGGTGTACGATTTGACTGGGGCCAGCTCAACGGAAGAGCATGCTTGCGACAAGACGGACCCGATTGGCGAATGAGTGGGTTCTTCTGTCGATTCGTCTTCGGGTAGGTGGAGACCAATAGTTTTCACGCGCTCTAGAATCTGTTCGCGGCGTGTAGGGAATCGCTCGAGATATGGATCGGCGAGGTCGTCGTCTTCTTCATCCGTTTTTGGCAGCCGGTTCGGCAGAGTGCTGCTGTTGGTGCTTGCTCTGAAGATTCCTGGACGACCTCTACCTCCGAACAACACTCTTGCAGACTCACCGGCGTCCTCATATTCAAAAGTGGGTTGGCTCTTCAACGTGAACCCGCCGCCCTCTTCAGGGCTAGAATTCTCGGTGGTGGCAAAATCGCGCTCATGCGTGCGCTCATGTGCTAGGAGGGGCGTGTCATCTTCCTGGTATACATGGTCATCGTCGCCACCATCCTCGTGAGTGAAAGTGGGAACTTCGTCATCATAATCATCATTATCATCGCCATACATGTAATGTCGAGGTTCTGAGATGTCTTCGCTCGTATACTCACTCTTAGTGGAAATCTCGCTGCCCTTATACTGCGAGAAGCCAGTCTCATGCGATAGGAGTGGGGCAGCATCGAGTTCGTCGTAATCCGCGTCAGAAGAATGCATGTCCTCGTTCAATCCAGTTTCATGCGGGAGAAGGGGCCCATTATTCAGCTCGTCATAGTCTTTGTCTTTGATACCAGTCTCGTGAGACAGCAAGGGTGCTTGATCAAGCTCCGAACCTTGCGAATCGTCCGGATCTGAGGGTGTATTGATAACATCCTCTGAACTTGTGTTGTCGGTAGACACTTCGTCAACTGTTTCCAAAACTGGGCTCGAATGGGCCTCGGAAGATTGAAAGGATTCATGGCGAAATAGGGGAGCAGCTTGATCGTCTTCTGTGCGAGGCTCTTCATGGCCATCCGGTGTAATCACGAGCATGTTAGGCTTTGCGTCTGCGGCTCTCATGTCATGCGCTACTCTCTGTGAGATGGTCGCATTAGCACCGAAGTCGTCGCCATAGGCAGGCTTGTCGTCCGTCTTCTCAACCACGACTCGAGGCCTGTCAGACAATTTCGCCTGCTCATCGGTAGCTGAACGCTCTTCTCTCGTTGTTTGAAAATCAGGTTGAGCATCTGCGGAGTGTTTAGAAACGTCCTCATGCAGCGCGCGGGGCTCTGTGTCTCCATTGATCGGAGGTTCCTCGTCTGCAACTTTTTCGACAACGACGATAGGAACAGGGACACTGGGTAAGTGGATCACATCGCTCGTGTCGAATGTACTGTCTTTACGGGACTTTTGAGGAAAGGGCGGCTTCTCATGTTCGTGAGGGACGTCACGGGCTGTGTTTTGGTCGTCGTTCTGTTTTGCGGCTGTGACATGCAGAACGTTATTGCGATTGCCATGCTCGTCCGTGGCTGCTTCAAGTTAGCGCCTATGCTCATTTTCTACCAAATCTCGGCATACCAGAGTCCCTCGATTCGTCCACGACCCAGTGGCCGTCTCCAATACGGATTTTGTACTGGTGGTCGCCCTCGGCAACATTATCGAAGCGCCGCGTGAATATCAGATTCGCAGATGCTGTCTGCGCCTCGTCGACGTGCATTTCTAGCGGCTCCCATGGCGGATCGCTAAGAGACGTTACGACGTACACAGGCGGCTGCACACCCGTCTGAGAGAAGGTGATAGTTGCGCTCTCGGCCATCATGACAGGTGCGCCACTGCTTGTGAAGGACGACGGGCGGTATTCTGGGGGGTCGCTCGGAGCGGTTGACGTGGGGGCGGTCGCGTGCCTGGTCAACAGTGGGAAAGTGTCGTTGTTGGTGAGGCTATGTGCTGGCAATGGAGGAATATCGTCAGTAGTCTGTGATCGTTTGCGAGTTCGTGGCCAGAGAGACCAGACACGTTCTCGCTTTGTGCGTTTGCTCGTGCTCATATGCTGGAAAAGGGTGCAGAATAAGAGGTGTTACATAGGGAAGGGAAAGGCAGAGAAGTGCACAGAAAGGCTCTCACCACTTCAGTTGTATCGATAGTTGGCGCACACTCGGAGTGGCAGGTTCAGACGAGAGGTGCTTTCTTGCCTGTGAAGGGCTCGGATCTTATTTGAACGTAGCACAAGAAGGAGAGGGAGAGGCGCGGCGGGCGCATACGGGCGCATACGGGCGATAGTTGCCTCTCAACAAATGATGTGCAGCTTCCCTGTTTGTAGCGATACTTGGTGTTGAGCCTCTCGAGATCAGGGCATCTAAGGTTGTGAAAGTCTCAGCAAGGCGACAGAACTCCAGGCCATGGCGCGCAGATGCGCATTCCCTCCCCACGGCTGTGCGCCTTCGCCGGCTTTCCACAATTTCCATGGCGCCTGTGCTGGGCTTCGAGGGTGACGTGAGTTCAACGTCTCTACAATGAAGCTAGAGCCACGCGCTGAACCGGCACAACGGCGACGTCAGCCACGCTTAAGCCGAAAACAGCGCCATCACGGGCGATCACACCACCACTAACCTCCTCCCGACTGTCGTCTGGGTATCGCAACCCTTGTGCCATGGAGTGAGACACGAATATGCATGTGAAGTGGCTGCCGTACTAGTGAGGTGCGGGGTTTCCCCACCTCGCTACTCACATGCTTGAACGTATTGGTCTCAATCTCACTCAAGTACCCGCTCAGCTCCGTAAGGTGGTGTGCCTTTTGAGGCCCGAAGAGCAAGTGCTTCCGATTCGTCACAATCCCACGTCTTGGAGATGTGATCCATCACTGAAGATTATTGTGGATAGATTGAATTCCAAGTGTGCATGAAAAATCCCTCAAGCTATAGTCGTAATGGCCGTTATAGAAACATTGTCAAATTTCCTGGACCAGACCACATATAGTAGATGCTAAAAACTCACATGAACTCAAATGTCACATCAAAGGCAACAGAGCTCATCTGATTATCCCCATCTCAAATCAAGGATGCGCTATATCATGGCCATGTGCACTTATGTAGCGTCTGCATTTTTTGGAACACGTAAATTCATCCATTGCCTATCAGGCCCTACACTGTACTACCTAGGTATCTTTGAAGCTCTATATGGGGATTCATGACTATCGTTACATGTCAGTCTGTGAACAAAGTGGAATGCTTTTACAGAAAACAGAATGGCAAACGCGCGAAGTATCAGGCTAGAAAAGAATCTCGCTTCTCTCAAAGACGAGGCCTGGAAACACTCGATGAGCCACTCACCGATTTGGCCTTAAGGTCGAAGCGGTCGTTAGACATGACCTTATCCCAAGCCTTCACAAAGTCCTTGACAAACTTGTCTGAGTTGTCGGGCTGGGCGTATACCTCAGCGATAGCCCGAAGCTCGGGGTGCGAGCCGTAAACGAGGTCGTGGCGTGTACCAGTCCACTTCTTCTGGCCAGACTTGCGGTCGAAGCCCTCATAAAGCTCGGGCAGCTTGGACGAGTCGGCCGCCTTCCACTCTGTGTTGATATCGAGCAGGTTGACGAAGAAGTCGTTGGTGAGCTGGCCAGGGCGCTTGGTGAAGATACCGTGGGATGAGCTGTCCCAGTTGGCATTTAGCGCACGCATACCGCCAACAAGGACGGTAAGCTCGGGAGCAGTGAGGCGGAGGAGAGAAGCCTTGTCGAGGTCAAGCTGCTCAGTGCGGGCACGGTCTGAGCTCTTTCCGTAGTTGCGGAAGGGGTCAGTGGCAGGCTCAAGGTGCTCAAACGACTTGGCGTCGGTCTGCTCCTCAGTGGCGTCGGTGCGGCCGGGTGTGAAGGGAACCGAGACACCGGCAGCCTTCTCGACAGCGGCAGTTCCGGCGAGGACGATCAGGTCAGCAAGAGAGATCTTCTTGCCGCCAGACGCAGAGCCGTTGAACTTGGACTGAACGCCCTCGAGAGCCTTGAGTACCTCAGCGAGCTCCTTAGGGTTGTTGACCTCCCAGTCCTTTTGCGGTGCCAGGCGGATGCGGGCACCGTTGGCACCACCACGCTTGTCGCTGCCGCGGTAGGACGCTGCCGAAGCCCATGCAGTGCGGATGAGCTTGGATGGCTCGATGCCGGCCTCGAGAATCTGCTTCTTAAGGGCAGAGATGTCCGACTCCTCGACAAGGGCGTGGTCAACCTCGGGGACTGGGTCTTCCCAGAGCAAGACCTCCTTGGGAATCTCAGGGCCGACCCATCTGGATCGAGGACCCATGTCACGGTGGAGAAGCTTGAACCACGCGCGAATGAAGGCATCGTGGAGTTCTTGTGGGTGGTCGAGCCAACGGCGGGTGATCTTCTCGAAGCCAGGATCCATGCGCATTGACATATCGGTGGTCAACATCCTGGGCTTGTGCTTCTTGTTCGCATCATAGGCGTCCGGAATGATGTGGTCTTCAGTCTTAGCAACCCACTGGTTCGCACCAGCAGGACTCTTCTCCAGCTCCCACTCATATTTGTAGAGATACTCAAGGTACTTGTTGCTCCACTTGGTTGGTGTGCCTGTCCATGTGACCTCGAGACCACTGGTGATGGTGTCAGGGCCCTTGCCACTGCCGTGCTTGTTGATCCAGCCGAAGCCCTGAGTAGACAGGTCCTCGCTGTTGGGGTCAGGGCCGGTGTTCTCCGAGGGAGCGGCTCCGTGAGTCTTTCCGAAGGAGTGGCCACCGATGATAAGAGCAGCAGTCTCCTCGTCGTTCATGGCCATACGGTGGAAGGTTGTACGGATGTCTCGGGCAGCGGCAATTGGGTCGGGGACACCGTCGGGACCTAGTCAAGTCAGTGGATAGGCTCAATCGAGTCTGAAGTGATGGTTACTTACCCTCGGGGTTAACATAGATGAGTCCCATGTGTGCGGCCGCAACAGGCTGCTCGAGGTCACGCGAATGGATGTCCTTGTGGTCCATCTTGTGCTGGTCACCGTCGACAACACCCTCGCCTGAGACACCCTTGTTTCCGTTGGAGTAGCGGACATCATTGCCCAGCCATGTGTCTTCTCCTCCCCAGTAAATTGACTCGTCGGACTGGAATGTGTCTGGACGTCCACCGGCGAAACCGAAAGTCTCGCAGCCCATGGACTCAAGGGCGACGTTGCCAGTCAAGAGCATAAGATCCGCCCATGAGATCTTGTTGCCGTACTTCTGCTTGATGGGCCAGAGGAGACGACGAGCCTTATCGAGGGAGACGTTGTCAGGCCACGCGTTCAGAGGAGCGAAACGCTGCTGGCCATCACCACCTCCACCACGACCGTCAGTGACGCGGTAGGTTCCGGCAGAATGCCATGCCATTCGGACACTGTCGTCCCAGTTAGCACAATTATGATGTGTAAAGCAAGCAGTGGTAACTTACAAGAGACCACCATAGTGGCCAAAGTCCGCAGGCCACCAGTCCTGGGAATCGGTCATCAAGGCAGTGAGGTCCTTCTTCAATGCATTGTAGTCAAGCTTCTTGAATTCCTCGGCGTAGTTGAAGTCGGAGGTCAAAGGGTTCTGGCGTGGGTCGTGCTGGCGAAGAACGCTGACCGGAAGCTCATTTGGCCACCAGTCTTTGATCTTGGTGCCGCCACCTGCGACATTGGCGGTTCTCATGGGGCACTCGCCTTTGGACATGATTGCTGTTGTCGAAAAGGTACGTGTGAAGAGTGGTTGAGAGGAAAATCGAACAGCAAGGCGTGCTCGGCGCATGGGCATGTTATGTATTCGAAGCGGGGCACGCCAACCTTGGAATTATTCATAAGCCAGCATGGCCGGACCGGAATCTGAATTGCTGGTATGTATTTGCCCCTCCCGCGCATGCATGCCCGTGCTCCGCAACTATTAGCTGAAAACCGCCCTCGATCACGGTGACGACTCCACCTCGGCATCGTCTTGTTCAAGCTTCGACAACGAATCAACATCTTGACGCAGTCCATGCAAATCGAACATCTTAGACTAGAAGTATCTTCACGCCGCCACTACAACTAAGAGTTCACCCCGTCCTCATTCAGCGAGTGGCTTACTTTGGCAGCTTCGTAGACAGCAGCAAGTGGGTCGCTGGACCCCGCTGATTCTCTGGAACCGCTTGCGGATCCCTCATAATCCGATTCCGCCTCCTCTGATTTGTCGGTGACGTGACATCTGGATCGACACACGACATCACGTGTATGGCATCATTACCAAAGCCGATCATCTAGACGCTTCAGTCTTCGGGCAGAGCAGGAAGCAGAGGCGGAAGGCGACGGACTGCACAAGGTCCAGCCATGAAGCACAATATGAGCACGTTCTCGTCTACTCTAACACTTCGAATTTTGCCACAGCGAGTTATTTGCATTATGCAAGAGGCACAATGCATGAGCACCTGAGCTCCTGTACTTTTCGTACCATCGTTGTGGAGGGAACAAAGGGGCGCTGAAACGGCGTTTTACGCGGCCGCGAAATGCCGGTCTTTCAAGGATGAACATTTGCCGACATTCGACCCCACGTTTTCACCCCGCATTCTTGACTTGGAGATTGCAATTCTAACTCGGAGCAGTGGGCTTGAGACATGAAGTGTCAAAGACAAGTGTGAACAAGTACTCGGTAAGAGCAGATTTTTGAAATCTGCTCGTGGTCCGAAGCTCCGTCGCGTCTGCAAGCAAATCTGTTGGTAGCTTACCTAGATGGATAATCGTGGTTCGCTGATACGACAGTACTTACAAGTTGTCCACTGCGACGGAAAGCGATCAGGGTGCCTGGGGCGATATACAGGGCCTCACTGTCGCAATCAAGACCTAGCAATAATTTATAAGTTCAGGCTCTCAGACCTCGGGATTAGCGAAACCCTGTGTACTTCCCTTCGTAGTTGACCAAGTTGCAGTAGTACCCCCGCAACGTTCATGCATCTGCCCTAGCAAGATAAACAGCGGTTCTCTACATTTCCAGGAACATGCGGAAATCCATCTTATCTATGAGCAGGAAAACGTTTCGCACGCGCCGAATCGATTGAATGACGCACAAAGAGTGGCCCAAATGTGGAGCAACGTGTGTTTGCACCGAGGTGGAATGTGGAGGCGCAGAGCTCCAGCCAACCGCGAGGCGCTTCTGAGAAAGTTGGGGTAGATTCACGGCAGACGGCAGACGGCAGACGTCGGTCGCGGTCGCGGTCACGGTCTTCATCGATGAAGAGGGGTAGTCTTTTGTGATGACCTTCTTAAACGCTCTCAGTTCCCTTTCGTATTTAACCTTCTCACTGCTACACTGAAGCGATTCCAATTGAAGGTAGCAATAGTAAACCATGGCAGAGGGAAAGACGCAGACGTTCGACATTCCGAAGACGTGTAAAGCTGGAGTCGTGGTCAATGAGGGACCAGATTTCCGTGTCGAGGTTCAAGATGTCCCAGTTCCAGAGCCAGGTATGAACCAGTCCGTCGAGAACCCATCGGAAGGCGCGTCCTGACACGACATGTTAGGTCCCAACGAAGTGCTCATCAAGCTTAACGCAACCGGCATCTGCCACTCTGACATTCACTACATGATGAACGATTGGGCAGTCCCAAAGATGTCCGCGCTTGGTACAAAATGCGCGGGGCATGAGGGCGCAGGCGTCATTGTGAAGTGTGGAGATCAGGTCAAGACGCTGAAGCCAGGCATGCGAGCAGGCTACAAAGTGAGTATGTGCATATGCCTGATAGCTAAAGCTGACAAAACGGAAAGCCTATCCAAGACACGTGCGGCGTGTGCGAATTATGCCGAAATGGCAATGAATGCTATTGCCCGAAAGCGGTGCTTACTGGCCTGATGGTCGACGGCTCGTACAAACAATACATTGTCTCACCCGAACGATACACCACCCTTATACCAGATAATGTCAACGATTACGTATGTGCTGTTAACATGGAGCATATTCGCGAAACATAGTACTAACAGCGCGTAGATAGCTGGCCCGATTATGTGCAGCGCTTCGACCATCTACACTTCAATCGTAGATTCTGGCTTAAGGCCAGGGGATTGGGCTGTGTTTCCCGGAGCAGGCGGTGGTGTGGGCATGCAGGGTGTGCAGCTTGCAAAGGCCATGGGTCTGAGAGCAGTGGCCATTGATACCGGCGATGACAAGCGAAAGCTATGTGTTGACACTTCTGGCGCAGAAGAGTTTATCGACTTCAAGAAGGTTGACAACGTGGCAGAAGAAGTAGTTCGCATATGCGATGGCATTGGAGCGCACGCCGTCTTTGTGACTGCGGTACAGACTTACCCTTCATCCATCTCGTACCTCGGGGGTCGCATAGGAGGAAAAGTTATGTGTATCGGCCTGCCACCAGCTGGCACCCAGCACATCGACGTCGATCCCAATCAGATGTGTTTTAAGAAGCAGAGTGTCCAGGGAACGCTTGTCAGCAGCATGGCTGACGTCGACAAGACTTTAGACTTCGCGAGGAGAGGGTTGCTGAAACCCATCTACACCGTGTACCCCATGAGCCAGTTCAATGAGGTTGTTCAGAAGCTTAGGCGTGGAGAAATCGCTGGCAGGGCCGTGGTCGACTTCAATCAGCCGTAGGCGAGGATATGCAGTGCGGCGCATTTTGCCAGAATCGTGTACATTTCGTGTGTATAAATGAATCAGTAATACAATGCAATGTAAACGACTTTGTCTGACTGGAGATTTGGAGTGAAGCAACAGAGGCCCTCTCGTCTCAGGTGGAAGCGGCGACTAGCGCGGCTAGCCTGACATGTTTGGTGCGTTTGTCTCATTGGACATCAGCCCTACGAAGGTCGGCGGTGCAATGGAACCAGGGAGCTCGGGTCCAGACACGACTTCGCAATATGAGCGGTTAGAGAATGTCCGGCATATCTCTTCATAGCACACGTCGATGGGATGTCCAGGTCGCCCTCAAATCAGTCCCCGCTCGGACAAGCCGAAGCATCGTCGAGTCGCGCATCGAACGGAAAGCAGCCTGCAGTGGAAGACGATCACAGCGATGAGGAGGCATTGCTTGCAGACGATCCACTAGAGCGCAATTTACCGGAGCGGTATGCCATGCGCCAAGTTTGATTGTTGATAGCCAAGCTCATACGTCTTCACAGAATATCCTTCAAGCGCAAACAACCAAAGCCCACGGCCTCTTCCTTCGGCTTCCCACGGTTCCTCTCGTCTCCGCTAGGCACGCCCAACCGCGGCTCACCTCTACCACGCTCACCGAATTCTCGCCTGCAACAGCTTCGCAACGGTGAAAGCAGCGCAAATGGCTCCACGGAGCTCATCCTGAACTATCTCGACACCCCTGGCAACGCAGGCGAACACCTCCAGGACACCAAGGACGCGACCGGGCTGGACTGGTATGTCGAAGGACCAGGGCGAAGAGTAGGATATGACGATCTCACGGCTATTGATTGGATTTTCGAGTATGCAAAGGAACGACAGCGTCTGCGGTACCTGTATTCGAGCGCAAGTGGCATACTTGGCCACTTGAAGCAGCTTGCTGACGCAAGCCAAGTTTGGATCATACTGGTTGCTGCGGGAATACTGAGTGGTGGCATCGCTGCATTCATCGATGTCACGAGCGATTGGCTAGGTGACCTGAAGACAGGGTACTGCAGCAACGTGGACGGAGATGGCAGGTTCTATCTCAACAAGAGCTTCTGCTGCTGGGGCCATTCAGAGCTGTCAACGTGTCATGATTGGCATCCATGGGGAAATGCCTTGGGCATTGGTCCTGCTGGTGGTCGTTGGGTAGTCGAGTACATTTTCTTCGTATTGTTTTCGGTGAGTGGAGTGCATGCGGCAGATCGAAGCACGCGCTGACCAGGCTCAGATACTGTTCGCCGCAGCCGCAAGTCTTTTGGTGCGCGAATTCTCTCCTTACGCAAAGCATAGCGGTATACCCGAAATCAAGACTGTTTTGGGAGGCTTCGTTATACGGCATTTTCTTGGCGGCTGGACTTTGGTCACAAAGACAATTGGATTGGTAAGAGAACGTCAAAGTTAATTTGAATGCAATTCTGACACATAGCAGTCTCTTGCAGTTGCATCAGGACTTTGGCTAGGAAAGGAGGGCCCGCTTGTACATGTTGCATGCTGTTCAGCAAACCTCTTTATGAAACTTTTCAGTAATGTCAACGGCAACGAAGGTGAGCAACTTCCAGGCCCGTATATGGGATGCGCAACTGACCCCGATGTAGCACGTAAGCGAGAGGTCTTCTCTGCAGCCGCGGCAGCAGGTATTTCGGTCGCTTTTGGGGCGCCTGTAGGTGGCGTGCTCTTCAGTCTCGAGCAATTGTCCTACTACTTCCCGGATAAGACCATGTGGAGCAGCTTTGTTTGTGCCATGGTAGCGGCGGTCACGCTGCAGGCTTGTAACCCCTTTCGCACCGGCGAACTCGTCTTGTTCCAGGTCACCTATCACAGCGGCTGGCATGATTTCGAACTCGTGCCGTTTGCATTCCTCGGCATACTAGGTGGCTTATTCGGAGGCCTTTTTATCAAGCTCAACATGGGCGTCGCCGAATGGCGCAAAAATCGAACGTACCTCAAGGGGCCAGTAACCGAGGTCGTCATCGTCTCTGGAATCACGGCACTGATTAACTATCCCATCAAGTTCATGCGAGCACAGTCATCTGAGCTCGTCCACATCCTGTTTGCAGAATGCGCCGATCTCACCGAGGATACTCTAGGTCTCTGCAAGTCTGGAAAAGCAAACACTGGCGTCGTAGCTCTGCTACTTATCTCCTCGGGTCTTGGTGTCATACTTGCAAGCTTTACGTTTGGCCTACAAATTCCCGCAGGAATTATCCTGCCATCAATGGCTATTGGTGGGCTGTTTGGTCGCGCTGTTGGTCTTAGTGTCGAGGTCTTTCAACAAGCTTGGCCGACATTGTTCGTCTTCGGGTCATGCGAGCCAGACGTACCGTGCGTAACACCTGGTACGTACGCGATCGTAGGTGCCGCATCAGCGCTGGCAGGTACAACGCGAATGACCGTATCCATCGTGGTCATCATGTTTGAGCTCACCGGCGCACTAACATATGTTCTGCCCATTATGATCGCGGTCATGATCAGCAAGTGGATAGGCGATGCCATTTCTCCCCGTGGTATCTACGAATCCTGGATCCACTTCAAGGGCTACCCGTTCCTAGACAACCGAGACGACAACGGCTCCTCCATCCCCGACGTCTCTGCCGCCCATGTTATGACACGAATCGAAGACTTGACCGCCATCACAGCGACTGGCCATACAATAGAATCACTTCGGCGACTCCTCTCCCAGCATCGCTTTCGAGGCTTCCCGGTCATCGACAGCTCTCGCGATGCCCTTCTGCTAGGCTACATTTCACGCACTGAGCTGGCATATGCACTTCAAGCTGCTCTAACGCCACCTCGAAACCTTTCCGACGATGTCGAAGCATACTTCTCCCATCAACCCCTTTCCGACCCAACAACGTCCTTAGACCTACGCCCGTGGATGGACCAGACGCCCATCACTCTTAACGCCAAAGCATCATTTCAACTCACCATGTCCATGTTCCAGAAACTCGGTTTGCGCTACGTGCTCTTCACAGACCGCGGTACGCTCAAAGGCTTGCTCACGAAGAAAGATGTTTGGTACGTCATGAACGGCATGGAAGAGGACAGAGAAGAAGGCGGCGCAGGAGTAGGTGTTGGCCGAGGCGGCTTGAGAGAAGAGCATGAGGGCATGGAGGACGATAATGAGGAGCGTGGACTACTAGGCACATCGGAGGACGAACGTGATAGCTTTATAGGTGGCGATAGAAATAGGTAGTTGAAAACGGGGTTGTGGCGTGTTTCTTTTCTCTTTATCCCTACAGCCGCACTCCGCAGCGTCGAGCCGATCGGAAACTTCTCAGATCGTGTGGCCAAGCATTTTTATAGTTATGATGTAAGCTTCGCGTCAAAATCCGGCTTCTCCGAATGATCTGATAGGGATGATGCCTGCCATGGATATTTGGTTCCTGGCCATTCGACGTGCGGGGAAATGATACTCGTACGAAAATGAAACTAATCATTAGCACTTTTTTCAATTTGACCACTATGGCTTTATAATTGTTGAACACGTCCATACTTTCAGCCCTCGCAATACGGATCGAAGCGGGTCCAGCTTTGCTCTTCACATGCAGGTCGTGGTGCTCCCACGAATCATGCACAGAGGACCACTCGACATCCTCACTCAAGCCGCCAAGATGCAAATCAGCCAATCAGAATCGCCGATTGCTAGTTCGCCTTCTCGGGCCAGGATCGCGGTGTAACCGATCCAGTGAGAGCCTCCCGAGGTGGCTATGCGCAGCGGGTCACAGGCGGGAAGTTGCACCTGTTAAAGATCAGCCGGCCTCGCCGTGGTGTCCTACACCGACCTTCTTTGCCTTCCAGCCTTCTGTGCTTTGTGTGTTTCAAAACATTTTCAACCGCTACAAGTGAAAGGCAACATATTCTGAAAGAGCTCGACTTGATGACCGATAAGTGCGCGCGGTAGCGGCTATGACTGGAAGATTGCTTGCGAAAGGCAAAGGACGACGCCGACGACTTGAACGTTGATAACGCCCAAAAGATCCTGAGAACGCAAAGAACTTAACCTGTTGCCACACAACTAGACAAATCCGACGGAACTGTGACTATGGCGCAGCACTCTCAAGAGCCAGAACGCAAGAGCAGAAAGAAACGTTCACAGACATCGTCCAAGGCTGCGAAACCACGGTCTTCGAGCAAGAAACCGCGTGCATCACAATCAGAAACGAATCTATGCGCCCAAAATCATGCGCCTCCAGTACAGGACGTGCCGATGCAGTATCTGCAATCTTTCCAGCCACCGCAGAATGTGAGGAGCCCACCACCACCACAATCGCAGACCTTTCAACCTGCGAGTCCGCCACAACATCCCGTATATGGTCGTGTTCCACAGTATTCTCCTCCATACTCGTATCCCTACGGACCACCTCCTCTTCCATATGGACAGCCTGAAGCTAATCAGTCGGTTCTCCGGTTCGCTTCGCCCCCACCTATGAAACCCAGGGATGAAGGTCCTTTCAAGGAGCAATGGGACAAATTCGACCGCATGGCTGCCAAGTCGTACGCGGATCTGCGAGATGGAGCGTGTAAGGGTGCAACAAGACTGACAACGACTTATATTGAAAAGCCCACAAATGCCGTGGCAATGAAAAGCATGCAAGCATTATGCCATGGGGCAGCGTTATACGACGCCATTAACCACAAATTCGATGCAGTCATCAACAGTATTGATGGCAACAGATTTAGTGGGCAAGAGCAGGATCTGCTGATATACGAGAATGCGCAACAAACATCGCCTAACACGAGCCCACCCCCTGGTGATCCTCGTAAGGAAGTGCCAAATCCGGCTCGTCAGATGGTGGGGAAGGAAAAGGGAAACAATCACTTCCAGAAAGTGTGGCTCTACTCAAACTCGCGACTGCCACCACACCTGCCGCCCTTCAAAGTTTACATGCCAACATATCCTTTGCTGTGCTTAGCGGCAACCTATTCCGAGCGCGTATACACACCACCACGATCAAAGTCAAAAGAGACGGAAACACATGTGCCATCTGATTGGCGCACTGGAACGAAAGCCATGGTTCTGAAATCAATACCTGTGGACGATATGAACACTGTTGTCTTCGCCGTTCGAGGGAGCGAAGGTTTCATGGACTGGGCCGTCAACTACAACACCGCACCATCTAGTCCAGAAGGATTCCTAGAAGATTCGTCAAATCTATGCCATGCCGGGTTCCTATACGTCGCAAGGAAAATGATCAAGCCAGTCGCAGATCGCCTACGCGTGCTCCTAGAGGAAAACCCAGCGCGATCCAACTGCAGTCTGCTTATCACTGGCCACAGCGCTGGTGGTGCAGTAGCTGCACTCCTCTACGCACACATGATGAGTAACAAAATCGAGTCAGAACTCAGCTACCTTACCGGCTTCTTCAAGCGCGTGCATTGCATTACATTCGGCGCACCACCCATCAGTCTCCGCGCGCTACAGAAATCCGAAGACAAACGACATCGCAAGAGCTTGTTCTTCGCTTTCGTGAACGAAGGCGATCCGATTCCACGAGCAGATAAGAGCTTCGTAAAGAGCTTATTGAAGCTCTATGCAAGTCCTGCGCCGAGCACAAGTGCACTTGCGTCAACGATAACGAACATGTCGAAACTGAATCTCTCGCAATCGCCACCATCTGCACCGCCGAAGTCGAAACTGAAGAATGGGCTTGTTCCGCGGCTCACGCGACCATCGAAGTCGTCTTTGCAGACCACGACTACTACATCAACAACTGCGACCACTGGGCCGGCCTGGACGATACCTCCGTGTACGTTGCTTCCAGCGGGCAGGATCATCATCCTGCGGTCGCGAGCAGGTATTCGCGACAAGCGCGGTGCAGATGTCATTGAAGCTGTCACGGTGGATAGCGAGACGTTTAGGAAAGTAGTCTATGGTGATCCGGTGAAGCATCAGATGAAGATGTACAAAGAGAGAATCGAAGAGATTGCGACTCGAGCTGTAACTGCTGGCGGTTACTAGCAGGTGCACATACGTAGTGTGGATTTTGATACCCTTATGAAATGAAGTAGAGAATGAAGTGGTTACAGGCATTCTTTTTGTTGCGATGACGTTGAGTGATTTCGCTGATTTCCACATTTGTACGTGTTGTCGAGGATTTCAAGCACGATCACAGGGTGCTGCCCAGGCACTCGCAAAGACTTTATTTTACACGCTTATCTTATATCACACAGCTCATTCTCGACAGATGTTATTGCTATGTTCGGCAAAGACACCAGACCTGTCGCCTCCGCGGGGTCGGGTGCTGTGTAACCGCCAGGCGCGATCCTATGCATACACACAGGGGTGCCGGGAGCACAACCCGCAAAGTATTGCATCTCCATGTGCCCGCCTCGAACTCGTCAAACTTCCTCACACATCCCTCACAATTCACAAATTTTGATCATAAATAATCCTTTAATCTTCCAATGCTTCATCTAAAGCTCGGCATACACAGGGAACCTACTTTTGGGGTTATCATATTGAGACACAGCTGACGGGATGCTACAGAACCTCGAAACATCATGAGCCTCGTATCTTCGGCTCGCATGCCAATTAAAGTCATGGCCATCAACATGGGACAGCGCATGTCACTCAGACGCACACTTTTGCTTTCGAAGCACACGCAGTACCGACGTGTTCATGGGCGTTCGGAACACCCCCTTTTCGCGCGTAGCAAAACGCCGGAAACATTTCGAAAGACAAATGCTCAGACAGGCCTGGCCACATTAGAATGCCTTTGGAAGATCCGTCAACCTCGCCCCGCACAATCAAGAATGCACTGTCAACGTGCTTATTCAACACCTTTGCCACTGGGAATAGCGAGGGCACAAGAGCGGTCTGCTCTTCTACAGGCTCGTCGTGCGGCGTTCAATCGTAAAGAGAAAATCAGTAGAGGCCACGGCATGTGGATCAATTGCGTTGAACTTCTCGGGTTACGTCAGGATAGCTCGACAAGGATTGCGCGTTCCAAGCTAGAGGTGTTTCGGTGTGAAGATGAGTACAGATCTTCCACGGGCGCTCGAAAAACATTAGCTGCGCTACGCGTACTCCGAGCCAAACAAGACTTCCAACTTGAACAAATACTGACACCTTTAAATATGCAGATCTGGTTCATGCGCGATCTATCCAATACACTGCGCCATTGTCCTTACAATAGGCTCCAAAAGAGATCGTGGTGCTTTCTAGCCTGCGCAGGAGATCTTCGGCATGATAAAGGTGAGCTTATCCTGCGCCGAAACACTCGTACGCCTTACTTTTGGCTAGGCCAATACGGGGCTTCGACATTGCCGGGAAGTCCTTTCAGGTTTCAGGCTTGGAAAGCCGAGGATTTGATGTTGGCTATCAACCAGGAAATCGACTTCCCTTCAGGACCCGGTAGTAAGACACTCAGGAAGACTTTCAAACTCTTTCTGGGCCAGTATACCGCTTGCTCACGGTTCGTGAGTCAAGGAAGCAAGGCTCATCACACCATCATGTTGAGGAGCCCTTCCACCTCGAAACAGCGCCTCTTTAATGCTTTTCAACATGGATTCTATACAGTTAGGCATACAGCAAAGGAAATCATGTCGATGTCTTGGAGGATGTCTCGGCAGCTACGTCAAAAACCTGTGCCTTTACAAGCACCTCGATCCCGTCAGGCTGCCGCGCTCCGTAACATGCGAAATGACGCAAGCACCTTGAGTGAGAATTGGGATACCACCATGGGCTTGTATGTTGAAGAATATGTCCCAGTATTTTCGAGTCTCCTCGACTTCATGACCCCCGAAGAAATCGAGCGCCGGAGCGAAAGTCTAGGGAACTATTGGCTCAGATACTGGCAAAGGCAGAAGCAAAAGGATGATCGCGAAGCACGTATTGAGACATGTCTGATCAAGATCCGCAAAGCACTGAACGAACTTCGGGGAAGGAACACGAAGATGTTGAAACTGAAGGGACATTGGAAGCGCCTCGATCCAGCAAATGACGCTGCCCAAGCGAGCTGGCAACATCAGCGGCAGAAGCAGCGTGGTTATAAGAAGCTCGGCAAGCACATGAGATGAGGAAGGCTGCGCCCGACAATGAGAATGCATGGATGCGTCTAGCCATCATGGGGATCAAGACAGCGCACAGCGAAGCTACACCCCCACCAGGTGCTGCGACAATTCATGTGCGCGGTAATTGTGGCTCGAGTTCGAACGATGCACGCACGATCGAGAGGATAAGGGCCTGTACTCAGCGGACGTCCATTAAGGAGCTCCAGTTGCCAAAACGAAATCAATGATAGATAAGGCCAAGCAGGACATGAGCTTAAGACAGAACATGTATGACTACATTGGTGTCATCAGACTAGCTCGCTCCATAGTCAATAGCTCATGGTCAATGTATCCCGAGATCTTACCTGACAGCTCAGCCTTCGCAGCTTCCAAATTGCACCAACGTATTGTTGGTAAAAAACGTAGTGCTCACTTTAGAGTTCTAAGGCCAACATATGATTAGCCTCGACATGTAATTAATATGTAAATATGCAAGCCTGAAGTATAAGAGTTAAGTAAGCAGCGTACAGGTCTTATCTGAGTTTTGCTGAGCCTTTTAAAATCCACGGTTCTTGCCTGTTGTATATCATGAGTCTGAGTGCATCTCAACTGGATGTTAAGGGCCTGATCCCAACTCTTTCTTTGAGTACCTCTTATAGACGATACGCTATAGAAACTATGTTAACTATAGATGTTAAATTGAATCGGCGTCTGCTCTTGATATGATAGCATCACTACATCGTCAGACTCCTGTTGCGTCCTACTGTACTGCTGATATATAGGAAGAATACGGCTTATCGACAGAAAAAGGAGGAATATAAGTGAGTTTGAGCAGAAGAAAAGAAACAGGTACATATGAACTCAATGCATGTGTGGTGTCTTGTTGTATTGATTCGTGACTTCTCTCCTCCATCAGACGGGTCCACTACTTTAGGCGCACCGCCTGCCAGCGTCCAGATTGCATCTCAATCGAATTTAGCCGGCTGCCTGATGAGCTACTTCGTGTAGACTGCCATTGCCGTGGAACCGTGAGCTACGCCTCAGGCTATTTTCCACAAGCCAAATGCACGAGCGTCACTGCTCAGCGCACCATATCTGGCTGTTTGATATTGCCTCATCCTCCCCGCGTTGTTCATTTCAATTCGTATCCGTCATCAAAGTCCATGTCTTCATCCCTCCTTCTTGAGCTCCTCGTCCGCCCCATTTTCCTTCTTGCCACCAACACTCTTGCTCCCCGCCAGTTCCTCGATAATCTCCGCCACCTGCACTGCCTTCGCCCGGGTCGCTTCTTCATCCTCTTTCTCCGCCAATGTGTCCAGGCCTCCGAAAAGCCATAGTTCCTGTAAATCGCGAATGAAGGTGCTGAGCTCTTGGGCGGTCTTGATCTATTTCACGTTAGCAAAACATTACGTGATTCTCTGCAACCTCCCTGATTGGGTCTGAGGGTGATTAGGAAGTGGTCGACGCGACATACCAACGAAGCACTTTGTTCCCGCACTACCAATTCCTTTTGCGCACTCGTGGAGTAGTCCTTTGCTTCGTTGAGCTTCGGTATGGTCGAGTATTCGCTGGTATCGGCGGGCTTGACGGTACGTAGGATAGTGGAGAGGTAGCCGTCGCCGCCCCAGGGATCCGTGTTGCGCTCGTCGTAGATGGCGTTGCAGAGCTTCTCTACACGGGCTGGGGAGTGGTGTTAGTACGGCCCTAAGACTGCCAAGAAATGGGACATGACAAACCTGATAGAGCCTCTTTCGTTCGAGGCAAGTCCTTATCCATGTTTGCGCATAGGCTTGAGCGTGAGTGGCGCTATGTTCGGCTGTATGTTGTACCTTGAGCTCGCACTCGCATCCCTTATCGATAGGCCATCTGTGGCACGTGCGCCTGTCTTCCATGCAGCTGGAGTGAAACAAGAACCCATCCCCGCGGACGCGGCATCACTTCAAAATTAGCGCCCATGATATCACGGGTAAATCGTCGACTCTTAGATCTCATGCCGGCAAACTATGCCGTCGCTTGTATTAATATGATCTTCGTTATTATGGCGATCCGATCGTTGCTGGGTGCCAATGTCTGCCTGAGCCAACACCATCGACAGCGACTCGGCACCGAAGCAGGTTCAGAATGCCGAAAGTCACGCCAGCCACACAGCCTTGCTCAGCTGAACTGACAGATCACCACGCATATGTGGTGTCGGCAAGAGACCGGCGGGTTGGCGGTTCGAGGCTTCAGCTCGGCTGGACGGCAGCAGGAGAAAGTTATTCCAATTGCTCAGGAGATCGGTTCATGTGAAGCCATTTCTTACGGATGATCGCCAGGCACGGGAGGCGTGTCCCGGTCCCGTCATTTGCACAGGCACGCGATTGGTCCACGCGTCCCCCTCACCTATAAACTTTGTACTCGCCCTACGCAGCGAAGACGTATACACTGGCCGCCGGTACAGCGTTGCACCAGCAGTTTCGTCGCGCAGATTGGGAGAACTGGGACCGTGGGTGTCATGGCGCCACGTTTTGAGCGCTAATTGCTGCTCCAACGGGACGCCTAGAAAACGCCGCAACCTTATCAGTCGTGGCGTGGCGTTCTAGTCTAATTTGAAGTCGACCGGGCGCCCGTTCTACTGCACGTCGTATATGGCATGTTCCAGGTTCGGACTTCAGCCCGCTCGGAACGTGCTCGGAACGTGCTCGTATTTACAAACTGAGACGCGCGTGGGTGCGCCATTTTGTGCTCCGCGCAGGAGACTGCGTTGGTGTGAGGCTGAGGATTGGCGAGTTGGCATTCTGGCATTGCGTTGCACGGCAGGAGATCAATTGGCCACGAAACCTGTTTATCATAGCGGAGAAAGATAAGAGTGTTCATTATTCGTGGTATCCTAGTGTATGGAGGGATTGTACCTGTTGAGCCCTTCGTTACGGCAGATCCTGTTCCTTCAGAGAAAATAATTGCGCCAAACTCCATCGCTTGCTTTGCCTTTTGCCTCGGTTCTAAATTAACATAAACAAATAAACACAGAAAAGCCGAAATCGTATCAAACAGATATGTAGAAAGCACACAAGGAGAATATGCTTTGCGAATCGCGAATGCTGGAGCGGGCCATGCTTCACGCTCAGTGAGCAGAGATATCGATGCTCTTACGCTGGAACATGGACCACCTTGACCTGCCAGGGGCAAGCGAGGCGCTGCGAGCTAGAACACTTTTTGCGACAGGAGTCGGCACGCTAAGATGTGTTGGCGCCGCGGCTGTGGCACGCTCGCGTACTTTGTCGTCGTCGCTACTGCTGTCTCGCGACTCATTTGTTGCAGAACTTTCTGTTCACATGTTAGAGAATTGTATAGACGGGGTTTTCGGAAGATGCTTACGGGTTGAGGCTGCAGAAGTGTTGGAACTGCTCGAGAACAGCTCGTCTGGCTCTGTACATTGGGTAAGCTGTGGTACCACTATGCTCGCGGATTTCGACGTACCCTCTTCGACAGACATCGATAGTGGACTCTTCTTCTTTGCAAACGATGACCTCCTGCTTCTGGTATGTGTGGGCCGGGGGCGTTGACGGCCAGGAAACGGGTAAGGGAGGACCGCGCCAGGCTCTGCAGAAGAGAATTGACTCGGACGTGGTGGCCCACTTGCCATTGATGAAGTAACTCCATTCGAGATAGAATGCGGTCTTCGGAGAACCGTGTCAATGCTTTCGGCTGATTTGGCTTTGCCTTTGAGGCTTGCAGAAGCCGACATGTTGACGAACTGTGCAGTACTATTTGTACGAGATGATGCACGCGACGATTCGCAGGAGTGGTACACAGAATGGCGTGAAGTCACTGGGGACTGGTATGAATTGGCCCGTCGCTTCCTCGCTGCTGCAATCCTGGCTTGGAGTTCCTCCGGTCTCACGGTGGTTGGCTGCATAGCCAAAGCGTCCTGTTTTGCATGTGTAGGTACATGCTTATATGGTGGTGCCGGTGATATGACCTGCTCGGCGGCAGCAGTCTTCTTGTGTTCGATGGCGGCATCTTTGGCCTTCTTGAACTTGGTAAATAGAGGCATATTGAATAACGGAACGGTGGTGAATGCGATGTTTCCCAAAGTTGTGTTGCGCTGGCAGGATGCGAACTCAAAAGGGTGAGATGTTTCTAAAGCGGGTGATGCAATCAAGGCTAAATATTGTCATCCCAACAGATGAGCTAGGTTCGCTCATCGAGCATGGGTACAGATTGGGGCTCTGTCAGTGCGCACTGCGCGCTGGAAAAGTGGCGCTACCGTGATAGAGGTGCAGCTACGCCAAACGATGGAAGTTAGCAAGCATCAACAGATCGTGCTAGGGGGCTAGCTTCCGCTCGTGGACTTTGAAACTCAAACTCCTGTCGCCAGTCGGGAGAACGTAATAGATTATTTGATGACGCATATCTTCAACAGAGTTTCGATGGTGTTTGTGCAGCGCGAGACTGATGCCTGGCAGACAGGCAGGAGCCATGCAGCCGAAGCTCCCACGCTGTATTGATTCCCGGGGCTGTGGACCCCCAGGTCTAGAATTCTAGCACCGAACCCAGTACCCGGCAACTTGTGCGCATGGCGGAGCCGATGATAGGATGCGTGTTACACCATTAGGGAGGCTTGCAGCTATCTAGCTTCGCTTGAGGCCTTCGTACCTATTTCAGTGCTCGTCAAACTAAGCCTGGATTGACCCTCAAACGTAAAACTACGCATGTACCGGACGAAAGTACGGCAGAAGCTGTCATGGCGGCCTCGTCGTCAAGTCGGCTCGGCCTCACCGGTGCGCTGATAGAAAACGGCCCATTATTGCTGTTCCCTCAGCCGTATGTCGACAACGCCAGCTTCCTTTCCTAGCAGGTCTACGGCAGGTCTACGCACCCACCGCATAATCAAGCTGTAAGCTGTGCTGCGGCGACCCAGTTTCGTGCAGGCTGTATGCCTTACTATTGTAGTCACTATTGCGAGAACTCGTCTTGAACGGAAGACTCAGGTCGACTGCAGGAAATGTGGCAGTCATTTGCTCGCCGAGAGTCTTTCTCGAAGCTGGTCGACCAGAATCCAAGAGACCCAGGCCACTGATGATTGACCACAACGTACTTACACATGAAGATCGTCCCAAAGTAGGTTCACTGGGTGTCAACAGTACAGAGTCGCCGTGCTCGTGTAGCGCAGTGTAACACGAACGGCCAGAGGAGCGGGGATCCCATATCTTCCACGTATGGAACCCAGCGTACAGTGTTCAGCACACTTTTGTATGTCTTGCATTGCATACTCCGGAGTACAAAAGTCTGAGAGGGTTGTCCGCAAAGAAGCACGTCGCACGGAGACGGACTCGCTGAGCCTGGACCACTTTGATCATCGTGGGTACCCGTGGACGCGATCTAGGATCCTGAAGCTATTTGCGGCCCTTCTGTCGTGTGGGTAAGCGACAAGAGTTGCGTCGGTTTCTTAAGGTGCCGCTATCCTCAAGAAACGTAGATAAGGGTACCAGTGTTTCGTTGAGATGCAGATCTGTGGCATTTGATTTGTATTATGGGCTTGAACGATCAAACATAAGTGTCAGTGTGGAAGATCAAGTAAGCAGATGCAGATGCGATTCAGATGCGCATGCGCAGAATGGGAGAACGTGCTACAGTATGGCGACGTTGACCCCTGACGCATCTCCAGTCCATGAAGCCGATGCTCCCTGTATTTGATTGCGACTATGCCCACTGCAGGTTATCAACTAGGACGGAAACCTCGGCTCCACGCCTGGGGCGAAGATGCGATGGCAGTCTGATCAATGGGTTCGAGGGCAGCAGCGGTCTGCATCAGGCAAAAGTGATGCTATTCGGAAGCGGTGGAGATGGCAGAATGTTGCCAAGGCGCATTCGTCGACTAGCTTCGATGCCTCGTTGGCGCCAGGCTGTCGTCACTCAGACGAAATCGCCGTCGAGACCATCTGCATCTGCCGCACGCTGCATCTGCGCAATAGGTCGTACTCGCGAAATCGCCGTCCCAGCCAGCTTCCGCCATCAGCCATCACCACAGGGTCTTGGTGTTGCGGCTCTGCCTGCCGCGGTCCAGCCTTTTCTCTCTTAGCGTGGCCCGTGGACGCTTTGGGCACCACAACCACAGCACCACGCAATCGCAACCCACCACACGCGACGAACGGCCTACCACCGCGGCGATCATCACCCCCGTATTCCTCCCGTCTTGTGAGAGCCGATATTGTCATCTCTGCGCGACCTGCGCCATAGCACACGCGAACACGTCGCGTTGCTCGCCCCGTCACGAGCCTCCTGTAGCATCCGCTCGTCATTTGCCAGCGCACCCATCCGACTCTCCAACGACGTTTTCCGTGGACGTTGCCGCCTGCCCGCCTGCACTGCGCAAGGGATCGCGATCGCGCGCTACACTCTGGAGGGCGTGTTTGCCCTGGCCGGAGTGCTTGTAGGCCCTCGATCCTACTATGGCATTGGTAGCGCCACCTGCCAACGATCGCAAGCGCGTCAAAGTATACGAGCTCAAGAACAATGACTGGTTCGACCGCGGTACCGGCTTCTGCAGGGGAATTGTCGTGAGTGTATGTCCCGCCATCGCCTTTGGCGCGCTACAGTCTGCAGTCCGGCCATGGCATCGCGCCATGGCCGTCTGCGCCTGTTGCACTGTTCTCGGCTGACTTGTGCGACCACAGGCAGAGGAAGCCAAAATTGTCGTTCTTTCCGAGGACGACCAGACGCGACAGCTCCTCGAAACGCGTATATCCAAGGATGATGGCTATCAGAAACAGCAAGGTGCGGCGCGCAGACTCGACATGCGATATGCGGGGGCGGCAGCTGACTGAGAACAGACACGTTGATAGTATGGACGGAGCAAAACGGCACAGACATGGCCCTCAGCTTCCAGGAGCCCGAGGGCTGCGCCAACATCTGGTGCGCATGAGCACGCAGACTCCTTTCACAATGCGCTGACACAGCACAGGGATTTCGTGAACGAAGTACAGTCGCGACTCCAAGCGCTCGCGCAGGGTACGTTTGGTCGCATGCGCGATGGCCGATTACGTGCTAACAATCTCCCAGAAGACGGCCTCTCCGACGATATTGACCACATCAGCCCCATCATGCTTCCGAACCCGGATCTCGGCAACCTCCACGACATCGAGAATCACATGCGCGCGGCCAACTCAACGCCAGGTGGCCGCGAAGCACTGGCCAAATTCATCTACAACGAGAAATACATCCCAAGGTTAATACCGCTTGTGGAAATGGCAGAGGACCTGGAGAGTGTGTCCGATCTGCACCGATTGTGCAGCATTATGAAAATGCTCATACTTCTCAATGACAGCCAGATCATCGAGTACATCGTAACGGACGCGGTGGTACTGGGTGTGGTTGGAGCACTGGAGTACGATCCGGACTTCCCTCTGCACAAGGCCAACCACCGACAATATCTAGCCGACGAGTCGAAATTCAAGGAGGTGGTGAAGATCGAGGACGAGAGCATAAAACGGAAGATTCACTGCACCTTTCGGTTGCAGTACCTCAAGGATGTTGTGCTTGCACGCATCCTAGACGACCCAACGTTCTCTGTCCTGAACTCGCTCATATTCTTCCACCAAGTTGATATCGTCCAACATCTGCAGGCCAACGGAGCCTTCCTGAAAGAGCTCTTCAGCATATTTAGCCCCAAGGAGCAGAGCATGCAACGGAAAAAGGATGCCGTGCTATTTATACAGCAGTGTTGCGGGATCGCAAAGAGCTTGCAGGCTAATAGCCGAGGTCAACTGTACCAGAATTTCGTCAGCAATGGATTGCTCGAAGTCATTCAGTTCGCTTTGAAGCACCAGGACGCAATTGTGCGTGTAGCGGGTACGGAGATTCTCATCAACCTCATCGAGCATGATGCGTTGATGCTGCGCAGCCAGGTGTTCAAGGCGCTACAAGAAAAGTCCAAGCCGTTGACTGACACTCTAATCGAGCTTCTACTTATTGAAGTTGACCTCGGTGTCAAGGCGCAAATGGCAGAGGCCATCAAAATTTTGCTCGATCCCAATGCCAATTCAGCATCAATCGAAGCGCTCGGACGGACTAACAGTGACTTCCTCGCTAAAATGAGAGGCCAATTGCCCTCTATACCGCAGACGGACTCCTTCATCCAGAATTTTTACGATGACTCTGCGAGGAAGCTTTTCCAGCCTTTGAAGGACCTTGAGGGCCGGGAAACAAGTAAGCTCAATATCTCCAAGACATGTCAGTCTGCTAATGGTTGCCAGTGGAAGATCTTTCCATGCAAGAAGTATCACTCTACTCCCATCTTTTGGAAGTCCTCTGCTTCTTCATTCGACAACACAATTTTCGCAGTAAATATTTCATTTTGTCCGAAGGTCTGGCAGCGCGAGTTGCTCAACTTATGGACTGTCCAGAGAAACACCTGCAGCTTACAGCGCTCAAATACTTCCGGATCGTCATCGGCTTTCACGACGAGACACATAACCGCCAAATTATCCAACATCAGCTGTTCGAGCCGATCCTGAGGATCTTGTTCGCCACGATGCCGCGCGACAACCTCCTTAACTCTGCATGTCTGGAGCTTTTTGAATTTATCAAGCGAGAGAACATCAAGATGCTTGTCCAGCATCTTGTGGAGACATACCGGGAGAAACTTCAAGAAATTACATATGTGGACACGTTCCAAAATCTCATTCTGCGTTACGACCAAATGCACGAGCCGGCACCGACACAAGAGCTCGAGCATTCCTTTACAAGCGTGGACAGTGACACACCTGGACGACATCATGCCGTTGTCAATGGAGGCAAATGGGGACATGGACTCAAAGAAGTTGATGCAGACGAGGAAGCGTATTTCAACGCGTCCGACGATGAAGACGAAAACGCTTCTACCAGCGACAGGCCTGGTATGAATGGAGCGTCGCCTGTACGTCCTCTTGTCAACTACCCGGATGACGATGCGGAAGAAGACGACATGGATATTCTTGCCACGGAAATACCACCATCAGCTCAAAAGCTGTCTGCGGCGACGCAAACGCCAGATGAGGAAAGCGGGTCACCGAAAGCTGCGGCGGTTGAGTCTCCCCCTGAACGTGTCTCGGAGAAACGACGCAGGGAAGAGGACGAAGAGGACGAGTTGCTTGCAAGCATATCCACTAGTACTGGTCCGAAGCGCCGCGCTTCAACCGCGAGCAATGCAAGCACAGGCAGTCTACGGAGCCTACGTCGGAAGTCGCCCAACATCAACTCGGGCAAAGATGGTGGGGGCGGACCGAAGAAGATCTCGCTCTCACTACCATTGAAGAGCGGCGGTGAAGGTGGAGAGGGCGAATAGTCAGCCATGGTCCCCACTTCACAACAGACACTCAAGAACATGTGGAGGGAACTCAGCTGGATGCTTTGTATTTCTGCTGCTTAGCATGCCTTTACTTACTCACGAGATACCCCTTGGAAAATGGACACACGATCGACGTTGTATGAACTGGGCTAAATGGGACTTCCTCCTTCATACAAATGTTCACGCGGGAGCGGCATTGGGTGGTGTAATTACAGGCGTTCAATACCTTCAACTTTGGGGGAACTGGGTATGATGGGATGAGGTAGCGTGGGAGTGTTTGGGAGCGTGCTTCTGGTGTTGGATTCCACAAACGTACGAGCGAAGGCCGGTGGCCGTTGTAACATATGCCTCTTCCTGCTACAAGGCTAATGAATCTGTGCAAAGGAATGTTGCTGTTCATTTTAGTGACTCCAACAAATCGAGACGACCTCTACTTGATGCCAAGTTTTGAACCCCTCGCAGATCACGTTTCTTCGCGATATTCTTTAGCGCGTTCTTCACCCCGCCGCACGTCATCTCGGCTTGTACCCTTATTACATCGAACCGCGGTCCATCACTCCACACAAGACACGCAGTTCCTGCCGACTTAATTCCTAGAAGACACACGTAGCTTCCTACATGAGCAATGTCCGAATCTTCTCAAGCAACAGCACAAAACCAATCGAGCACACCCGCGGCAAGCGACGCGTCCACCATGCCCAAATCCCCAAGCCTCACCCTCATACTCGCCGCCACACCCTCGTTAGGCATAGGCAAAGGCGGCACACTACCATGGCCACAACTAAAGAAGGAAATGGGCTACTTTGCGCGCGTCACGAAGCGCGTCTCCTCTCCCCAATCCACGGGCACAAGAAAAGTCAACGCAGTACTCATGGGCCGCAAGACGTGGGATAGCATACCGCCGAAATTCCGGCCGCTCAAAGATCGATTGAACATTGTGATTACGCGCAAAGCCGACGAGTTTGAGAAGACGCTGGACAAGAAGAGTGATGTCGAGGGGCCGATGGTAGCGTCGGGCATTGTAGATGCGTTGGCGCAATTGGAAGGGAAGGCGGAGGAGGTTGATCGCGTGTATGTCATTGGTGGCGCGAGTGTATATCAGACTGCGCTGGAACTGCCGCAGACGAGATATGTGTTGTTGACGAAGATACGGAAGGAGTTTGAGTGTGATACATTCTTTTCGGTGGATTTGGAGGAGAGTGCGGTGTGGCGGAGGGCTGGGAGGGAGGAGTTGCAGGAGTTTACGGGTGAGGAGGTGAAGGAGAAGGTGATCGAGGAACATGGTGTGGAGTTTGAGTTTTGTTTGTATGAAAGAGTGTAGAGGGGGATCGAATGACCACTTCTGTTTGAGAACCATCACAGCTTTTCATTCACATGTATGACTGAGATGTGACAAGGAGAAGAACGACCAAGACTCATTGTGATGTTCGATTGAACTTATTCTAGACTACCATGATGAATCCAACCAATCCACTCAACCAGTCTCATCTTTCCCCACGGACATACTCTACGCCATAGCCAAATCCCAAGCGGCCTTACCAGCCATTCCGATCATAACATAGTGCGCCAACATCCACAGAATGCCATAGTACCTGCCCTTACCGCCCTCGCTACCATTCGTGTACCCAACCGCATAGATGACGCGGTTGACAGACCACACAGCTCCTAAAACAGCCGTTGCGGTGGGGTACTTGAGGCCGGCAATCGCCATTGCGCCCAGCGCGGTCGGGTGGTTCTCGTTGAAGTTCTGGTGCGCGCGCTGGGCGGAGTTGAAGGCCAGCATGGCTTTGGACGACGCGGGCGATGCGGTTTGGATCTGCTCGTAGGAGGCGTACTCGAAGGGGTAGGGCACTTTGGCGGCTTTGCGGAATGCGCCGACGCGCCCGCCTTGCCAGGCGCCGACTACGAAGGTCGAGACGGCGGCGAGGAGGACGTAGCTGGAGATGTGTTAGTGAGAGGTAGGGGAGGGGAATTGGGGAGCTCAATGCGTACCCATAGTCGCCAGGGATCGAAATGATAGCCATTGCGTCGTCTTCGTTGTTGTTGGCTTGTTTGCTGATTTAGGGTTCAATTGTTCGCTTGTTGAGTTCTTTGGTTGACAGTTCCAATTCGCAATGTCGTCGAGCTTTTGTATCCTTTCTCTTGTGGACAGCAAACACAGAAACGTGTGGAAGCTTCAAACTAGCGGACGAGTTTCAGCGGCGACGGCGCGCCTCGGTCCAACCGTTCGCCGACGCACCCATTACAACTCCCTACCGCGCTGCTACACACGCCATCGTTGAGCACCTGCTGTGTTGCAGTGTCACGCAACAAGCCGACGGGCGTCGTACGGAATGGTGCCTAAACGGAAAGGCAGGAGATGCTGATGCGCAGCAAAAGAGGCGAGATGACAGCATGCAGGCGCATGTAAGCTGCACGCCACGAAACTGGCACAAAGCACCGCGATGCACCAACACAGAAATGGTAGAAGATTAGAAGAACAGCGTACAGGGCTGGCATCTAGTATGTTTTGTAGTTCCAGTGCAGTACTACCAGCCAGATAGAGCAATCCTTGCTTACTATTGCGCAAGAGTCCCGATTAGTGATGCATGCTCTCATTTGGAAGGTCGTTCCGCCGCAATCGTCGGAATAGACAATCAACGCCTAGAGAAGACATCACAATGAGAAAAAGAGTTGGTAGTGGAAAGCCGTTGTCTGAGGAAAATTACTTTGTCTATGAACTCCTGAACGCCATCCACCCGTCTAATCTATGTACAAAAAGTCACAAAACCACGCCCAAAACATGTCAACGAGAGAGTCAAGAACGAAAGCCAAGCATCTCTCTTTCACAGCAAACCCCATCCATTTACATTCTCTTGTACCTCGCTGCTAGTCGTCTGTCTCAATATCCGCGGTTTTCGGTGCCTGAATATGGCACATGTCCGGAACTGGACAGTGGCAGGACAGGCAGTGCGGTCTTTCGGATAGCCACTATAAGACGACTCTCATCATCTGGCTGAGTGCCCCAAGACATGCCCGAAGAGCGCGAAGAAGATGGCGATCCCCGATTTCCAGTGCGCATCGCGTCGTCCATCACATGCAGCCGAGATATCTGCGTCCGTAGAACCGCCCGCAACCTGATCCTCGCTCCTCACCTCATCTCCAGCAGAGAGATCGGCCCCAGCCGATGTGTATTCACTATCCTCAACAAGGACGATTCCCGCGAACCTATGCTTGCCGTGCGCGCCTGCTTTTCCGGCAAAATAGGCTTCAATAGCAGCTTCCAAGCGAAGGGCGAAGAATGCTGGATCGTCCTCGAATACATCTAGCACGTCGCGCACTGCCCAAGATGCTGATTTGGATACCGTTGAGTCTCCGAAGGCGATCAGGGAATGTATGACTTGTTCATAGTCAGCATAAATGTACGGTTCGGAGCATTCTGGGAAACCTTTTGGTCGTGGTGCTGGTGTTCCATTTGCTGGCGGTGGACCAGCCTTGGAAGCTTTCGGGTGCTTGCGGATGCGGCTGATGGCTTTGACAAGGACGTGGACCACCGCTTTGATGAGCATGAATGCCCCGAAGAAGCAAAATACGAAGAGAACGACGAAGGTAAGGGAACCGAGAATAGCATGTAAGTGTGATATGAAGTTTGGAGCGCTGAAGCTGTAGCTGGCGCTGCTCGTCATGTTGGTGGTATGGATCCCGTTCCCAGTGATGAACCTCGTCATGAATGCTTCTTGTAGTTGCAGTGTTGGGTCTTCGAGATGATGTTTTATGTGAGCAGTGTAGAAAGAATGATGTGAGATGCTGTGCTTGATGGAATACAGCAATGCGGTCCATCCGCCATCCATATAAACACATCGTCCATGATGGTTAGAGCTACCTCCAAGGCCCACGATACGTTTGCTCTTGAGACAGTGTAGAATGCACGGTGCTCTGCGCGAATGCACTGAGACTACTCACCTTTGTGTGGTCATGGTCTGTCTTACTTCAGCTTTCGCACTGGTCACGTACATAGCTTTCCGCGTTACAGACAAAGCAAGAAGACAGAGCGGACGACGTGGCGAGTGCAAGTTCTATTCGTTCTGGAACTCTGTGGTCTATGCAAAGCTGCTCAAGACACCAGTATCTTGCAGAAGCTCAAGCACGTGACACTAGCTTCACTGGCACAAGACTGGGCGAACAACCAAGCTATGATCAGTGCGATACGTCAGACAGGTGCATGATACTGACGTGTACCTGTCAACGGATTCACAGGCGCACATCGCTGGCTCAACTCTACATATAGCGTCGTCTCGCTAAACTCTAAAGCTTCAGCATGATCGCCTGGAACAGTGAAAATAGTACTTTCAGCCAAGGCAAAACATGTCTCTTCATATTAGAACATTTCAACATCAAAACACATTTCAACATCACACGTCGAGGAGATGATGATACTGTGCCAGACAAACCTGAGGCACCGCACAATATTCAGTCATTCAACATTTTGTGACTCAACTTTTGATTGTCAGAGTAGCACTAGTTCGGATATTCAGCATACATAGCTACTAAGCCGTTCAATTCGCTTAGCTTGTTTTCGAGGAACGCCGCCTCTCTGAGTGAGTCCATCCGTCTATGCATACAAGAAGCGCCACGGCCATGAACGATGGTAAAAGGAAAACAGAAGCATCTCAAACCTGTGAGTGAAGTATTTGTTGACAAGATAGATTGCGCGCACGCGTATGTAGAGAGAGGCCAAGGAAATAACAACCAGCGGAAAGCCTATCCCGCACAGAACGCAGACTATGCACACAAAAGAAAACAACGTGATGCCACAGAAAAAAAAAAGTGTACTTTTAAGGATCCAGGATGCGTGCTAAATCGAGAAATGTCATCAGACTCTACATCTGTACCAAGTTCGTCGTGAGAGGAGATGTGACGTGTGGTGGTGCTAGGCTGCCCTCTACGAAGACATCGATCTTAGTTGGGACTTCTTTCTGCTTGTTTGCAGCTTGTTCTGCGGACAATCGTTCGTGAGACTCCTCGGCAATATCGCTCATTTCGGAATCATCGCTATGGTTGTCGTTTTGCTCCTCAAGAGACTCTTTGTAGCTTGCTGGCGTAATTGTTTGTGCGGACGTATGTCGCTGCTTCACAGCTCCGATTGATAGTTTGCGAGGCGCTAGGTCCTCGCCTGGTTCCATTCCGGCTGTGCCACCACTGACGACGCTGTTCGCATCCCTGTCGTCAGCAGCAAGTGCCTCTGCAGCTTCTTGGAGCTCCTTCTTCCTCTTCAGTCGCTCTTCAGCAGTGGTGTTGTGCCAATCACTACCAAATTGGATCACAGATGCCTTCTTGCCATGCACTGTGAAGCTGCCCTTGTCTCGCGTCAAGCCTTCATTTTCCGGAGAATCTTCGCTAACAATTGTTGATGCCGAGTCCCTGCCTTTGTGGCTACGGCGGTGCGAAGTCTCTCGCAGGGTGCGATGTAAGCTTCGTCTATGCTTTGTATGTGATGCTGGTGAACCTGCAGCCGAACCAAGCCCCTGGTCGGCATCGGACTCAGTTGTGGCATCAGGACGCATGCCGTCCAAAGATGGCAACTCGGGTGTCTTCGGCTCAGTTGAACCTGACTCAATGGGTGGTGGTGTAGTATAGCGTGAATCATCGTCCGAGTCGGAGTCGGAGTCAACTGTTCCAGTACCGTCGTCGGTGGTTACAATTGACGGGCGATGTTCGGACGGAAGCAGTCGCGGGGATTGTGTGGGTGCAGAGGAGCTAGCTACTGAGCTCCGACGTTCCGATGCCCGCGAGCTGAACGACATGGGCGGAGGGTGGAACCTTCCTGATGGATCATTCGGGCTGGACTGGCGAGATGTCTCCGGCGGCGTCTTGAAGGCATCGTCTCCCGCAAAGTCAGTGTCCCTAGACGACTTGGTGCCGGGACGTACTGATAGGCTTGGTGACGGCGGTGGCTTAGGCCCACTGGTTAGCGAGCTTGTCTTGGAGGTGAGTCGAGCAAGGCTGCTGATCTTAGATCCTCTGTGTGATTGCTGCGGGCTGAGTTGCTGCTGGGGTACTGGTCCAAACTCTGGTACCTTGTCAATCCGTGCCTGCCGTTCTGCGGCGCCTTGCTTTTCGTCTTCTAGTTCGTGTGCGAGTGTATCACGATGGCACTTCATGCGCCAGATTTCTATACGCGCCCATTTCAGCTTCGCGGATAGACGCCCGGCAGCGTGTATGACTTGTTCTCTAGTCTTTGGCTGAATTGGAGCAAGGATTTGAAGGTGTCTCGCGTCCCGTAATCGAGCCTCGAGCTCTTTAATGCGTTGTGCAAGCTTCTCTTCAGACTCCAGTATTCGTATCTGCATCGTCTCTCTCCTAGCATTAGCCATTTGTTGTGCGAAATGACTGTCAATCTTTCCACTCTGAACAGTCACCTCTCCAGTGGATGTGGAAATTGACTTGACCGAGTTTGCAGACTCTAGACGACGGATACCACGGTTCTTCTGCCCTTCGTACAACCCCCCTATCATGCCTCTCGGGCGGACACCCAGGGTCTCGAAGGCCGCAGTGTAATTTAATACACCTAGCCACTCATTCAGATCTTTCTCGCTATCAGCCAAGAAGGTCTCCTCTCCAGCTTTTGAGTAAACGACGAATGCGTTCTTGTGCTTCTTGTAAGTAGTGTCAACAAGGGCGACCGCACCGTCCATTGGTATTATGTGGTCTTGCTTGAAGTCCTCCAACGGCGGCTGAAATAGCACTGGGCCAGTTTCTCCTCGTTTTTGGTGTGCCTCGTGTTGGTGCATGAGATTCTTCGTCCAGCTAGAGTTTTTGAAGAAGGAAAGACCGGACCGTGTGAGGACTGCACCCCACTCTTGCCAGGGTGAGCGGGCTTTCTTTCGCTTGGTTCCCTTTCTCCACAATACTCCGACCTTTGTGACCGGCATTTCAACAATACCAACAGACGTGCCCAGTGGATTCTCCTGGGCGGCTTCTGACATGAAAGCTTCGGGTCTAGAGCGTGATGACACTATTTGAATTACGCCGTACCTCGTGAACAGTTTGTAGACGTTCTTGGTGTCGAGAGAAGCAGCTGTTCCGAGATAGTTGTATGGATCGTCGATGTTCATGACTTCCTTGATCGCAGGGCGGAGAACATCTAGCTTGCCCTCGAAGATCAGGGTGTAAGGATCGATAGGCTCTTTGGTGGCCTTCCGTGCTGGATCGTTCATTGGACCTTTGAGAACGGCGGTCCTTTTGCTCTTTTTCGATGATATGTTTTTGAGGTCGACCTCGTCCTCGATATGGATGAAAGGCGTGTAGACTACGTTGTCGTAGAAGCAGCCGAGAACGTCATCGGAGACGCCTTCGCACGAAGAGTTCTTGATATAGTCCAGCCTTGTCATCTTTCTCTTATTGTTCTTGTTGAAGACATCCGTGTGCAAGATAATGATGGAGAAGGAGATGAAGTATGCTTTGTCTGCTTGCTTTTAGTATGGCGTCAGTGCCTATGTTATATTTCGGCTTACCAGCGTTGGTGTAGATACCAGGATTACATTCGTGATATCGGTCAGCAAAACCCTGGAGCACTCGGTCGATCTGCTGTGTCTCCTTGGGAAGCTCAACCTGCATCAGCAACTTGCGTACGGCCATGTCAATTGGGTCACCAAAGAAGGCGAACTTGCGCATGTAACTGCGCAGCACGGACAGAAGAAAGGCGTCGTCGGTCTTGCTGAGGTAACTAGCAACGATGCTCTTGTCGAGATTGTTGGCCTCAATTCGCTCCAGATAGTGGCCCGGAGTTTCGCCTTCTTCCCGAGTTGGCAAATGGAGCGTTTCACGACTAATGTTCATAGAATTCTGGTGTGATGAAAGACCGGAGGACCCTATGAAACCGTGAGCAGGAGAGCCATGCCGTGGAGAATGGGGCTCTGGATTCTGACGGAATCTTGAACTGAGGCCAAACAAGTTGCTGAAGCTGCTCCTTCCTGCGGTAGACGTCGAGTTCCTCCCACTTGCACCGTTGGGTGGCGTCGGGGGCGTAGCATCATCGGAGCGTGCACTCATTGATCCCATAGTGGACGAGCGGCCTCGCATGCCAAGTCGGATGGGACCTCCAGCGTGAGGTGAGGAGCGAACTGAGTGGATAGATTTTGTGGAATCGTTTCGGAACAGAGAGCCTGGACCGGGTGAGGCCAGATTCAGAGAGTTCGCAGCTAGAGCGACTTGCGATGCAGAAGGAACGGGTGGAGTCTGCGCTCCTGATCCGCCATGCTCGAGGCGCCGAGCTGTCAACGGAGGACTGCTAGTTGGAGAGTGGTGCGGTGAGCCAGAGCTTCGGCCGCCTGTGGAGGCGCGGGGGGTGGCGGGTGCAGTGTCGGGAAACTGTGGCGGGTCGATTTTCATGGGAAGGGGAAATAAGGATGCGCGCTGTTTTCGCCGACCAAAAGTGAAGCGGGCAGAGCCCGTCCGGGGTGGGTGTTGCGGACGCGGGGTGTGCTCGAAGGAGATGTGGCCGCCTGAGCTGCCGTCGGATCGTGAGGACTGCGAGGCTCGCGGATCGGGAAGGGCCAAAGTGGTGGTGCTTTCCACGGATTCCCTGGGTTCGGCAAGAGCCTCCGGGCGCTGCTGGCTTGTGGACAGGCGCTCATTTTCTTGCAGCAAGTTGCCCTGGCTCTTCTTGAACCCCAACGGCCCCCTCTTCTTATCCGTCGACTTGCGCAAGATGCCCGGGCGCTCGCCCATGGTGGGGTCAAAGGACCGTCGTCGCAGGCTGAATTGCTGCAGCCTCCCTCGCCGCTTGGGAGTGGTCTGGTCCTGGTCCGGCTCGGCCGTCCATGACGGTGGGTGCGGTGGTGATGATGGCGGGAGCTACAGCAAGAGATACGTCAGCATAGGGAACACAACTCAGGGCTCCAAGACATACGCTCTGGGTGGGCGGGCATGGCGGGCACAGGCGGGGGGCGCTCGCTCTCGCGGGCGGCATGCTCCTTCGCCTTGACGGACAGCTGCGAATCCGAGGCATGGCGGAAGCGCATCAAGCTGAAGCGGCGCGTGTTGGGAGTGGCCTGCTGGACGGGCGGCGAGGGGGGCTCGTCATTGTGGAGGGACAACGAGGGCCGCGCAAAGTCGGTCGAGGGGGGACGGCCGCCATCTTCAGAGACGCCCAGGCGGTCGACGTCCAGGTGCTCGGTGGACTGGAGGAAGCGCGAGTCCCGGTCGCCGCGCTTGAAGAAGCCGGCGGGATCGAGGGTGCTGCGGCGCTTGAGGTCTCGGTCGCTGCGGTTCGGTCGGAGGGCCCTCAGAGGCATAGCTGCGCGCGTAGCTACCAGCTCATCTACGCGGATTGGGTCACAGCGCGGTACATGGCACGGCGGAGGCAGAGGTGGACTGGTGCAGTCAACGGTCGACGTGGACGTGGACGTGGACGGGCCGGGGTCGAGGGAGGCACGCGGCAGGCCGTAAGGCTGAGGGAGATGCGGCTAGGATTAGTCCGGGAGGTGGGATGGACTAGCAGTGCGGATGGAGGGCAGCACGAAGACGGACTCTTACGCGCAGAGGCAGCGTCTCACTTGTCGCTGGGCGTTGGCTGTCACTGGGCTGATAGGGGTGGCATTGGTAATTGGACGTCAGCTACAAAGTTTCCCAGCGGCCACGGGCGGGCGCATGGGCGCAGTTCCTGGTGCAGGCTCAAGTTGGTGGAGAGCTGGCCGCGGCCTAGTGCGTCGGGACTGGCACCTGGGCAGCCTCCAGCCACACTCAAGCACGTGTTCGCGGCGCCACACCAGGCGTCGCTGTCGCGGCTGCGGGCTGACTAGCCAGGCACACGAGCGGAGCACATGCAGCGGGATTTCTGACATTCTGCCTTCTGACATTGCAGCGCGTGCTGGTGAGCGCACACTTCTTGCATAGCATCTCCGCCCCGCCGCAATGCGCCAGCAAACCCTCGCTGCACTGGGCTTGCTGCTGCTCGGTCCCGCGCTCGTCACCGCCGCCCCGCACGACGCTGTACGGCTCCCTAACGGCGCATCTGCTAGCCCCAACCACGCGCCGCGGCCATGGCGCAGGCTGTCCGACTGCCTCATCAGGAAGATATGGGGGCTGCCGGAGCCGCAGAAGAGCCTGGGAGGCGCTGGCAGCCACAGTGTGCTGGGCTCCCAGCTCGACACGCGATATGGTGAGGACGTGGTCCTGAGGTTCAAGATCCGCACAGAAGAGGAGGCACAAGCACTCGCAGAGGCCGTCGACGTGCTTTTCCTCGACGTGTGGGAGTTCAACGACGACTGGGCCGACCTGCGCGTCACCAAACATGTCATTCCATCGCTGCTCGGACTGCTCCCAGCGTCCCTCCAACAATCGCACCAGCCGCTCATGCAAGACCTCGACCTCGCCCAAGCCATCTTCGACTCGTTCCCCTCGCCCGCCGGCACGCAATCGCACGACCACTACTCGCCAGAGCTCAAGGCCTCGCCTCGCTCAGGCCGGGGCCATCCGTTCTTCCAGGACTACCAGCCCATGTCTGTCATCAGCCCGTGGATGAACCTCATGTCGTCCATGTTCACCACACACGTCCGGCGCATCAGCATCGGCAACACATACGAAGGCCGCGAGATACCCGCATTGCGAGTCGGTGTGCATCCCACCGACAACGACCACCCCTCTGGTGCACGCAAGACCGTCGTCATTACTGGAGGCTCACATGCGCGCGAATGGATTTCGACAAGCACTGTCAACTACCTCGCCTGGAGCCTGATTAATTCCTACGGCAAAGACCGCGAAGTCACGCGCCTGCTAGAAGAGTTCGACTTCGTTCTTGTCCCAACCCTGAACCCCGACGGCTATGTCTACACCTGGGAGACGGAGACCGTCTGTGGCGCAAGAACCGGCAGCCCACCAGCCTCCGCTTCTGCCGCGGTGTCGACCTGGACCGCAGCTACCCCTTCAAATGGGATGGTGACATGACACGCACTAACCCCTGCAGCGAGTCTTTCGCCGGCGATGCGCCCTTCGATGGTGTCGAGGCCCAACGTTTTGCCGAGTGGGCGCGAAACGAGACCGAATACAACAACGTCGAAATCGTTGGATTCCTGGACCTCCATTCATACAGCCAGCAAATCCTCTACCCGTATTCTTACTCCTGCAACGACGAGCCCCCGTCCATCGAAGACCTCGAGGAACTTGGTCTTGGCCTGGCCAAAGCCATCCGAGTGGGCAGAAAGGGACAGGCATACAAGGTCACGTCAGCCTGCGAAGGCAATGTCGCCTTCTCCTCGAACAACAACAAAAAGATCATTCTGCCTCGCATCGAGAGCAGTGGTGGCAGTGCGCTGGATTACTTTTACCATGACTTGAAGGTCAAGTACAGCTACCAGATCAAGCTGAGGGATACAGGCAGTTACGGCTTCTTGCTGCCCAAGGAAAGCATCATTCCAACAGGTGAGGAGATGCTGGACGCTGTATTGTATTTTGGACGTTTTATGCTTGGACAAGTAGGCCTGGCGGAGGAGCGAAAGATTGAAAAAGCCCCCGGATCGCCAATGGGAGATGCAAATGTCGAGAATGTTGAGTTGTAATGATTGGCAAATCATTAGCAGGGTCTTCTTCTTGTTGTAATAATACCACTATTTCTCATGACTCCCCACTGATGTCTGTGAGGCAGGTGTGAACATGGTCCACTGCCCGATGCTAGTGATGATAAGCAAATGACCCATATGAGCGAAGGACCTTGGCGCGAGGAACTTGAGTTGTTCTTCTCCGAGAGATCCGTTCACGAGCTTGGATGGAGCTGGCCGTCACTACCAAGTTGTCGCTAGCTTCCAGCCTCTCAGCGTTTAGGATCGCACCAAATTCACGCAACAGCTCCACACTTCCGTACCACCCTGACCACATTTATGACAGGCTCAAGGCAAAATTGCATCTGCGAGAATGTCACGCGATCGGGCAGCCCATCGTAACAGCTCCTTTCAGCAGCTGCAAGCGGCAGCTGAAACCCACCTCGAGAGGCTCGTTACTCACGATCCAGGAAATCATCCGGCTCTCGCCTCATCTCATTGGCGAAGATGCAAAAACGATGAACAATTTGCGGTTATCGGCATCGTATTGCGCGCATTTTCATGCCGCAACATGTTCTCAAACCTGAGATGAGACGAAACGCGGAGGTGCCAGCCCTGTCAAAACCGTAGCGACAGCGGGACATGGCCAAATGGGATCTGCTGCGACGTTTGCGTGCCTGGAAATGCGATCCTGGGAAACAAGAAGATTTCACTGACATATCGATGTATAAGTTTTGTTGTGCCTTGTCTATATTGATGTTTCTATCTCATTCGCGTTTACTCCATTCTTTTGCATCCTCTGGCTAGGACTCTCGTTATTCTATCCTTCCTCTTCTATAAGTCTATAATACTTCAAAAGATACTTTTATAAACCCCAATATCAAAGCCAAAATGCATTCTCACGCAATCACCCTCTTCTCCCTACTCTCTCTCGGCGCCGCCACCCCCATCATCGCCAATCGCCAGGCCAACGCCTGTTTTGTCGTAGGCAACACCGCGCTCCCAGCCGAAGTCGCCGACGTCGCAACCTCTCTAGAAAATACCGTCACCTGTTCCGCGACCGCAAAGACACTCTCCAACGTCCCCGACGTCACATCCGGCGGCGTGACCTTTTCCTCCATCGACTTCAGCAAATCGCCCGACTCGCCCCTGGCCTTTGCCCTCAAGGAATTCGCGACCGCAAACCCCCTCGCCAACACCGATTTGCAGCAGTTCCAGGATAGCTTGAATGTATATCTTGCCACTGAGGCGGGTATTCGCAGCACGGGCGGCAATCTTGCGATCAAGGTGCCCAAGTTCTTCTTGCAGATGCAGGTTAGCAGGATTCAAACTGCCCAGGGTAACCCGCCTGCAGCGGCTGGGCAGCAGGTTGATCATCTGAGGGATAAGGTTACTAAGAATGCGGCGGGGGAGGGACAAGGCGCTGTTGGACCAGGTTGTTGCTTTGGCTACGCAGCTGAACTAAGGGAGAGGAGGAGCGAGGATAGGGGGACCATTCGTACCACTTCTAGGCATTACATATTGAGGCAACATAATATAAGCAGCACATCTAATTGAAGTTGGTGTTTGAAGGTGTTATTTTGCTTCACTATTCGCACCATATGTAAAAGTTTACTTGCATACAGAAGCTACTATGGCTGACCCACTTCGACATACCATATTCGAACAGAACGTAGTATAATCGAGGAGGTAAATAGCCGGACAGTGAACAACTCGTATTAACAGTTCTCTACTGGCCACAACACGATCGTCATACTATAATTATGCCATGAGAACCTTCCATCAACGTTTTCACCGGCCGCAAACGACGAAACCGAAATGGAATGTACTTGGCCCTGCTCTGAATACACTGTACAGCTTCTACTATCATAGTAATATGAAGCACATACGGACGAGAGGTCCATGTTCTGCCTCAAGCAACGATCATGAGCCTGAGCCTGAGCCTCAAAGCCTGTCAAGTTACCACGTCATGGCAACGAACTCTTGAGTATTTTCCTACTTACACATCAACCACAACAAACAAATGAGTGTGAGATAAATCACACTCGATATTCACTGCGACTAACCACCAGTCCCGGCTAACTAAGAAATCTCATAAACCATAAACCATCATCGATACTGACCTTCACCACGCTCCGTCCGCGCGCCTCGAACCCCTCAACCCCACCATCTTGAACGCCACAACGATTCCATACACCCAAAATGAAACGAAACAACGTCATCATCCTGATCCTCTTCCTTGTCGCCATCTTCCTGGTCTTCTTCGCCTGGTTTCTGCACACTACGTGCCGCCGCGTCGTGAGCGCCGAGGTGCACGAGATGCTATACCAGCGGGATCTGGAGGCGCAGAAGAGCACGGATGGGGATGGAAAGGCGACGTGAAAGCCAGACACTGTGCGTCGGTCTGGAAGGGGCGCGTAGTGGTGAAGTGATGAAGAGTGTTACTAACATGTTACTAGGTGCGGGATTGACGTATCACGATATGTCAAGCAGGATGGCACGAGCGAAATTGTGTGCGATACTTGATGCGGGCACGACATGGCGTTACACGGGTTTGTTCGCGAAGGTGGTGCGACACCAGTTATGGGCGACGACAATGGGGCAGATGTGGATTGGCTGGCTCATGATTTGGGGCACACTGCTTGCGCTTTACTCTGGGAAGCGCTGCTGCGTTGGCTAGTATGGTTTTGGTGTGGCACGACTTGGACGGATGTTTGATGCATAGTCAAGCTCGAGGACAAACTTGCCGTAGGTGAGTGCTTTGCACTGCACATAATACACACCGAATCGCAATAGAAATTTGGTGCTTGCTTCTTGACGCCTTCCAGCTACTTCATGGTGCCCGATTTGAGCTGCTCTGTATTATGTCGAGCACCAGCCTCGTCATCGCAGTCGTCTTCGCAGGCATTTTTGGGACGGCACTTGTGTGGCTTGCAATCTACTGCATACACAGATACATACACATGTCCTGTCTGGAGCTAGACCACTGGTTCCATGTGCATGTACTTATACCGCCGGGGTGGCGTTCGCCTTGCCGACATTGCGAGGGTACCGGAAGAAAAGTAAAGACCAGAGAAAAGAGCCGGTCAAGTTCATCAAGGAGACGAGACAGAAGCAGGAGCAGAGGTAGACGATGCACGTCTCAACATGATGGCAGAGGACAGAGAATGATTGAAGCGGATACAGAGTGGCATGGAATCGGACGAGAGCGAGAGCATGTGCAAGTACGAAGACCGGCACTACCTTCATCACAATCTATGCAAGACCCGGGTTCAGAGCAACAGTATGAGCCGTGGCAGGGAAAGATATCAGGAGCACCGCAGATGTATCCGGCGTATCATCAGGCGTATCCGCACACATACCAGCAGACTTTCCAGCCACCATGGCATCAGAATGCCACGATGCCAGCTCCAGTGCATCAGCAAACGATCCACATACCAATACATATGCCTCCAACGTCTGCATATTCGTCGCCACTTTACCCAAAGGTTCCTCGCCGAGCATACACAGAGCGATCGGAATCCCAGGCAAGTCCAAAGACGGCTCCGAAGAAAAGGTCGCGAGTCCACCGAGATGACTTCTTACACATTGTGGACGACTACCCACCGATCATAAAGAACTCGTTGAAGAATACTGCTACAACCCAGATCTCTTCGTCTTCGTCGTCTAGCTCCAGTACATCCACAGGTTCCGTGGAAGAGATACCTAGAGAAAAGATACCCCGAGCTGCGCCGCGCTTCACAAAGCCTGAACCATGCAGATTCGCGCCGCATCCACACATGACAACCCAGCCCTGGGCCACGCAGACTCCGCATCCTCAGCAATGGAGAGGCACCGCTGGTGGAGGTGGGGCGAATGATCAACCTAGGTAGGCATCACCTTTTACAAGGCCGGCAGGGTGGACGTCATGGCGTCATGTTCCGAGTAATAACCCTTTTCGTTGAAGAATTGTACGGTGCTTAGCGAAATCGGCTTCCCCTCCTGCGCAGTTCTAACGAAGTATGCGCTACATTAGAAGCAGGGATTAAAGTGCCCTACCTAGGTACCGGTACTCCGCAGCAGCACCGGCATCAACTCACAACAACAACAGCGACTTGGATTAGCGGGCTGATTTCTGTGAGTAGGTAATAAGCACCTGGTAGAATTTAGTTGTTAAACAGTGTACTGGTTCTTTGACTTCGCGCAGACCTAAGCGCGGTTGCTCCATCTGTCAACGCCGCAGTTAAAACGGCTCTTTAGTACGGATCCGAATCGACGCTTGTTAGGATCTCGGCTGGTTAGGCTACTTAGTGAGCTGCTAGTTTGAATCGTTACAATACACAACACAATACAAGATGCTTTCTACACACTAAAATGCTTACATATATATAGAAATAGATTGAGCGAGGATGAAATAGGTAGGCTATTAGGAGTTTCAGATTCCGTTGTAAGTACTAGAAGTATATATAGACATTGTCTTATAGTTCTAGATTTCCTTTTAATTGCGCTGCCTCTGTTTTGACTGTAACTTTCAACTAGCATGTTATAAACTATCTCTAAGGTACCTTGCTCAGCTTGCTTAAAGGCCGCCTATAAAGCCTATTAGATCTAGAGCCCTAGCACATGCTGAGATACTTACGTTTAGCAGTTTCGACCGCAAGAAGATTCCCTATAAGACCCGCCAACTTGTTCACAAGTAAGCGCACTAGTATCTGCGCATCCATCCGCGAAATTGCAGCACCCTGCATTAACTGTTGCAGCCGTAATGGCAAGGAGTAGAAAACTGAGGTATTGTCGGAGCATCTTGGGAATTGTGGTTGAGGTAAACGAATTTTGTCGATAAGATATCAGGTAAGGATACAAAAGGAATGTCGGAGGGGCTAGAGGTTAAAATATATAGATAGGTTACCTCTTTCTTACTAATCTCAGAGCCTCGCAGATATTATAGGGCCGACTAATTAGGTGCAAATTTATTGAATAAGCAAGGGCACCCTTCTTACTTTAGTATAGTTACGTTATTCAGCTTACATGTACCTAACAGACGGAAACCTACAGTATTACAGATTGTGCAAATGTCTATTGAACGTGAAAAATACTTGCCCTCTAAGCTACGAGAGCTTCACGCATGTCTACAAGCCTCAATTAAGCTCTGTGTTTCTTATGAAGCAGTGACGGAGAACTAGCTCAGCGAGAGCTTACGGCAGCTCGGTACTATCGCGGAACATTACGCAAGACACGCAAACAGCTTATGTCAGACCTTAGGTTTTAGATTGCAATTATTCGGGCAGCGAGCGGGATCAGTTACTTCACCTTAATTGACCCGCACTAACCTCAACTCCTTCTTAACTATGCACAAAAAAACATCCCTTTTATTCACAACTTAAGCTATAACTATACTTAAATATCGTTAGCAGCGAGCTAAAAGCTGTCTATGTATCTATAAGCACGTCTAAACACGTTGCTTAATATAGTAGGTAGGGCTTCGTAACTCTGTCCTGATGCTAGTGTAAATGATGTTGCAGCTGTAGGCAGGGGTGAAACTGCAATCGCTAGCGACTGTATCCTGTGGGCGTATAAAGAAAGTACTGCACGTACGAAGAAGCTCGTATTTGATGATGCACCGATGTTGCTGCACTGACTACCAGAGCCGGTGCATCATTAAACATGAGCTTCTTCGTAGGCTGACACGATAATGCTAGGCCAAGTCTGTTAAGTGGGGCACTACGACCCCCGCTTGCGATGTGGCGTACACTTTGTCGTGCTTGCGTTCGTGGGGAAGCCGATTTCGCTAACCACTGTAATGTAACGTGTTGATGCTGACTGGTGTAGACGAGACGAATGAACCTCCCACACAGCAGCAACATCGGAGGCGGGAGAAGGAAACGACACCGAGGCAGAAGAGGGAAAAGCGGGAAGCCGTGCAAACAAACGCCAATACGAGCCGAAAGGAAAGCGTTGAAGCCCGTAGGCAGAAACCAGCGGAGATGCCGGATGGTCCACGTCCGACCAAGGTCAATTCGAGGGAGGAAGATGCAGCAACTGAACCAGTCACAGAAGCCTCAGCCCCTGATAATGTCCCTCGCATGTCGCCGATGCCTGTGCCTGTCGTGGAAGAGCCGCCCTCTAACGATGGCTCGTCTTCGGGGGAAAAACTCATCGTGCTCGGTATCCGACATACATGGTCCGTCAGCGCCATCGATGGCGTCTCCACCCCACAACGTCCGGTCGCTGTCGAGGTCTTCTTTGAGCGCGGTGTTGAGCTTGCATGAGGTTTAGCAGTGCCTTGGTGGCTGGTAGCAGGACAGCATGAAGGCGGCTTCTGGTGGTGATTGCTGGCAATTTTCCAAGAATGCAGACGTACACTGTGGCTGAGGTGCGGGAGCGTACGTATCGTGCATGATGGCTGGTCGCTTATCGCATGGCTATGTTTAAAGATTACATGAGCCCATTGGTGCGGGCGTACAGCGCAGATCTCACTGTAGCACCACAGCAGGTCGTCGCTGCAGAGAGACGACGCGCTGTTTGACCCACAAAAGTTACTTCAGCATGTGCTTCACCCTTCTTGCCGAGCTTACTGCCAATGGAGTGATACAGTTATTCGCGCAAATTACGCGTCGTTGAGGCTAATGGTAATTTACGTGGTCGCCAAAGGACCGATTGTGCTGCGGGTGAGGCGATACTCGGTGCTGAGGCCGTACTGAGGCCGTACTGAGGGTAATAGGGGCTGTTTGCCTGTACGTTGTGCAGTGTGCAGGTGCCGTCTGCGTGCTGTGTAGGGAGTGCGGGCGCAGGCAAAGCATCACGCGTAGGGCTGCTGGCACCGGGTGCGTCGATGAGCGACCTTCGCAAGTTGCTCCGCATGCAGAGGCCAGTTAGACGCAACGGCGCTGCGCACTGACGTCAAAGTAGGCATGGCTTCCAGCTTCCATGCCCCACTGCCAGGCTAGCCCCCGTAAGCGAGCGAGGCAGGGTCCTGTCGCGCTCGGGGTTGCTGCACGCTCCTGAGGGGACCAAGACCAAGACTCTGCCCACTGCATCCCGTGCGACAAGGCCATTTCTTGCCTTTACGGGGCATCGCTCGCACCTACATACTCGCCAGAATCCACGCCTTCGCCCGACTGCATTCCACCCGTCCATGCCATGTTGGCCAAACACCGCCATGCCGCGAACACCTACGAGCTCCTGCCGCGTGATTCGCTCGACGAGGACTACACCGAGTTGCGGGTCCCGTCGACATCGTGGATCTCGCGGGTGGCCTCGACACTGCGCATAACCAACTTCTCCAATCGCGCCGTCTACGCACACTACGTTACACCGCGCCGCCGCAAGCGCTCCGTCCTCCGCCTGGTCTACTGGACCATCTTCTCCGTCCCTTACTTCCTCGTCTTCCTCGTGCTCGTCGTGGGCATCTTCTTTCCCAGCTACACCGTGCGCCCGCCACACTACAACGAGCTGCGCCAGCGGGCCCTCGACTCCGACCAGCCGGGCCGCGCGAACCCCTACAATGAGACCGTCTTCATCACCGCCGCGCTGTACGAGGAGAAGGGCAACTTGGCCTCGGGCGCATGGGGGAAAGCAGTCCTTGAGCTGATAGACCTGCTCGGCCCCGAACACGTTCACCTGAGCATATACGAAGACAACCCGGACCTGAAGACCAAGCAGGCGCTGAACCATCTACGAGAGAAAGTAACTGGTGAGTGGCCCGCTGCTTCCCAGACCGTACAGTACTAACAATCTAGCCAACTCTTCCATCATCTACGAAGAGCTCGACCTCAGCCAACTGCCCCACACTAAGCTACCCAACGGCGAAGAACGTCTCAAGCGCATCGCTTTCCTCGCCGAAGTCCGCAACCGCGCCCTCGAACCCATCGACGAACACGGAGTCAAGTTCGACAAAGTCCTCTTTCTCAACGATGTCATCTTCGACCCCATCGACGCCGTCCAGCTGCTTTTCGCGACCAACATTGATGCCAACGGCAGGACCAACTATGCGGGTGCATGCGCCGTGGATTTCATAAATGCCTTCAAGTTTTATGATCGCTTTGCTACAGTGGGTTTTGGCACGGAATTGACTGGCATACCCTTCTTCCCCTGGTTTACCAGTGCCTTGGGTGCTACTAGCAGGCAGGATGTCCTTTCGGGCACCGACGCCGTGCGCGTACGCAGCTGCTGGGGCGGTATGGCCGCATACGAAGCGAGATGGTTTCAACACCATACTCCCCTCGACCACCCCGTTCAGCATCCATCAGTCGAGCACAACACAACTGGCTACAACGACCATATTCGCAACTCTCCAATTCGCTTCCGTCACGCAAAGGCCACTTTCTGGGAAGCCTCCGAATGCTGCCTCATCAATGCCGATCTGCAATACCGCGAGAGCGGCAAAGGGCTCCCTTCCGAAGCCCGCATCTTCATGAACCCTTTCATTCGCGTAGCATACGACGAGCGCACGCTATCCTGGTTGTCCCTCACTCGTCGACCAGAACGGCTGTACTCCTGGATCCACGACATTCTCAATCAGATGGTCGGCATGCCGTACGCCGCAAACCGTGCTCATGAAGAGATCGGAGACATCGTCACAGATAATTGGTGGCAGTACGACGACCCAGTGAGAGGTCTGGCGTCCAACGCCACAAACGAGGACTTCAACGGACACTGGACCGAGGAAGCCCGAGTTGTAGAACCTGGCGGCTGGTGTGGTGGAAACAACCTGCTGGTCATCAACGAGAAGCCAGAACATGGCGAGGGCAAATGGAGCAAGATTTGGCCTCCACATCCTCCGGCACAGTGAGTTGATGTTTAGACTGCCCCAGCGACACGATTTCCTTTGTTTATTTGGTGCTTCCATTCGGACTGTACATTTTCTACCACCTTGGGCATAGCGTTGGCGTTTGTGGAATTACTGTCATAACATTGCATGGGCATGGCGCAAGGATAGGCGGACAAACTCGATGGACGAGGCATGACTACAGTAGAGGCAATTAAACGGCATCAACAGCTTATTGCAAGCCGCAGCAAATTTTCTTGTGCGCGTTCAGTATGAACAAAGAGACCAGCGAAGGGTTGTTATTTAATGAGTTCTCCAAAAGTCTCTCGAATTACTAGACTACACCCACACCGCATCGTTCTTTTTTTTTTTTTACATCTCGCTCGTGCTTGTGTCACGTTGTCTTAAACCTGGGAACCTTGGAAACGTCCTCCTTGCTACGCGTGACATCGACCATCTAGACTTTGTGGGCTTCAGCCAATCACGGGGCCCACAAATCACCGCCAGTCCTGCACGATCGTCTAGCGCGGCCAACACGGTTCGAGCGATCATTCACACGCGGCGCGCCGGGCTTGACGTTCCATCTCTAGACTTTACACACACATACCGCCTTTTGCTTGTTGATGCTATATCTTTATAGCTTTCTACTTCCTGTTTCCTTTCCTACACACGCGTGTGGCGAGATACGGCTACCATACCCGCGAATCTGAGCGCGCCGACGTCATTCAAAGAAAGCAAAATGGAACTCGACAATGATACGCGAGGATGGATCATGTCAATTGTGAGCGGAATAGGTGCGCCGGCTACATGCATGATCTGCAATACCCCGGACGGCTGCTAACATATTAACAGCATGTACTTTTGGGGGTAGGCTTAGAACCTCTGCGTACTTCTTGTACTGAGAAGCCAAATCTGACCTGAAAACAGCGTCTATAATCTGCGTCGACATCATCATCCGCCAATTCCCCGGCAAGAAGGATTTCAAAATTCAAGATAGCAATGCATTTCTTTCGACGGGCTTGAGTCTTTCCTTTGGTGTCATGGTAAGTATCGTCATTTACATTCATCCACACTAGTCCACAGCAGATCCAGCTAACAACCTTCTAGATTTTCTCTTCGCTGTACAGCATGCTGCCATCAGCGAAAAGGTATCTAGAAAAAGGTGGCCTTTCGGCCAAGGCAGCTACATTCACCCTGATGGGTTGCTTCTTGATCGGCGCATTGGGAATTTCCGTCTTGTCGCAGATACTGCACCAATATATCCCACACTCTGTCGTAGACTGTGATCATGAGCATGGCGATGAGGAGCAAGGTAAAGCTGAAGACGAAGAAGGAGACCATGCACACCAACCGATGCTTGAGGAAAGTAACGGGCTTCCACAGCTGGACGGACACCGACAATTACGTGGTCGTCGCTCATACGGTACCAATAGCGAAACTTTCAGTCAGGCTGCGCTTTCTCGGAGGCCATCGCTACATGCCTCCATCTCCACCAAGGTCTCCCAGCTCGTCACAGGCTCGAAGAAACTCTGCGATGACAATGGCCAGTGCTATGGATACTCGGACACATGCGGAACAGAGTGCTTCAGGACCGCTCTCGTGACACGGCCACCAAGACTACACACAACGAAGTCAACCGGACACCTAGGAGCAACCAGACCATCCGCTGCAAATAGATCGCAAACCACTCAAGGCCCGCACGAGCGACAACCCCTCCTGCAAGACGTCGACGAAACCACACCGCTCCAGCCCACAGTGTCCGGTCCTGCGACCATGACTAATTCCGTCGCCTCTCTGGCCTCGACAAACGGGCATTTCATACCGACCACCGACCGCACCTCCCTACACAAGCACAGCCGCTCTTCTTCGCCATCATCAACAACTTCCTCGCACGATTCCCATGACTCCCATGCTCACGACCACGGGCCGCAACACCACCACCACGTCCCCAACAACGTCTTCCTCTCCATTGGCCTGCAAACGTCGACCGCAATCGCCCTGCACAAAGTCCCCGAGGGTTTCATCACCTACGCCACAAACCACGCCAATCCCACCCTCGGTTTCTCAATCTTCCTCGCGCTCTTCATCCACAACATCACCGAGGGCTTCGCGCTCGCGCTGCCCTTGTATCTTGCCATAAACTCGCGATGGAAGGCGATGATGTGGTCTGCGCTACTCGGTGGCGTCAGCCAACCTCTCGGCGCAGGCGTTGCGGCGTTGAGTTTCAAGATTGCTGGGCGCAGACAGGGCGAGGATGAGATGGAGGACAGGGTGTATGGGTGCATGTTTGCGGTGACGAGTGGGATCATGGCTATGGTGAGCTTGCAGTTGTTGGGCGAGAGTCTGGACCTCACGCACTCGAGACGGTTATGTTTCATTAGTGCGTTTTGTGGAATGGGTATCTTGGGACTGAGCAGTGCTTTGACGGCGTAGAATTGGGGATTGGACTGGACGAGCAGAAGAGAGTGTATTGTTGATGCGCATGGAGGATGAAATGGTTATAGACACTTGTTGCTTTCCAGCATTGCGTTGCGTATAGACGGTATTTGGATTGTTCTTTGCTTATCAATATGCTTTCAACGCCATCGGTCGCGATTGAGGCTGTCCTTTCAAAATCTAACTCAAAGCTGAGTGCAACACTGCATTACCGCTACCATACCCTCACATGTCCTCTGATGTTCTGGGGTACTCATCGCCAATGTGTTGAATATTCTGCACCTCCGCTCTTGCTTCCTCCCAAGCCGCTTTGTTCCGTTTTGCCCAGTCAATGTGGCACTGAGCAAACTCCATCTGCAATCATTGTTAGCTGTCCCGTTCTCATTCGATCATCCTACCAAAAAGTGTACGTACCATATACCGTCTCAAGTCGTTCTCTTTCTCTTCTTGAAATCTCCGGAGATCTTTCATCACACCGCTGCTAGCGTCCTTTGTGTCCTTCTCAGCAACACCGAGAGCCTGCTCTAGTTGCACAAGACTGTCTCTGGTTTTCCCAATCTGATCTCTCCGTGTCTTCTCGGGATCGACATCGGCCATACCCCTGAAGGCGTGTGTAATAGACCCAAAGAGCTTGTTCGTGACGAAATTGCCGCTTGGGGATTTCTTGTGTGGGCTGTTTGGGGGTGAGTTAGAGCTGTCGGGTGCGCCTTGCGAGGCTGAGGGAGTATCGCTGTGTGTTGGTGGGAAATCGGAATCAATAGATGCGCGGTCCTCTTCGCGAGGCGGCGGATCGGCTGTACCCATGCTACGTTGAGAGCTGTTCGATGTAGCGCGACTGCGCGGGGGTGGTGCATGGCCAGCACCGCTGAGATGTTGCTGTAACCGCTTGGCTTCTGCCTCACTAGCTTCGAGCGATTCGAGCAGGTTTCGCTTCTTTTCGAGTTCATCCTTGGTCATGTCCTCCTGTATCCGCTTCATGATGCGGTACTTGAGGACCGTACGCACAACACCTGCGAACTGCGCACTTTCCCGCATAGGTTCGGAAAAGCTTGCACTGAGAGACGAAGCCAATTCTGTGGTCCCGATGTAGGTTGAGTCTACCGCCTGACCAGTCTTTTCTATGGCCGCAGCGAGTGACTGCGACTGTTCAGATAGGGAGAAAGCGTTGAAGCGTGCGCCCAAATCTGCCATATCCTCTCCCCAGTTCCCGAGGTGCATCAGCAACCGTCGGTTGACCTTCTCCGTGGGACCTTGCAGCAGATTCTCGATGTCCCTGGTGGTATTCTCAAAGTTGACAAAGTATGGGTCAAGCTCTTCTTCGCTCAATTGTCGCGTCTCCGGTGGAAAGCGACCAAAGATCTGTGGGCCAGGAGTGCTGTGTGCAGCTGCTGAGGGGAGAGCGGAGTTGTTCGGCGGTGCGACTGGAGTGCCAGAGCTTGAGGTCTGTCCACTGCTCTTGAGCTTCGCCGACGATGATGGAACGGGAAGATAGCTGTGCGCTTGAGTTGGGTTCGCGGCGTCGAGCGGAGGTGCCTTGAGGATCTGTTTGGGAATATTGGAGACGGGAGGACTACTCAGTACGTCGTTCTGCACCACTGTTAGTATGATCACTCGAACAGTCGCCTCGGAGAACGTACCCAGCTTGTGTACGGGTCAAGGAATCTCCAATATACGCCGTCGTCTAAAACGTCCTTCATCTTCCGACAACGGTTAAGGAATACGGCCAGCATGCGCTTCCTCAACTCTATGATGCCAGCATCTTCTTTCGCCTTGGTTGGCTTCGCGGCGTAATCTGCCATTGTGTGCTTCTCGGGTATTGGTGGTATTATGAGGGTCGGGTGTAGACTGCATAGCGTCGCGCGCAGCGATGCGAACTCGGAGTATCTGCGCTTTACTTCAAGGCCCTGCAAGTCGGTCAGTAGGGGCAGCATTACCACATCCTTCATGCACATACTCCGCAATTGATGGTGTACTGTATATAGTTCACGCCTTCCTTCCCCGCATTCGTGATGAGTATGATTTGATCGGGATGTTCGTGCAGCCATTGTTCTACGCGCGCGTCATAGCCACCCTTCTTTTGCGTCCTCGCCGGCTCTTCCTCGTCGTGGTCATCGTTGTAGTCGACATCGCTCATGTCGCGCTGAGAGACATACTCGGGCGACTCTTGTGCGGGGGACGACGTGTCGGAAGGCGGTGTCGCGGGCCGGTACGGAACTTGGGGGAGTCAGTCTATACATCTCTTTGTCATGTTAGACAAGTTGTGCATGTCTTACGCGCAGAGGGTGAGGCTAAGCCAGGTACATCCGACGAGTTGGAATCATGGCGGGCAAAGGAACCATATGGATTGTTGTCTTCGTCGTCCCACATGGTGCGATGGATGTGTCTGCAGCCTCAAAGGGGCGTAGAGTATACCGAGAGCCGAGAGCGTCTGCAAGCCGAGAGATATGGTAGTGTGACGAGTCGAGGCTGTGGCTGAATCTGGTGAGTTGAAGCTCCAGGCCCACCTGCAGCAGGTGCCCTGGAATGACGTTGCTAGTGGTAGCGGTCCGAGCGTCGTGCCGGGGTCCTGTCTTCTGTCTTTGCTGTCTTCCAAACGTCGCACTAATTCGAATGTCGCTCATGGACAGACGTCGACTCGAATATGTGGCCACGGTTGGAGCTTGTTGCCATGCAACATCTATTAATGCCTAGAACGACAAAGCTACTTGAATCACACTGCGCCATCCACCACGCCTCGAAACGTAGCTACTGCTGCACTAGTGCTTGTCATCAATTACAAGGGAAATCGACAACCAACATGTAAGACATTCTATCACGCAACCAGAAGGCGTGCAACGATAGAAAAGGTAAAGCATGCCTTCATCCGGATAACTGTAGTTCGCAGCATGCATGGTGAATTGAGCTGAACTAGAAGAAAGATCATGCTCCGCAGCCGTGATGAGCCACTTCTTGCCTGTGTGTGACTGGCATTTCAAATGCAGGATGTTTTCTGCGACACTGATAAGATTTTTAGAAGCTCTCAGTATGTCTTAAGCCGGGTTTGAAAGCAGTGTTTTTCTGTGGTCATTTGCATCTTCTTTCGCGTCCCTAGATGCATCTGCACAAACTGTCGTTGTCATGTCATTTCTATCTATTCACTCACTTGTTTATGAAGTTTGGGAGAGCGCTGTGTGCAACTCGTAGCTGCTTGCTGGTTCACCTTCACCGGTACGTTCCCTATCAGACCAAACTGCACGGCAGATGTTCTCCATGTATCACACACCAAATTCAACTGTTCCCTCCCCTCAGCGATGTTACTCCACCACCATTGTTCACATGGGATCTTGTTTGTATAAACCTCTATTGTCTCATGTCTGGCAATTCTGCATCACCTGCACCGCGTTCACGCATCATTGGGGAAGAATTTTACCAGACGCTCCTCGGGGCATGCATTGAAGGCATCCAGAATTTCCCGGTCGATCGAAGGCCACAAAACAGCGGTGAGTGCGTTTGCATCATGTTCCCAGTGCTTGCCTATTTACTCACACCATATTGCTTAGCAACCGCCGACGTCCCCAACAACATCTTCACCCAACCTCTGCACCACAACTCTACATCTTCCTCCACCTCACCTCAACCAACGCACACAAGTACCTCTAACGCGACTATGAATCGCGGTCCACTTCATGGCGCCCCGCCGGTGAGAGGCCAAGCGCCCCCTCCACGTGGCCCAGTGCGCGGCGCTCCGGTGGCGTATGGAAATCAGGATGCGCGTGGCAACCTTGCGGTCCAGCCTGCTGCTGTACTGAGTGCTTTCAAGTTTAAGAAGGCCGCTGTCAAGGTCGTCGGTGCCGCTACTGCCAGATCGAGTTCAGCAGCTGCAAGTTCCTCGCCCGTCCCTAGACCGGTTAAGGCGAAGCCGAGAGAAGTCGAACAGTACGTCTCATACATCTGCGTCTATCCTGTACCTTAGATCAGACACTAACCTCTATCCTAGTCAAGAGCCCGTGCAGCATACTGTGGCCGTCACTTCTAGTCTTGCTGGTGTAGCACCAGTCTCCATCAAGACCGAGCTCCCCGCCTCGCACACTGGTGAGGAGTCGGCTCTTGACGATCTGTTTGCGCGCCTGAACGCACAGGAAGCCTCCAAATTATCAAGCAGCGACCAGTCGGCATCACCACCGCGCCCTACGGGCAACATCTTCTCATTCGAAGACGGTCCGGGTGTCCAAGATGCCAGTAGCGATATCCCCCGAAGCACGAGTGCAATTGAGGCTAGAGAGACTATGACCTCAAATGCACGAGGCCCCATTACCAACACAGTTGTCCCGAAGACTGACGAGGCCGCTCAACCTGCAGGAAAAGACGAGACTGATGAGCCCGAGTCGAGGGAGAGCATGTATCTTCGAAAGGCCGCTGACTATCTCGAAGCCCTACCATATGGCAACAGTGTTCCTGTCGATATCATCAAAAGCGTGTCGAAGAAGTTGCGCAGCGTCTACGCTCCCAACGCTAAGCTCAGCAGCGAAGAGGCCGAGAAACTCAAAGCTCGGTATGCCTTTGCCATCGTCAACTACGTCAACAAGTTCTACAAGAAAGCCGCGAAGCCGATTACTTCAGAAGTTGCCAAGAAAGCTCTGCATGATGCCAACGGAGACATGTTGCGCGTATGTGCAATGCTTGTTGAGGAGAAGTACCTGTCCATTAAGGACATGGATAGCATCGCTGGATTGTGCAGTATGATAAATGATGCCCTTCCGAAGGCTGAGGCCCCCTCCGCCCTGGCTACTCCAAAACCTGGACCAAATGCTCCTGTCGCAGCTGTCCGTGATTCTACTTCATCTGTTTCCGCCAGAAAGGACCCACTGGTAGGCCTGACAGCATGGCCAACGCAAGAGAAGCGTGAGACTCGTAAGTTGCACACCCCCACGCAGGCGATGGCTCTGGAAATCATGCTGACCTGTCATAGCTCCGGCATACCGCGTCTGCATCCTTAAGGGAGTCTCGGGCATCAAGAGCATCAACCAACTCCAAGCTCTTGTTTGGGGCGGTAGACTCGAGTCCCTGGCTCTTCCGGTCCCTGGCTCCGACTTCGCTGTTGTTCGCTTCCTCACACCTGAGGCGTGCGACAAGTACTTCAAGGCCACAGAGAACGGTATTGAAGTTCAAGGTGACAAGAAGACTCTTATTTTCGTCGAAAAGCAGGCGGGTCCAACCTCAATCAACGACACTATCCGCAACTGCACCGAAGGCGATGCCTCGCGATGCATACGCGCTCTCGACGCCGATGAGGACTGGTCTGACATGCAGCTCATGAAGCTTGCGCGAGGCAAGAGCTCGATCAAGCGCGAGGTAGACCGCATCAAGCAGGGCATTACTGCTCGAGGAGTAAGTTCTCTCCTCATTAGATGACCACATGTTCGCGCTAATACATTCACTAGCGCCACTACATTGACTTTCGCTTCGCCAGCATCTACCATGCACTCAACTTCAAGCAGCAGCTCCACCAGGAAGAGGACTGGGAATCCTGCACCATCGTCTACGCTCCCGATCCGTGCGAGATAGCGCACAGCGTTCACTACCAGGACGAGGATGGTGAGGCCACTGGTTTCTTCGCCTGAGGTGGGTAAAGTGTAGAAGGCCCGGCGGCTGTTTGCCGATCGCGGAAGAAGGGTGGAAATCCGGGGAGCATCGATGTACAAGCTAAGAGTGGTGCATAATCCAGGGAACCTATCGAAGTCGATGCGGTCTAGATCAGGATGAATCGTCAAGTGTGTTTGACATGGTGCTTCGGGTATCGTAGTCTTGCGACATACAATCGTCAGATCAGACCTAGTTTCCGAACCTTAACTAAAAGTAATGCATGATTGTTACAGAGCTTCCGTCAGCGAGAGTGATGCTGATCCTATTTCTTACTGAGTGAATTTTGTGTACGATGATTGTAATTGCATGGTGCTCGTGGTGGTACGGAATGTGTTTGACAGTGCTCCGGTCAGTGCCTAGATACACTACCTAGTACACATTCACCCCAGCTGCTTATTATACACTACCTTGTTCAGCAGGTGATCATGCATTTCATCAGTACAATCATCTGCGCGAATCAAATGGTTTACTTGAATGCGATATATTTTCCCATCTGTTCAACTGATTATTTAAACGATGTGTGTCGTGCAGACGCGTGTTACTTCTGCATGCGCGAACCACTGTGCATTCTCTGCGGAGAGAATTGCACTCAGGTTGAGCTTGCAATCCGCTTAGGCTGATGGATGCCAAATTCACCTTGCGATGCCAAATTCACCTTGCTCGTATTGTGGCACATGCGGCTGAGCAAGCTCCTGTTATGTTTTGCCCGAACTCTTTGAACACAACAAGGATCAGGTTTTACTCTCGACCTTGGGTCAGGCAGACCTAATTCAGTTATTTCCGTTATCAAGAGATACAGAAGATGGGTGTGTAGCTGTATCGCTAAATCATCCACAGCGAATTGCACGGATTAGGGCATATAGATGCGATTTTAGACATCATGTGAACAAGCAAATATGTCTGAAGCTCACCTTTATTGGGAAGCAGATATATGTGCGTGGTACTGTTCTCTTTTTTCGGCAATTCACTTGTATAAAGTAACGATTGTCGGGATTTATGTGACTTGCATCACATCGTGTACGTAGTCCGACGTGACTCTTTCAAGGTTTCAGCAATAAACAGAACGAGTTCTTCCTTCATCGGACAGCAATCGTTCATGAAAAGCATCCCGTTGAATATTTCTTTTTGGTAAGTAATGTATGAGCAGAAATATCCCTCCTGAGAGAAATGTTTTGAAGAAGTACGACATTGTTCATCTGACTATCAGGTTTCAAGTCATCACACTGACAGACCACCCTATATAGCAAAAGCTCTTTACCACAATTATTGTAAATAACTAATAAGTGAGAAAATATACCCTTTGGTCCAGCAATAGATATCCCCAAGTACCATCAGTCCCCATTGCTTCTACACGTGCAATGTCTTACAAGATTCAACGTCCTAGTGGAGTAATACAAAGTTGGCGATATTCCAATGTTCTAGAAGAAGCCACACCCGCCAAAAAAAGGTTCTCCATCAGAGCAATAGTTTGGCCATTGGCGCTTTTACAGATGTGATGATACGTAGGCGGCGTGGATGCGTGGTGCACCTAGCGTCCACAACGGTTGCTGCGTAAAGTTTGCAATGCATCGTCTGGCGCAGCACCTTTTCCAAATTATCGGAGCTACGTTCTGCTGCACGCCAGTCGCAATGCTTCAAACCGATGCTAGTTTGAAGTTACGAGAGGGAGTTTGCGGTCTGCTAGGATGCTTGGATCGTGGATCGTGGATCGTGGATCGTGTTGATTCCTGATGCAGATTGTGTGTAGAGATGCTAGCCACCGACGAAGCGCTTTCATCCTTCTAGGATTGTCACTGTTAGAGTGCTAATAGGGATTATCGGACTATGTGGCTGTGGGTGACATGGCATAATTCGAAGCTCGACAGAATTGTGCAGTGCGCGCTCGTGTGAGCGCCTTGTGATTATTGAGATCCGCTAATCTGGTCAGCTGAGCCGTGAGCGTTAAGTCAGCAATGCAGGTGTTATGAATGCCAGCTATGAATGCCAGCTATACCTGCATAAAGTTGATAGGGTTCGAAACATAACTGCCGTGGCATGGAGTAGTAATACGGGCGTGCAGTGTAATATCTTCACTTTCGTTGAGGCTTATAGTGCTTAGTATGCTTACCTACCCCCTGGGCATGCAAAATGATTGTCTGAACGATTGGGGAACAGTATCCAGTGATCTAGTCGGCGCACTGTCGATACCATAATGCCTCCGTTCATTCCAAAGGAAGCAACACGAAACCGGTAGGGTTGAACAGGGCGTTCGATCGAAGCACGGCAAAAGATCGTCAGTGCCTTGATGTTCTACAGGGATTCTGGAACTTATTTAGTCGTCGGTCGGTTGCCGATCTCAACGCTGTAGGGCTTGTTCCCCAGATCTGGAGTTTGTGGTTGCATTAGTCTTCTCGGCCTCGATGACCGAAAGGTTATTTCAGCACGCGGAATTATTCAGGACGCTGGGCTCAAAATGTGGAGCAGCATCTTGCTACAACAATAGGTTCCGGCAAGGCGTTAGGAAATCTTTGGATAAAACTCGACAATCGTGAAGGAATGGATTCGGTTCTCTCTAGCGTGTGGAGAAATCGTTCATGCACAGCACGGCCCGATTGCGGTCCCATCGCTCCGAGTGACGATCTTGTTGCGACGATAGCTATAATCTGACAACTGCTGTCGGACCCGAAAGCATTGCCAATACGCCACGTGAAGTCTAGCGATGTGAAACTGCTACGAAAATAGCTCCACAAAGCCAGAGCCCCGTGTTCCAGTCCAACAGTTCATGCACCGCACGATGGTGCCTTGGGCTATCCGACTGCTGCCCAAGGCTTTTGCGTTAGAACTTAGACAGGAGATATTCCTGGGGTCTGGATTGGTCGAGGATTATATCATGACGATTCATGTCCTCACCTCACATCGGCGATTATCATCGCCTGCAGTAGGAGTACCGAGTGGCCCTTGTTAGACCGAATTCTAATATTGTATTTCGTGTACGCGAGCTCTGACGGCCTAGAGTCCGGTATTTGGTGGAAAGGGACTGTGCCGTTCCGCAACCTTGGCTGACAGCTTCTGGAAGGCGTTTCAGACCTTGATGGGTTTTATGCCGGGATGCCCGGAGCAACTGCGACATGAGTTTTTAAAATTGGCATCTTTGAATGGGAAGAGAGGGCCTGGCGAGGACTTTCTGTGTTAATAGAGTATGCTTGGACTTGCCGGCGTAGTTTAGATGACGCCTTCGTGTTTGGGTGCAAGTTATGTGTAACGTCATAGAGTGTACATGATGCTGATGGAGCAGTTGAGCATCACTGTGCTGAGGAAAGGGTCCAAGGAACCTGACGGCTTAGTTGGTGGGAATCATGCCTGTTTCCACGTTGTCGCGGAGTTTGCTCCGCAGCTTTTTTGGCATCTGCAGCTCGCTCGGTAGGGTTCACCCCTAAGTTCTCCGTAGATCGTCTTCAAGGAAGCAATTAGCTAGAGACGTGAACAGGACGTTTGTTCGAAGACGTGCACCGGTTAATGTCATCAAGATGCTTCTTTGGCGCGTCTTTGGGTGACCCTCTGAAGCTGCAGCGTTGTGTCTCGTGCTTAGTCTAACCTTTCGCGTTCTGCGTGGCTTTCTATTATGAAAGCGAGAGCCAATGAGGAAATGGAGTCAGATTCCAGTTATCTTAAGAGCTGAAGTCAGCGTTTCAAAGTGTCTCTCAGCGGGTGTGGGGCATGGCCTAGCCACGTGGGAGAGGTCCCATGTGCGTCATTGATAAGAATGGACCTACCAATACTAGAGCCTCATCACTCGAAACACGACGCTAAAGAGCGAGCTAACTAGGGTGTCGTGATAGCTTGGACATGGCCTTGGAGCTGTGGCGCGAGGATACAAACTTAGGGAGGACTAGAGGCGGAACTACTGTAGGCCATTCCCAGCGTGATCTGCGAGCTGCCGAGGCAGTTTGCTCGAACGAGGATAGCGGACTGAAGCTTTCCAGCACTTTGCGGTTTGTTCCTGGAGGAGCGTAGAAATGGAGCACGCACCGGCGGAGTGCGGATGGGTAAATCTCCTGTGCGGCTAAAGTAGGAAGGGCAGTACTGGTTGCCTGATTTGGATCGGAACAGGCTCGTATGGTCCTAACGGGCGATGTTGTGAAGCATCCTGCAGCGGGTATATCAGAGTTTGGGTGTGAGGCGAAGGTGGTGTTGAAACGCGACTGCAGCATCTAGCGAATTCTCCTCGTAGACGATGATGCGCAATGCATGAAAGCGGAGACGGTGTCTAAATCAGCTTGTCTTGCGGGATGGTGATCACGTTTGCGAAGATGAAGGATTCAGTGTGGACGACTTCCTTCTGGCGGTGTGCAGCAATTACGGCTTCGCATACGACGTGCGGCTCGTGCCCTGCGAGGTTAGACGCAAATGCTAGAGTGCAGGTGAGTATGGTAACTGGAGCGGTGGGTCCGTGCATCATGGTTCTGCGATGTGGTGAACTGGACGAGTGAGGTCTCATGGCGGCGGCCACGGAAAAGACATCGGCGGCGGCGGAAGCGCGTGTGTATGTGCACGCGCTCTGCACGTGGCTGCACCCACCATGGGCAGCCGCGCAGGAGATTGCTCGAGACGGACGAATCGGACTGATGCCGGGTCTGGGGGCACCAGAAGACAGTGACGAGCGTCATGGTGGAGTGAGAAGGAGCCAAAGAAGTCGTGTGCGCTCTGACAAAGCTGCAGGGAGATTTAGGTGGTGCAGCAACGCGCGGCCAGTATGAGGAAGTTGATGCTGGTGATTCAAGGCGATGTGTTCGCAATACATGGCAATTGCGCAAAGCCGTGCACTGACTCGAAGGATGGCGTTCAGCAGATCAGAGGACGCGTCGATCTCCGACTAAAGCTCGTGAGTGCCGATCGGAGTTTGCAGAGATGCATCTTTGGGCTCTGCGAAAGTCAAAAGAATGTTTGGGAAGCGGCGGGTTTCCGGGTGGCCAAGAGCAGTCCAGATGTGTTTCAGCGGCAAAGGTTGGGACTCCCGCAGCGTGTGAGCCAAGATGGGCTGCCTTTGGGCAAATAGAGTTTGCGGTCCACGTTGATGAAGAATTCGATGCAGCAGCGGCGGGCTCTGCGCTCGTGTGGAGAGGGCGTCGGACGACTGCATGAGGCGAGAGATGCTGCTGTCCTGTCTGGCGGCGTCGAAGCTTGAGGGTTGCGGGCGATTAGGGGCACTGCACGGTGAGGATGCGCCTGCCAAAGTAGCCCATCTCCGTCACGACAAAGTTTATATTGACTCGAGCGCGCAGCGGAATGACCCTGCGCAGCCATGAATCGAAGAAGTGTGGTAAGTGCTTCTAGCGCAATGGTGACCAGCAAATGATGTGCGTCGACACTGCGAACGAAGCCAAAGGCGTGAGTCGCGATGATTGCGGCTCTGTTGAGGGGCGACTCTCTGGCAACTTGGTCTTCTTTCAGGCATTGTCTTGGACTGTTGCTCCTGTATTCTCGTGAGTCGTGCAGGCTGCCAGACTGGCAGACTGGCAGACTGCGAGACTGGGCGCCACAGCGTGCAGATTCCGCAATGCGAACGGTGGTCCCGCCATGTCGGGCTCTGCGCCATCCCTGGGCCGCGGTATTGCGGTATCGTATCCGCCAATGGCACGTTCGGGTGGCGGTCCCAATACCTCCATATTGCGGTCCCCTGCGCACCAGCCGGCTTTGGTGTCGCATACGGGCGGCCGGCGGCGTCTTCTGGACAGGGGCCACAGACTGTGCATGCGACCTGGTCCTGGTTTGGTTCTTGCTGGGCTTCCTGGCAAACGCAGCGTGCTCGACATTAGCACACAACGCCAGATATAACCATGCCGGGCCATTGACGCTGCTCCGCTTGGGCTCCACCGTCCTGTGCTTTCGTCAGAGCCTTCGTTACCACCATTGCTGCAGATTGTAATGGTCCCATTCTACTGCCTACTCATCCCAAGGTCCCCTGTTGCGTCCCTGCTCCTTCACCCTTTGCCCACCCCGGCACGCTGCACAGAGGCGAGCCGGTAGCTCCAAGCTAAAGGCCCACCCAACCCGCGCCCTCTTCAAAGCGATCCTTTTCCTATGAAACGAGTTTGAAGCAGGCGTGCGAAGAGGCTAGCCGTTCTCCATACGAACCCGCTCTCTCCCATGTCGCCCGGTCTGCATACTTCTTTGTCTGGCAGCCGAAGCCATCCCACCCTCTCCTCACACCCAAACCATCCCAACCACCCAAAGAACCAAGGACCCGTCGAAGCCAGCCTCGTCGAACTCGGCCTACTCGACCCCAGGTACCTCAGGAAGAAGACCAAACCGACCGTCGAATTCACGCCGCCCGGCGACTCTGCCTACCGTACTTGCTCCTCGCGACTTGTCTGAGAGCCTCGGCCGCTCATGTCTTTTCTAGGATTGCGTCCCAGCTCGCGCAGTTCGTCTGCCCGCACCCCCAAGCCCTTCGCCGCCAGCAGCACCACCACCCTCGACTCGCACGCGCCGCCTCACTCGGCCAGAGGCATGGCTGGCGTCATGGACATTGAGAGGTCGCGGACCCGCCGCGAGCGCACATATATCAACATGGAGTGCTGCGTGTGTGAAGAGAGCCTCGAGTACACACTGCGCGGCGAGCGCATCCTGCAATTGAGCTGCGGCCACGTCAGCCACGAAGCATGCTTCTACGAATACATCCGCGAATTCGAGTCTCAGCAATGTCCCACATGCAATGCCACATTGGGCCTCGACACCAGTCGTGGAGTGCAGATGGACCTCGGTATGTGTGACAAACTCATGGCGCCGCCTGTGCCACCTTACTAACCCATGGCCTCCCAGAGAAATTGAGCAGCATTGTACGCTCTGTCCAGAGCGACTCGTCCACAACAGCTCCCAGTCACCGGAGCGCAACAAACACACCAACTCCATGGGACAACCAAACCGTATCATCACAGCAGCACCATGCCGACCATATCAATGGCCGTTCACGGAATGGGAGCGACGCCTCTGCCCGCTTCGCACCCAACCAGGCCCGCCAGCGGGACAGCAGCCACAGTCGTGATCGCGATCGCGATCGCATCTCCGAGCGCATCTCCGAACGCGCTCCATCGCGGCAGCATATGCGTACTGAAAGTGGTGCCACCGGACACGCATCCTCCAACAACGATTACGTCCAGGACGGCCGGCGGCATGACTACGACGTCCAATCCACCGAAACCAGCCTGAGCAGTCCACGCGGCCTGTTGAAAAGCCCCATCCCGCCTCCCACCGTCACAGTCCGGAGCGAATTTCCAACTCTTTCACGGTCGCGGCAGCAGCAGAGCTTGACATGTCTCATCACCGTCGAGGTGACCGAGGGCAAGTGGCGCGCAGACCCAGAGGACATGCGAGGCGTTGCCCCACCGCCCGTCCCTTCCATTGCAAGTGCGACAGGAAGCTTCTCTCGCGGCAAGTCGCCCTCCAACGCCAGACAGTACGACTCGCCACATGAATCGACAGAGGCCTTGGACGAAATCACCGAAGATTTGCATGCGCGCGTCGACAACTGGCATGGTCTCGATTTCTCGCGCTTCGGCAAGCTCCGACTGCACGGGCACATTCGCGTTGGCAAGGACCGCCAATCATGGCAGGAGCTCGAGTGCTACCTGTTCTCGGAAATGCTCATCTGCGTGAAAGAGAAGAAAATGGCTGCCCATCCACAGTGGGACGGCCCAGCAGCACCCGCCGGCAAGAAGACGAAATGCACACTCAAAGGCTCTATCTTGATCAAGAAGCATCTCAACCAGGTCGAGCACTCCGCGGACGAGCTCATACTTACCCTCAGCCTCTCTGTTGCCGAGCTTCCTTCGTTCCACTTGCAATTTCCGGATAGGGAGCAGCTCGAGCTATGGCGACGCGCCTTGATGGACATCCGCCTCGACTTTCCGACCAGCAGAGCCATGCACGACTACGACCAAGACTTCTGCGGCACTGAAGAGGACGACTACCGTAGAAGGCGACTCTCTTCTGTAAACTCATCATATGGCGCATCCCGGTCGACGATGACCGCGCCCACTGAATACACAAACTCCCGTGCTGGCCACCCTGAGCCTCGACTCGGCAACACGATTCACGTGCCCATTGATGTTGTCGTCGTCATACCCGTGTCTTCATCGATGCAAGGTCTGAAGATCAATCTGTTGCGTGATACATTGCGATTTCTTGTGCACAATCTTGGCGAGCGCGATCGCATGGGTTTGGTCACTTTCGGCTCAAGTGGAGGAGGCGTTCCGATTGTGGGCATGACCAGCTAAAGTCCTGGAGGGACTGGCCAAAGGTGCTTGATTCGATACGACCCGTGGGCCAGAAGAGTCTTCGTGCAGATGTTGTGGATGGTGCAAATGTGGTCCATGGACCTCCTCATGCAGCGGAAATCCAGCAACCCCTTGTCTAGCATTCTGCTAATTAGCGATTCGTCTACTTCAGACGCCGAGGAGTGTGGACTTCGTCATCTCTCGCGCCGAAGCTGCCAAGTGAGTCAAACACTCCTCATTTGATATATGTTTTTTTGCTAATACTCTGCAGGGTCTCCATCCACTCATTCGGGCTCGGACTGACTCACAAGCCCGACACCATGATTGAGCTTTCCACGCGCACCAAAGCGTCCTACACCTATGTCAAGGACTGGATGATGCTTCGCGAGTGTGTCGCAGGATGCCTTGGCTCTCTCCAAACTACCTCACACCAAAACGTCCGATTAAAGCTGCGGCTTCCTGAAGGCTCTCCAGCCAAATTCGTCAAGATCAGTGGTGCCCTTCAGATCACCAAACGAGCGACTGGAAGAGATGCGGAAGCTTCTTTGGGTGATTTACGCTTTGGCGACAAGAGAGATATCCTTGTTCAGCTTGTCATTGCCCCAGACACTGGCTCACCCGAGCAAGTTCCACAAGATCCTTGGGAATCGATTGTGTCTGGCTTGGAAGCATTAGGTGGACCACTAGACCAAGACGAGTCACGCACACTCAGCGTCGAAGAGGTGCCCTTAATCCAAGCTGATCTCACATATGGAGACATCTTACGCGAAGGTTCACTATCACACCTTCCGAGGCCCTCGTTGCTCGCTATCACACTTCTGCCATCTGGCCCAAAGAGAAGTCCAACTGGACGTCCACCAACACCTCCCATCCCACCACATCCTCACGTTGTACAGCGTCGTATGGAGCTGCTTACATCAGACATGCTGACCCGCGCACTGACACTTGTTTCACGCGGCCCAACATGAACGAGCTCACCACCTCCTCAAGGAAACAAGGAGTATCTTGAAAGGGCTCGGAAAAGGCGGATTGCCACCACTGCCCCCTCCCGGCCATCGCCGCAACGATGCTTCCAGCGCCACAGGAAGCACCGGCGATTCTTCACCCACTACCAACAGCAACAGCGGGGAGATGCGACCCCGTACGCCCTCGCCCCACGCCGATAGCCCCTTCACTCCTGCAGCGGGTATTGACGCGCGAACCATGCACGCCCTCGATGCCGAGCTCGAATCTAGCCTGGAATGGATCAACCACCCTGCCGTCTTTGGTAGAGACTCGCGCAAGGCGGTATTGCAGGCCATCGGCGTGATATCCTCACAACGCGCATACACCTTCCGATCACCTTCCGAATCGCTTTGGGCGGAACGAATTACGGGCGTCAAACGTCTGTCAGAGCGCTCACGATTATGGCGCGAGTCTGGTGACCAAGAAGCGCTCATGGAAGAGAACTAGTTGCTCGCGTCATCCATCCCGCCAATATCACGACTATCACTTCTGAATGTTGTACTATTACAATGTCTTACTTGGGGACTTGCTACTTTTCAGCATTTTGCATCTGCGATCATCGAGTCTGGGGGGTTGGTGTTGGAATATATCCCGTATTTGGGCGCCTTGCTCACGCCTTGAGCCTTCATTCGCATCTTTTTTCTTTGGGTTTTCACGATACCACCACGGTCTTATTCATTACATTTGGTTCTTGGTCGGCAAAAGACATGGTTGCGAGCGTCACCACGATTTCTGATTATACCTTAGAGGATACCACCTGCTTAGCAACACTGCAATCACCGTAGCTTAGTGCATGAACAATCACATAATTTTTCAACTACTCCGACTACTCCAACTCGAAACAATTGTGTTTAAGCCGAGCTAACCCTACCAATGTATGCACCTCTGCAGGTCATTGCCTAGAAGAACATAGGCCAAAATGGCACCATGTTGCATATGCCTGCAGGCTATCTAGTCTGACTAGCTAGACTGTAATTATAAAGTCCATCTGATGCGCAGACCTCTACAGGACCCCGGTCGGTATGCTTGTGCCTGCCTGTCTGCACCACATGCATGCACGCACTATCAAACCAACCGGCTATAGACAATGCGCAGCTAGCAATGGTGCTACCTCCGCCATGTCCTGGACGACCCGACCGAGATGCGCAATAGTCTTGATTATCTCAAAACTGAAAATCTGCCGCCTTTGCCTGCCTCACATATCCAAGCGAAGCAAGTGACGGTGAACTCCGCTACTAGTCAAGCCATAGCCGGTCCTTTTTCCGAGACCCCATACCATCCAGTTCTCGACCCTAGCCCTATACCACCCCTCACATAAGAATGACCTTTCTCTCGGCACATGGGCGGTAAGCGTCGCTAGCGCTCACCACCATGTTCCGTTCATATACTCCAACAACACGGGTATTCCCATCTTACTTGCAGCAGTGTTCACAATAACAGCCAACACTCACTCGCGTCGGTGATCATCTTATTCAGTCAGCCTCACCAGTTCGTGTCACCAACCGGTGACGGTGATCATGCTTCAATATCGACGCCCTGCATGCATTTGTTTGTCTGACATGGGGCGGTTTGAACGGGGATCGAGCCACGAGTAAGTAAAGATCGACAATCGGCGGCGGGTCTGTTCGCCTCACAACAGGCTCAGAATATCGATCATGCTTTCTTTTTCTCAAGGGTTCAATGATGTTTCTTTTTCATTTTTGGATTTCACCTCTATGTAAACTTGATTGGGTATAGAATCGCACATCAATTAGTTTGCTTAGAAGGAAAGGTAAGTATCGATCAAAGGCAAGGGCGATCCCGATGCTAACGCTGCGACTTGTGCCCGTGAAAAAAAAGTCAATGTGGCTGGGAGAAGGGGGCCAGGATTTGAAACGGCAATACTTCGAACCCGTCTTCCTCTCGACCATCATCAAACGCCCAACTCTAATCGTTCCAGATGAACGGGTCCACAACGGCTAACCGAGCTCTGCTGACGGCAGCTGCAAACCCCAACGATTCCTTGTCGGGCCGGTTTGTGTGACGTCGTGGCACGCGAGATGCAGGAACACATGGACATGGCTGTGAAGTGGAAGGGATGGAAGTGGTAGCACGGCATATGGGATCAAAACCCGCGCACAACACCTGCAGGCCCACCTTGCTTTTGCCGTATCTGACTGCAGATTCGGCATTGAATCACGCACTGCGGAGACTGTACATCTAAAAAGTAGAAAGCTACGAGCCGCTGCACCGGGACAGCAGCGAAGGGTCGATGTTGGAGACCAATATTGGCTCCTCTCCGTTCCCGCGGAGCGCTGCCAATACCATCCTGCCGGAGCACTGAAAGGATCTTTTTGATCGAACGATCAATAGTAAAATCCCCGTTAGGTCTGGTGTTGCACAAAAGACATAAAAAGTCCACAGTCCTTGCGGGTCTCGTCCCGTCAGCCAACGTACTGTAGGCCGCCTCCAGTCGTCCCGCACCCACGTTGCTACTTCGGAACGCCTTTTGGGAGTTCCGCTTCGCCTCGACAGCGGGACGTTTCAATCATCGCGGCTCAAGCCACAGCTAGACACGTTTTTGGAATGACAGCACGGATGTGTGGGTCCAGCGACAAAATGTAACAGCTATTCCAGTCTAGCGACAAAAGCTTGTGGTACCAAACCGCGAAGGGCAATGGTGCTACAGGGGGAAAAAGCACGGTGTGGTGTCCTGGGTGCAGCGACGTGCGTTCGTGTGATGTAATGCAAACCCGCCAAGTGCCATGGTAGGCAGGTAACGGTGCTGTTTCAGATGTCTACCCAGTTCGGGGATTTATCGTGTGTGTCGCGGTGATCGCTGGGAACGTTGAGGGTTTTCCTGTCGCGTACTTGTTTCCGAAGAAATCTCATTTGATCGGCGCAATAGGTACATGTTCCTGCCACATCCAGAGCCTTGCAGATGCGCGCCGCGCTGCTGGGAAACCTATCATGGGCTGCGGAAGCGCACACATGTGTGCTGCTCTATCAGTCTCCTTCTCTATCCATCCAAGTCTCACTAACCCGTCTTCATCACTTCCCGCGTCTCAAAGATACAACCCCCGCGCCACCTCCCCGCGAGAGAGCCCGAGCGGGGGAGACCTCCCCCTCGCCAACCGTCACGGCACTTTTCGCTCTTAGCAATGGCAAAAGCAAATCCACCAGAAGTAAAATGTTCCGACGCGTGACGCTCCAAGAACACGAAGATACGTGATAGTAGCAACCATCCCTGCTCAGTCATCAAGAAAGCAATATACCAATACCGTAGTGCATGTTGGTATAGAAGGATCACGCACACGTGCAGCAATCCAATGGCCCCAACGTACAAAGTGAAGCCGTCTCTAGAACGATTCCGAACAATCTACGATCAAAAACGGCGACTTTATCCCCAAGGTCCGAAACCTGCGTGTGGGATACTAGGATACCTTCCAAGGAGTAGTCTATGCGACGGAGGTATCATGCACTATCCGCATTCCAATAACGCGTGCCCTCGATCTCAGATATCCTCCCAAGGTGCCGGCTCGGCACTTGATTGCTCCGAACCGAGTCAGAACCAGGAAATTATACCGACGTTGTGGTGGTCGGGATGTCTGAAGGATCAGGCAGTTTTGACGAGGCACGTCCATGTCGATATTCCTCCCACACGTGGGCTTAGCATGAGATCTGGTCCCACTGGACTGGCGATATTTGTCTCAGGTAAAGTATGCATTCCATGTCTTTGGAATAGTATAGCGGTGGGGCTCGATCTGAACGTATTGTTATGTGGAGTTGACGACATGTCTGCCATCGGAACAAAACGCTCCATATCAGCGGACTGGTCACGATGGCAAGCGACAAAGTCGGTGACCTTGCCTTACGGCCGAACGAGGCGTTTCTGTGAAGTTGCGCAGCAATCGATAATCCCCTTTCGTACATTGTGTCGTCTCCAGCCCTGTACCCTGTCTCTCCACATCTATCGCACGATCTTCCTCCTATGTACCAAATTTCCGCCTACTGTAGGTTCTCACCTACGGCGGAAAGTAAACAGGGGCATCCTATACTGTAGCCTGTATCTATACACGGTATCACTACGTTTCGAATGTGACGGAAAGGCCCTATGCATAGCTTTAGGTTATTGTGTGGGCTGCCACCTGATGCATCCTGGTCACTTTCCGTCGTAGCTGACAAGATGTAGTAGGTACCACGAACTCCTTTCGATGGACGAAAGTCGTCCTCTATCGCACACTCCCGTCTTATTAACTGACAAGGCTTATCACAAAGCTGGTTTGTCGTTGGCAGTATTGGTGCTTCGAAGGTACTGTAGGACTGTAGGAGGATATGTGGGACAAGAGCTAGCCCGAATTTCGTGCGTGGGACATGGACGCAAGCTATGCTGGTAGAAAAGCTTTCGATGAAACCGATGGCCGCGTACGCCGATCACTCCCAATAGAGGCAGGAGAGCTCTTGTCTACCCATAATACCTATACACATCTCGTGTTGAGCTGGCTCATACTTACCAAAGGCTGATTTGTGAAGGGGTTGACAGTACTGAATGAGAAATCACCAAGCTGTGTGTGTTTAGTAGATTTTGTGACTTCGTTGCGTTACAGCGGGGGCTGTAATGCAGATACACGATTTGTTACAAAAGGTTTCCCCTCAGTAGAATCCCTATGCACAGAGGTCTTTCTAGAGCTCTTGCTTAAATCTCGTATTACGTTCTCCTTCCTCTCGTCCTCGACATGTCTTCCTTTCTCGTTATGGTTGATGCTGTGCACTGCGTCCAGCGTCCCAACCTCTCATGTGCCATTTTCGTCGATATTGTGTGGTCCGGCCTCCCATCTTCCACTCGCACACTTCTCAAGATTTTCCATTCGTGCCCCTCTGCTGGCTCTCAACTTCACTTCTGTCGTCTCGTCCGATCTCGGATATTTTGCGATTCGGGAAGTGTCCCTCCATCACATACAATTCGACCTGAACGTCGTTGTTGTCATTCTACTCTTGCTTGCGTCTCTTGTTCGTGCAGTGGCACATGAGTACGAGCATTATCGTGATCGTGAGGACGGTGAAGGAGATGATGGTCGCGAGGCAAATAGCTATTGTGACTCCGGACGATCCATCATCTTCGGGAAAGATGATTTTTGGCATGTTTGTGTCGGTACTCTTGCTCGGGGCAGGTTTGGTGAAGTAGTCGCGGAGAATGGTGTGCGACGACGCTGTGGCTTGAACTCGATGAAGGTCTGGGGCTCACTGCGTGTGGGTGAAGACGCAATATCTGCCACAGAGTGTGAGTTGCGCATGCAGAAGGACAAGTCGCGAAAGTTTGGCGAGGCAAGACAGCCATGTGGATATCGCGTGGGATCGAGGGCGAGCTGAGCGTACACCAGTAGCCACCATTTGCAAATATTACCTTTCATTTCACAGTGAGTGGCGGCATGTGGCATCGATACGATGCATGATCTCATCTGCTGCTTACGCATGTCCCACTCATTCTCATCCCTTGGCCTGACGGGCTCTCTACACCATCCCATTTCACACAACGCCCAACCTTTACTTCTGCAGCAGATGCTTGCTGCCTCGATATTGGCCGACCGATCGCTAAACCACATACATCATCGCCGCTACGATCGTGATGTTGACAGCGATAAAGATAATTCCCTGGTAGGGTCAGACCCGGGCTGGTATAAGTCTAGCACGTATATTGCTGATTGGACAATGTAGTTTGTGGTATCCAAAGGTGCAACGGTGTTGTCGATAGGAATAACCCGAGGCAATCAGCTGCATGGCAATGGCGATGCGAAAAGCTTTGGTACCTCGAGTCGGTTGTAGGGAGTCATCGTGGTGCTTGGTTCGATAGCACGTACCTTGAGTGTAATGGGATAATTGTAAAGTTTGGAATAGCTGCAAGTGCGACAAACGTAGGGCTTCCTTGAAGACTGGTACGATAGTAATGTGGTTAACACAGGTACGTGTTTGCGGTCACCGCCTTGCTTAGATATAGGAACACTCGATAAGATCAAGCGACAAGAAAACAACAACTAATATAGTGACTGTTCATTCCGCACATGCCTACTTAGGTACCTACTACTTCCAACCCATCCATTCTTGATCCCAACACGCCGTCCCTCACATGTCCCTAAGGTCTCTAAAACTACAACACCTGTAAAGGAAAAGATCGAACATAAAAGAAGGCGGTTAAGGTCAGAAGTATTAGGGCGGGTACTTCGAAAAGAGAAAGATCAAATTACAACAGATTTATTCAAGACCAGCAGATCGTACAACGCCCGCGCCCAATATCCAAATCGAAAAACGAAAGTGGGTGAATATCAACACAATGAAGTGGAATACTGATTTTCTTCAACGTGTCGGTTACTGGGCAACAACGTCCTCCTCAGCCCAGCCAGGCAGGCCGCCGTCACCTTGAATGGCAAGACCATAGCCACCATTGCCGCTACCGAAACCACCGATGCCAGAGCTCAGGCTACCAAAAGAGCCTTGCTGACCACCCTGGCTTGATTGGACAGAGTGGTTGAAGGGACCTTGAGTAAAGGCTGGCAAGCTGACAGCGCGGGAGTGCTGAGCACGTGCATTGAGGTTTGAAGGAGCGAGAAGACCTCCGACCGTAGTCGCGCTAGAGCCATTGCCACTGGAGGAACCATTGATCAGGCTGAAGCTCGAGGTGCTGTTGTGCGAAGTGTGCGAGTGGTGGGATTGTGAAGTGGGATTGAGCTGGTCAGCGCCATAGAAAGCCGCTTGTGGCGATTGGAATGACTGTTGTTGCTGCTGGCTCTGCTGCTGCTGCTGCTGCTGCTGTTGTTGTTGTTGTTGCATGCTCATCTCAGCTTGTTGCTGATGCTGCTGCTGTTGCTGAGCCTGAAGGTACATCATCAACGGATTGTTGTTGCCACTGTTCAGGATGTTGGCCGGAGCAGGGGCCTGCATAGCTGGAAATTGTCCATTCTGGCTGTTACCAGAACCGGGTGCACCAGATCCCGTAGGCGAGACTGATGCACCTGCTCGGTTAGGATGGAGACCGTTGATAGGGGACGGTGACTGAACACCATCGCTACCGGCTTGTTGATTCTGCTGTTGCTGGTTGTTCATCTGGCGAGGAGGGTTACCGCATCTGTCCTTGCCAAAGTTGACCTTGAAACGCTTGTATTCCTCTCGACCGCGGATGGCCTCAATAGCCTTGATAGCATTGGCGATGTTGGTGAAGTTGACAAAAGCACAGCTCTTCTCGCGAAGAGTGTTCACGAGCTCGATCTCGCCGTATTCAGAGAAGTCTTGCCTCAGACGATCCTCAGTCCAAGACTCGTCAAGGTTACCAATGTACACATTGCGAGAAGCTCCACCACTGACAGCAAGGGCAATTGCGGGAGGTAGGGCACCGGAATGCTTGCCCCAGCCAATTTTCAGCCGGCGGTTGTGGATCATCAAGCCCTGTAAGTTGCTGAGAGCGTAGAAGGATGCTGCAGAAGTGGGATCAATGAAGGTCACGAAGCAGATATGCTTATCGGGGATGTATCGTATGTGGTGAAGAAGACCACCACGAACAACGTTACAGATCTCCTCAATCGTAGTCTCTGGATGAATGTTTCCAAGATAGACGGTTCGGTTGCCGAGATTGTTGACACCACCAGCCGAGGTGGCAACAGCAGCAGCGGCAACAGACTGCTGGGCGAGCGCATTGGAGATCATGTCGCGGTCGGCGCCGTTAAGAACATGAGCATAGCCTGGGGCAATACCGAGATACTGGGCAGCGTTCTGCTGCTGGGTCTTCGACACATAGGCACATCGGTCTTTGCCATAGTACACACGTCTCGGGGCCTGCCACTTGGGCTCTTGCGGCAGTTGTGCAACAGCCTTGATGGCGTTGCCTATCGAGAGGAAGTGAACGAATCCAATTGCCTTCTCGCGCACGATTTTCACCGTGTCGATGGGACCGAACTTGCTAAGATCCTCGCGCAGCTCATCCTCGGAGACATCCTCTGGTAGGTTACCGAGGTAGACGTTGCGCGACGCGCCTGACTGTTGGACAGCCAGTGCAACTGAGGTTGGCACCTGAGAAGGCTTACCCCACCCGATCTTGATATCCTGGCCGCGGATGGACAACTTTTTCAAGATTGCGTCCGAGTGGAAATGGGTAGCAGAGCTGCTGTCGAGGAAAGAAATGAAGGCGCAGTTCTTGTCCGGGAGCAGCCTAACAGACTCGATCTGACCACTCCTGACATGGCCGAGGATTTCCTCTGCGGAGGTCTCAGGAGGAATGTTGCCGAGGTATACAGTCCTGCTAGTACCAGACACCAGACCAGGCGCGATAGGCATTGAAGAGCCAAGTTGACCGCCATAGCCGGAGAAGCCTCCTGTCGGTGATTGTGGGCCACCAAAGAAACCACCGTTCATGCTCGTAGGCGAAACGAGATTCTGGTATAGCTGTGGTGACAGAGGCTGTTGCAATGGGGAACCAACCTGCTGCGACTGGTGGTTTTGCTGCTGCGACTGGTTCTGCTGGGCGAAGTTTGCAAAGTTCTGGAACTGTGGGGAAGCAAACGCGGAGGGGGAACCAGGCTGGAATGGGCTACCGAGAAGGAGCTGCGATGGAAGCAGAGGGGTGAAGTTCATGTCGTAGCCAGTGCCAGGTGTCTGCATCTCCATACCGTTCTGGTGGCCGCCGGGAGCGAGCCTGTTGGTGTTGATAGACATGTTGTTCGAGCGCTCAGGGTGCCTGTCGGCATAGCCTGGCTGGTTTGTCGCGAATGCACCGTGCGAGAAGCCGTGGTGGCCGCCATTAATCTGCCTCTGGAAGCTTGTTTGGAGACGGGGGCCGCTCGGGGCGTTCGGGGCGGAGTCGTGCTGCTGCATGGCGAGAAGATGCGGAGGCAGGCTCAAGCTGTCCCGCGGGTTTTGAGAGAGTACAGCCGTGGTGAAGGTAGATTATAGCGTCCTGGACTCAATGGACCGGACGTTGAAAGTATGTGGCAGAAGATGAAGAGGGTCGCAAGGGCTGTAAAGGGTAGCTACCGTATTAAAGTTTGTAGAATGATCTGTGTCGTCTTAGCTTGCTGTCACAGCACGTCTGGGGCAAGATAGAAAAACAGGACATACATCCAAGAGCACAAGGGCGGATGGTACTTAATACAGGTTTGGCGGCACCGAATTGAAGGTCAAAGAAGCCCGGATGCTGGGTCGCTTGCAAGCAGTCCAAATCAGCACACACAACAGGCCAACGAAATGATCACGGCTGGGTCCAACGTCTGTCGGTATCGACGGCAGGCCTGGGGAAGAGCTGTTGTATTCTAATTATGGTCGTAGAGGGGCGCGACTAGGTGCAGCGTGCTCGAGGGCTGAAAAAGGCAAACCCTGGTGGCTTGTCTGAGGATGCGAGCACGTAAAGAGCGAACAATAACAATGGACAGCGCAAAGAGGCAGGCTTTGTCGAGGACCTCGGGGCTATAAGAAGGATAGAAAATGAGCGGAAGGGTGAAGAAAAGGGATCACGACCTGAATGTCGAGGTGGAAAGAGAAGAGGTCGGTGAGAAATGCTAGCACTCCTATCGACACAGGAGAGTCTAATTTGCGAGGCTGTCCCAAGACGGACTAGTGTTTTTAGACGCCGCAGCTTGAATCGTACAAACACCCAGCACCCGCCGTCAGCTGCAGCCGCTGTCTGGCCTCATAGACGCCCGTAAACTGTGGCGCCGTTTGCTTGCAGCGATTGTGCCTGACGTGCTGGCCGTCTTCGTGCGACTGTATGGCCAACTGTGCGGCTAGTTGCATCAGCTCGCACCGTGCCTGACTACTGTAGACTTCCCGCCAACGCCTCGTCTGAGTCCAGCCAGCAGCTCGGCAGATGGTGCAAAGGGTCCAGGTGGTCCCGGCGGGTTGACCCAGAAGGCCAGAGGTCCCTAGTTCGCGCGTTTTTCTGAGGCTCGCGCAAACGCCTCACGTGACTCTCCCAGCTCCGTCGGCCTGGGATTGGACGCTGCTTATGCGTGGTACAGCGAATTCCGCCGTGGTTTCATAGCACAGCTTCAGGATGAACAACGGCGGTCGCCTCATCGACTGTACTGGCTCCGAGATTCAGGCCACGTTTCTTCGGCCGCTTGACGGTTCTGTCGGTGTCTGCATCGCGAAGGCTCTAGCCGCAACCGTGGAAGCCTTGGCATCTCGCTTATTCCACCAGACACGTGACCTCTCACCCTTTGCAGCTGGATGTGCTTTCCTGCGACCTCGTTAGGTATACAGCATCCAGCCATCGATGCCATAATGTCAGAACTCTTTCCATCAATCGCGCAATGCGCAATAGTCGCTACGGCATTGAAGATCCTTCTCTTCCCTGCATAGTATGTCGAAGCACGCTTTCTCATTGTATTTCTGCTGGCATGCTGACTGTTTCCGGCAGCAAGTCGACCGATTTTGAGGTACACCGCAACTGGCTAGCCCTGACCCATTCCCTACCCGTGAAGGAGTGGTACTATGAAGTGAGGAACCTGGCCATGTCTTTTGCATGAGTACACACAAGCTCATATTTATCTCAGAAAACGTCGGAATGGACCCTGGACTATCCCCCGTTCTTCGCGTACTTCGAGTGGCTCATGTCCCAAGCCGCATCGTATGTCCACCCTGCACTGCTCAGGGTGAAGGCGCTGGACTATGACAGCTGGCAGACTGTCTACTTCCAACGCACGACTGTGATCGTTACCGAGCTAGTCTTGGTCTATGCCCTACATCTGTATTACCCATAGTCTGAAACACTGTCTACACATAGCTAACTCTGATGAAGTTATGTGAAGACGTCCAAGTCGAAAACTACTGCACATGCCGCAGCACTTTCAGTATTACTATCACCGGGGCTGCTGATCATTGACCATATCCACTTCCAGTACAATGGATTCATGTACGGGGTTCTGGTTCTCTCCATGGTTCTTGCCCGTAACAAGTCTACACTGCTAGTGTCTGGCCTTCTTTTTGCCATACTCCTGTGCTTCAAGCACATTCATTTGTACCTGGCACCGGCATATTTTGTCTACCTACTCCGCGCATATTGCTTGGGGCAACGACAGTCCTTTCCCTTCTTCAACATACAATTTTTCAACTGCATTAAACTGGGTACAGGTATCGTTGCCATTTTCGCCGGTGCCTTCGGTCCCTTCGCCGCTTGGGGCCAAACTGAGCAAGTGTTTCGTCGTCTTTTCCCTTTCTCACGGGGGCTCTGTCACGCATATTGGGCGCCCAATGTGTGGGCAATGTACTCCTTCGTGGATCGTGTTCTCATCTATGGTAATAGTCGCGCATGTTCTCACATGGCCATGCTGACCTAAACAGTCGCCCCTCGTCTGGGACTGAAGATCGATCCCGAGGCAGTCAATAGTGTCACTCGAGGACTGGTCGGTGATACGTCCTTCGCGGTACTTCCTGACGTGGTACCTCTCACTTGCTTCCTCTTGACTCTTGGTGCGCAAATCGTAGGTGGTTCTTCGGTGCTTAATATCGCTAACGCTAATCCGTACAGCCTGTGTTACTCCGACTGCTTTACAAGCCAACCTGGGAAGCATTTGTCGGCGCTGTGACACTCTGTGGATATGCTTCCTTCCTATTCGGTTGGCATGTTCATGAAAAGGCTATCCTTCTCGTGATCATTCCATTCAGTCTCATTGCACTACATGATCGCAGGTTTTTCGGGGCTTTTCGACCACTGGCCGTTGCAGGGCATGTCTCCTTGTTCCCACTCCTGTTCACCGCCGCAGAATTCCCCATTAAAACTGTGTATACAATCTTTTGGCTCGTACTGTTCCTGCTTGCCTTCGATCGCCTCGCTCCACCGTACGTGCTTCTTTCTTGAAGCGTTTAATAGCTAACAAGAAACAGCTCACCGCAACCTCGCATATTCCTACTCGACCGCTTTTCATTCATATACATTGCCCTTTCTATACCGTTGATAGCATATTGCTCACTTGTTCATGGTCTGATCTTCGGTTCTCGTTTGGAGTTCTTGCCACTCATGTTTACAAGCTCCTATTCCGCTATTGGCGTAGTAGGCAGCTGGGTTGGCTTCTTGTTCGTGTACTTTGACTCATAAATGAAATATCAATATCTGGCCTACATGAATTAACCAAGCACATATTACGCCACTTGTCAAGGGACATGTCTTCTTACGAATCTGATCAATGTGTAATCTATCTCATTTCAAGTACGATTAGCTGTCGTGGAATCACCTTTGATATGAACAGCAAATTCTCGTCAGATTCAGCTGTATGCGCATAGATCTCACATGACTGCCCTATTATGCATACGTCCGAGTGTCAAGTCTACGCAAATGCTGAAGGAACACTATCATCGACAGGGACGATGTCAGGTACGAGCGCTGCTCATTCTTGTGGGGTCTGACTATCAGACGCAATGCAGTTCATGCATTTTCACATATGAAGCTGGACAGCCTTGAGAGAACCAAACCTTGGAAGAGCCAACGTTGTTCAATCATACCAGCAGAGCACTGCGTACCGCTTCAAGGCTGGTGACAAAGACATGGTGTCTTTCGTGCGTTCAAGAAGATTTCATCGTGTAAGTTATGTCACATGTGAAGACGGTGTGTCTTGATTTCACTATCGATATAGGCTTTTACTTCTATCGACTGATAGTATTGCAAGACTTGACTTAGTGGGGCTCTTGGAGGTGACTGAGTAAGTGGGTCGGGCTGCCGAAGGGCTTGATTGGGAACTCTGGCATGAGCACATCACGTTCACTCCAATATCATGCCGCTACACTGGTCGCACGTGAATTTTATCTGATGCACATGTTGCGCAGTCAGAACATACTCTCGCCAACGATCACAACGAGCCCAAACACGTTGATGATGCAATTGCAGCGACGTGCAAAATATAAGCGTGTATTGAAGGGGTGCTCTGAGATCCTTACCCTAAGAGGCCTTAGCATGTCCTTGGCGCTCTACCTCTACACTCCATTTCTCTCTTGCCATTGAGCCTCCCCCCCTCGTCTCTCTGCTACGTCTCGGCTACCTCCTCCATCAACGCACCCTCACCCACGACGCGCTCATCTGCGACTCGAACCAACGCGCTCTCGGAACAATCAGACGCGTCTCGGAACGCTACTCGGACCTCCGACAGGTGCGACCACTTTTCTGGAGACCTTCTCCAGAACGTGATATAGCTCCCCAAGGCTTCAGCTGCCTTGCGGAGGGGCTGTTGCCCCAACACTTGGTCGTGGACTGGGCTGCGATAGGACCCAGCGACGCGTCCACCACATCGCGACTCTCCCGAAAGTTTGCGACGCGCAAGCCCTGTGACGATACTTGAGCAAGCTTCACATGAGCTAGAGTTCAGAGCAAGATGGTACGACGCGTGCCGCAGTCGTCCGGGCAATATACTGACTTTATTAGGTGCTCTACAAGCGCAAGCCGGTGAAGTTCGAGCCTATCCCAAAATTTATCGATGATAATACCGAGGTAAGCCACAAACATTAGAACAGCTTGAAAGCCAAACACTAAGATAGTGGTATAGGTCTGGGTGATTGACGAAACCGGAGAAGTCTTCATCGACTACGAGAAGTTTCTCAATAGGTGCGCAACATGAAGTGACGTCAAAAGTGTCAAAGTAAAGCTAATATGAAAAAGGCGAGACTTTTACGAACAGGCACGTACTTCAGCTTACCCCCCCCCCAACTACAAGATTACCCGACTAATGCATCGCAGAAGAAATTCACATGCGAATCGACCGGACATACTGGGTTTACCTTCTTCGAGGCCAAAGAGAGTGAGGTACGCTCCACACCAGTGCTCGAAAAGGGCAGTCTTATCGTAACAACGCCGCAGTCGGAGGCATCAAAAGAGATTAACAGCATTCTCCCCGAGGCCTTGAGGTCTCGTATCCTCGAATATGTCCAGTTCGACACCACATCCCGCATGGATGATTTGGGTACGTCCACATTCATTTGCCCGACCGAGACCACTACTAATCATCTACAGTGAATGATGTGTTCGATGTAAGCTGCGAGTAGCCGTTATTTAGTGTTGCATACTGACAAGTACTCAGTATTTTAGAGAGCAATTCATGGTTGGCGATCGAGTCTCCATCGAAGGCGACAACGCGCGACGATACGGTCGGATTACTGCCATGACCGACACCAGCCGTTTGCACAATATGTTCGCTACTACACAGTCAATGGACGACTCGGTCCGCTCCTACTCGTACGAAGTCACGCTGGACGACACCGATGAGAAGGTTGTCAAGTACAGGGCCTCTGAGATCCAGCGAGACAAGAGCTTCTACTCCAAGATCATTTTCAAGCAATATTTGCGTGATTCTACCAGAAGGGGCGAGTACGTTGGGGACCCGTGGATGGTGCTTGAACACTTGGCAAAACGCTACGGTATTCCAACTGTCATGCCGGACAATCAAACCAGAGAAGCGATCCTTGCTCGGCGGAGGGCCGCAAATGGTAACGTCCAGAACGGTGCCAGCCCGCCGATGCAGCAGACGTACACGCACCATGCAGTTAACGGGCATCAGCCTCATATGAATGGGGACAGACCACAGCTGCCTCCTGGCCACGGTCAAGCCGCATTCGTCAATTTTTCCGCAAATCCGCCACAGCAGTACTACCAGGACCATAGACCTGCGTCTCTGATACCTCCGCACATGCGTGTGCCTTGTGGTCCGCCCCCACACTTCAGTCATAATATCCAACCACCCCACTACAACACTGGACCTCCTCCTCTACCACCCGTCTTCCCTCCACAATTCAACGCTGTCCCGCCTCAGTTCATGTTGCAGAATCAACATTCACAACAACAACATCCGATGCCAATACAGCAGCACCCACATTTCCAGACGAGCTTTCCACACAACCAGGGTCCACGCACTTCAAATTTCCCACAACCTCAGCAAGTGCCGCAGCCTACCAGGCTACTCGAGCCTGTCAAGTATCCGATGGAAGATCTGGAAATTAGGCAACCACGAACCATGCCAATGCGGCCGACTCTCAAGTTCTTTTCTGACGACGTGCCTGATGGTGTTGAAGAACCTGCAGATGAGAAGAAAACTGGGATTAAGATGAAGAGTCTTGGCCCCCTTCTATGTGCATGGGAAACCCTAAACGTCCATGATACTGTATACATGCTCGACTCATTCACATTCGACGATTTTGTGGATGCTATGCGCTTTGCTGATGAAGAAATTGATTGCGAGCTATTTGTCGAAGTTCACTGTTCAATACTCAAGCAGATCATCAATGGCTCTGGGAAGCTCCAGACACATCTACCCAAGATGGCTGAATTGGAGGAGTCGGACGAGGAGGACTCAAGCAAAGAAGCCACGCCAGAGCCGGAACCACCGGTGCGGACGACGCGGAGTAGCTTGAGGAAGTCCGAGGCCCAACAACTCGTGAAGCCACGTACACCCACGCCTGAGCCCCCCAAAGAAACCCATAGTGCAGAGAAGTTTCTTGAGGGATTCAACTGGGTGGAACAGTGTAAATTGCGCAACTTTCGAGATGGCGGATGGCAATCCATCGTTGTGGCGCTCTTGTACCGACTATCTTTTGACCCCATTCAGAAAGAGGCTTGCGAAGAAATCCTTGCTCGATTGGTACCGGCCGATGATGAACCCACCATGGACACCATCGCTCACAACTACTTACATCTTGACGTAAATCTTCGGATCTCAGCATTGGATCTCATTCTCAGGCTGACAGTCGCTACGGAAGCTTTCCGTGACCAGCTCATTGCGGCCGCTCAGGAGATGACGCGCTTGCGCAAAGAAAAGATTGACTTTCAGAGAAAGCGAAAGGAATTGTGAGTCACATACCACAACATTGTGAACGTATGAAAATTCTAATCTGACTCCAGAGCCGATGAACTATTCAAGCTGGATCTCGAACGAAAGATCCACCTGCCTGCCAACACTCCAGCTTCACCAACTGAGACCAAGGAGAACGAAGATGTCGACATGTCCATGACAAGTATCGCTTCGGACGCCAAGGACACTACCGATGCAGATGGCGACGGTTCAGAGCTGCATGCGGCCACCAAGTCCAGGCTTCGGCAGAGCAACAAGAACAAACGCAAGGCTGCTGCCGAGGAAGCACGGAAAGAGAAGGCGAAAAAGGCAAAGCAAGAAGCTGAGAAGACCAAGAAGCAGAAAGAATGGGAAAAATTACTCGACTCCATAGAGAAGAAGAAAGACGAACTCAGAGAGTGCGAGGCCAATATCAATGAGCTCGACGACGACCTCCGGGAGACTCTAGTGCATCGAAGCAAGGTGCTTGGCAAGGACCGCTTCCTCAACAAGTACTATTGGTTCGAACATAACGGCATGCCTTTCGGAGGAGTACCAAACAGCTCAACTGCCGAGTACGGCTATGCTAATGGTCGCATCTGGGTACAAGGTCCTGACGAGTACGAGCTTCAGCCTGTTCTAGACGAGCCTGCTGTATCGCAAGATAGGCAAAGGTTCGGGTTTGATATTCCTCAACGCAAAAAGAAGGAAGAAGGCGACACCCATCTTACCAATTCGACTCAGTGGGCATACTATGACGATCCTGAGGACATCGACAAGCTTCTGGCCTGGTTAGATGAGCGAGGCGTGCGTGAGCGGGCACTTCGCAAGGAACTTCAGATATTCAAAGACAGGATTGCCGAATACATGCTGATCATGAAGAAGCATTTGTCAGAACCGGACAAGGTCGAAGAAGAAGACGATGAGAGTAACACTCGCATATCGACTCGAAACAAAACCTACGTCGAGAAGGAGACGATCAAGGACCGCTGTCTACTCTGGACCAACAGCATCATGCGAGAGGAGAACGGCTACAACCATTCTGAAGAATATGAACCTCCGAAGAAGGGCAAGGCAAAGCCTGTCAAGGCTGCAAAGGCCAAAGCCAAGCGTTAGCGTCAACAAGACATCCAACGCGAGACATAGGTTTCGCCATGATTTTACGACATTTGTTCTGGCTATTTTACGGAGTTTTGATACCACAGCATAGCCACAGCAGCAAATATACCTCGCATCACCCTGGAGTTTGGCGTGTTGGAAGCATCACTGGATGGAGCACTGCATTAGAGATGGGGCAAGCGGTGTTGTGTGTTCTTGGTTATCATCGGACATCGTCAGCTGTTCCTAGTGATTACGAACAGTCCTAGCCAAGGCTAGCTTCATGGAGCTGAACGTTTGTGTTCAGCGCTTCAAACAGTGTGTATTCGGCAGCAAAAAGTAGACAGTATGATTTACCATGTGTTTGTGCCTCCTTTGTGGCCCGTCTGTACAGATGGACTTAATTTGTTGGCATTTCGGTCGTGTGCGTGAAGTTGCAACCGTTTGTTTTGCTGACAGATAACCAAATCCTCGGGTATTGACAGGAATCGATGGCCTTTGTAGCGATCTTCAAGCGGACCGCCACAGCTATATATCCCGTCAACTTGATGGGTGATGGCCTGCCAAGCCATGGCTTACATAATCTCATGGTCAAGGAGACCCGGGGGCCATCATCAGCCAGGCAAGATGCGCATCGCAACCATCATATCGCATCAGCACGAGCCGGACCGACGCCTGCATCCGCTGTATCACGCCCCAAGTACTCTATACGCCCAGTAACATCGCCGGCGAAGCACGTCGGAGCGACCAGGATGGCCGCTAACGGCGCGCGAAAGGGTGCGCTCCCTCCGCAACGCATCACCCCTCCTCCGCAGCAAGCTAATGTGCTTCAGCGACTCCAGCTGCCGCAGCTTCCAAGTCAGGGCTCTTGGACACAAGCGCAGTCAAAGACACATTGAACACAGACAAGAAGAAGATCACGTTGAAGATCAAGAAGCCAGTGCCTAAGCCGTCAATAGCTGGCAACTGGAAAGAGAGCGAAACTATTAGTATGCCCCCACAACACGCGTTATGCACTGGAGCGTGGATCAATGCGACCACGAAACCCAGACCTAACATGCAAATCCAGACGCCGACAACAAAGCGCCTGCACCGAGCGCGGCCTCGCCCACCGTCAATCCTCTCGAAGAGAAGACCATTGCTGGCTTTCCGAATGGCCGCCCGCTGGACGACAAAGTCGACACGGTGCAGTGCAAGCACTGCCGCCGGCCAGTCTTGCGCACATCCTCTGCTTCTCACATACGCGAGTGTCTAAACAAGAAGCAGGAGAAGCTTAAGAAGAAGAAAGAAGCCAAGGAAGCCAAAGATGCAGCTCTCCGCAAAGAGAAGGGAGAAGACGACGAAGGCGGTATTGGTGCGCGCAAGTCAGCTATCAAAGGCACGGGTATCGACGGCGAGGGCGCAAAGAAGGGCAAGAAAAGGAAGATTGAGGATGGCGCGGAGAAGGGGCCGAATGCGAAGAAAAAGAAGAAGGACGAGCCCAAAGCCAAGGGTGCAAAGCCTAAGGGGCCTGTCGATGTTGAGAGGCAGTGTGGTGTGCCGCTGCCAAACGGTGGATACTGTGCGAGAAGCTTGACATGCAAGAGCCACAGTATGGGTCTGAAGCGAGCTGTGCCTGGCCGCAGTCTGCCATACGACATGCTGCTTGCACAGTACCAGAAGAAGAACCAAGCAAAACAACAACGTGAGTTCCCAGACCCATATTTAAAGCACATTTTATTAACGCAAAACAGGTGCTGCTATCGACGCCAACGCCCCACTCCCAGAAGACCTCGAGCCTTCTGGCGCCGTCGACTCGGACGAAGAAAAGGACAGCATCATGGCCGCCCTAGCACGTCACCGTCCCCGTCCGCTCGCAACATACACGCACGTCTCCCAGCGATCAAAGTACCAGTACATCCGCATGAAGGGCATGATTCGTTCGGCGCTGGGCGCACCGCCGGGCGGGGGCGGTACTCTCTATTCGGGCATGGGCGTTGGCACAGATGGCGTGAGCGCCAGCCGTGGACTTGCCCTGGGCATGTTTGGAATGGGCGGCATGGGCAGCGGCGGTCCGATGAGCGCGACGAACGAACAGTTCCCGCAAAGCGCTGGATTTCCACTGAGCGCTGGACTTGACGGCGGAGCGAGTAGCCGACGGCCCAGCGTCATGAGTGGTCTTGGAAGTGCGGGTGGTCCTAGGCAGATACTACCGGGCCAACTTCCTGGACCTGGTGCGCAAGCGCGGAAGAGCAGCATGGCGAGCGTTGGTGCGTCGTAGGTTGGAGAGAAAGCAAGAGCGAGAGCAAGAGCAAGAGGATGATGATTTTGATGAGGATTATTGTTTTGAATTTATTGTGATACCCCGGTCTTGACAGCACTATTCTAGAAACTGTATGGAAAGCTTGTTCTTGAGCAAGCATGTAATGACATTGCCTAGCTAAATTGCCTGAGCAGCAGCGAAGCTCAAAAAGCTGCCCGCTGCCAGTCCTCCTACAAGACTAAGCGACATGAAACTACCAGCAGCTTCGAGTTCCTCGTGCTCAACATATTCAGCGAAGCCCATCATGCAACTACTTCCCAAGTAGCCATTAGTCAGACCAAAGAACAACTGTATGACAAAAAGGTAGAAGAAATCTGAAGTGATGGATGCTCCTTTGCCACCAATGTTGCAGAGAAAGTACAGGGGTATGAAAGCCAGACGTGCAATAGCCAAGAAGAAGAGCAAGCGTGGCCGATGCGTCAGTCGCAACGCAGGTAGCGCTGGACCAGTGCGGCCAATCAAGTCCCCGAGGTTCCAGAAGAAGAAACCCAGGGGGATATAAGCGGCAGGACGGAAGATACGAGGCGCGGTTGCTGGGTCCCGAACGCTGGTGATTTTACTGGTAAAGACGGGGAAGAACATGGTCACTGCAAAGGTGGTGAAGACTGCGCCTGCGAGCCAAAAGAGCTTCCCGAATAAACGTCGCAAGGGGATGCTTTTACGCAGACTTTGAGTTGATGCTGAGAGATCGGTGGACTCTTCGAGATGTGTTTGTTGGAGTCGTTGCTTTGAACTTACCCGAGAGAGGAGGTAGAAGAAAGCTACAATGGTCAAGACGCACACTGCCGTGGCGGTTAAGAAGTAGGAGAAAGCAGAGGTGCTGGATTCCTGGGGTGCACCGTGAAGCTGTTTCTTCTTCTCCGGCACGGACAGGACGGAGATGATTTGCGTGACGGCGGGCAAGACGCCGGCGATGCCCTGGCCTGCCATGATACCCTGTGTGTACTCTTCTCGTCCAAAGCCGGCGACGAAGGCGAAAACGCCGTTCTGGCATAGCCCCGTGGCCAGACTTGCACTGAGAACCATGAGCATGAGGAAGGCGAAGTATGCGGCTGCGGATATGGAGAGAAACATCTTAGTGGACAGGGCAAGGAGAGTGAAGACTAGGGCGTTCAGGGCGAGCGATGCAGTGATGCGTTTTGGGTAGTTTGCGTGAGCTTGTAACTTGGTCAAGACGATCATGGAGCCGAGATTGCCAACGGTGGATACGGAGAGGATGCCGGACTGGAAGTTGCGCTTCAGGTCGGGGCTCGACTCAAAGCGACGGTCGAAGTACGGAGCTGCTGCGAGGAACATGTTCCATGCCCACAGCATGGCCACGCCCAGCAGCAGGAACACGGAGTAGTCGGTCCAGGAGAAGCGCTGGCCCTCGGGCTCTTCTGGCGGTTCGCCGTGGACATTCTCCGAGCCGTGCTGGAGTGGTTGGTACTGCTGCTCGGGCACGTCGTGCACGAGGCTGAAGACGCGGCGTAGGCGGTCCATGATGCGGTCCATGATGGGGTCCATGATGGGGCGGGCTATCTGTGCGCTTGCTTGTCCGGAGTGTGGTGTGCGGAGGTGATGTGGAGAGGGGAAGGTCGAAGACAGGCAGACATACTTCAGGACGGACTAAGCAGACGAGCTCATCGTCAGTCGTGCGCACTGCCACTGCGCAGGTGATGCTGGCACGCCGGTCGCGTCGGAGAGGCCTCTGGGCGCGCCAAGTTAGTCGAGTGGAGCGTGGGATGGCCCAGGTGTGTCCCCCCACCTCCGCGGTGACCCCTCAGCGATGCAATATTTACCGTCTGCTGTACTGTAGACTGTAGACTGTAGACCGTCGATGCAGCACACAGCATCGGATCGCGCCTTGCCTCCACCATGTCCCAGAACCCCCCGCAGACGCTCTCGGTGAAGAGGAAGCGCAACGACGCGCCCGTCGATGCACTCTACCTCGAGCCAAGCGTCAAGAAACAGCGCAGCCAGCTGCTCCCCAAGGCCCCTGGCTTCGTCTTCCGCCGTCTCACCAAGCCGAACGACACTCCCCAGCAGCCGCCGGCACCGGAACCGCCGACGCCGACAGTCGAGCGACGCTTCCATCTCGATGCCACGGCCAAAGCCCAGGGCAAGCGCGTGTTTGCCGAAGCCAAAACAAGAACACAGGGCCACAACGCCGCCCGGGCCGCCCACCTGCATGCACCTACCCCAGATGGCCCGCCAAAAGAACCGTCTCGAGCGCAGAAGCGGCCAGGCGCAGGCAGCGCGCTGCATCCCACAGCCAAGTCGGCCGCTGCCCAGAAGGCGCGCGCCACGGAACCGACCGCACAGGATGTCCGCGAGCTCGAGGCCCTGTCCAAGCAGGTGGAGAAGGAAGACAATCTCTTCATACCACTGCCGTCGCCCTCGAAACACAAGCCCAAGCCGCCCGCCCAGCGCTTTGCCCAGCGACACCCGGAGAAGGCAGCCGAGCTTGCTGCCCAGGACGACAACCATGGTGACGCCATGGACATTGACACGGAAGAATACGTCTACGACACCTACGTCCGCGAGGCCCTTGTCCCAGATGCAGACGGCAAGCTTCCCGAGCCCACAGGCACCGTCGGCTTTCTGGTCATCGGCGAAGAAGACGAGGACTGGTGGAATGGCGACGACGAAAGCGATAAAGAGTTCGATACCGACGACGAGGACGAGAATGCTGAAGACTACTATGCCAACGACTACCCCGAGGACGAGCTAGACGAGGATGATGAGTACGACCGGGATCTATACCAGAAGAAATACCGCCACGGCAGCGACGATGAAGAGTACAACTTAGACCAAGATGACGACGTAATTGGTAGTGGTGAGGACGAAGATGATCTACATTTCAAGATGACGGTCCCGAAGGCGCAGAGGCCGGGCTACTGGGGCGCCGTGGGAGAGGCCTGAACTATTCGAACCCATCGACGGTCCGGCGTCCGCAGAAAGCAGTCCCACTCGGTTGACACTCAACTGCCTGTTATGTGCTATAATCCTCATCTGCAGCCGACGAAGCTTGCTTTGGGATTTGTTCCCCTCCTGCTTTATGTATACCCCCCATGGCCCTCCTCGCAGTCTTGTGTGTCCGTCATGGATGGTTCTCCCTCGTACTAAGAGCTGTGGCCAAGGCCAAATGCGACTGTTGCACGCATGCTTATATAACATCCATGTCCCTATCTTCTTGCGGCCGCCTGAATCGACTAAAGGTAGCTGTCGCAAGCTGGTTGGTAACTTCAACTGCACCTACCAGTAAGAGTAGGGGCGATGACGTCATTATTCTAAACGCGTGAATGGGTACAAAGTCAATCGCACTTAGGAAAAGAAAAGCTGAGTATGCTCGAAACTGTAGGGCATGCTGGACCAACTTGTTGCGATGGTGTTGTAGGCTTGATGCGCATATGACGTACTAGGTCATGGTAGTAGCAGAGAATCTCTTTAGAGCTCCGCGACTTCCGATTCTTCGACGATTTGACGACATGTATTGACAAATTATACCAACATCATAAATTGTTCCATCAGCTACGGATTGGAGCTTCCAAGAGACCATACGCAATAAACTGCAACGTCATTTTCGTACCCCGTGCGTAACTGATTCGCATAGAGTCCCCCGGACCACAAAGACTATCGTTCTATTTCAAGCCATACAACAAACCGTTCACAATGTCAGAAATCATTCTCTCTATCAACGCTGGTTCTTCCAGTGTGAAGATATCCGTTTACAGGACGACTACGGACAACTCGCAGGTTCCGACCCAACTAGCGGAGGCGGTAATTGAAGGGCTTACCGCACCGCCAGCAAAATTCAAGTACACTCGCGGAGACGAGAAGATCCAGGGGAAGGAGTTGGAAAACATCCAAACCCAAGAAGACGCGTTCCGCTATATTCTCAAACATCTTACCGACGACGAAGGCTTGTCCGAACTGAACCACAAGGATGACATACAGTTCACTTGCCATCGCGTTGTCCATGGTGGTGACTACCCGAAGTCGCAGATCATCGACCGAGAAACATACCATCATATAGAGGAGCTCTCGGACCTAGCACCTTTACACAATGGCCCAGCTCTCACTATCGTCCGCGCGGTCGCCGATATATTGCCGCGTGCTAAGAACATAGCGTACTTTGACTCCTCGTTTCACAACACCATACCAGACTACATCTGCACATACCCAATAGACCAGAGTATTGCTCAGAAGAACAAACTCCGCAAATACGGATTCCACGGCATCAGCTATAGCTTCATCGTACACGCCGTATCAACGTATCTTGAGAAACCGAAGGAGGAATTGAACATTGTGGCCTTGCATCTTGGGTCTGGCGCCTCAGCATGTTGCGTCATGAATGGCAAATCGCACGACACATCCATGGGCCTTACACCTCTGGCAGGTTTGCCTGGCGCAACACGATCCGGCAGCATCGACCCCAGCTTGATGTTTCACTTCACCCATAAGGCCGGAAAACCGAGCAGAAGCTCTAGTGAAAAGTTGCACATTACGCAAGCTGAGGAGATTCTCAACAAGAATTCGGGGTGGAAGAGCCTGACTGGGACGACAGACTTTGGCAAAATCTCATCATCAGATCGTCGCGAGGCTCAGCTGGCCTTTGACTTGTTCGTTGACCGCATCTCAAACTACGTTGCGCCTTACTTCACCAAGCTTGATGGCAAAGTCGATGCTCTAGTCTTCGCTGGTGGCATCGGTGAGAAAGGCGACAGATTAAGAGCCGCTGTTGTCAAGAGCGTGCAGTGTCTAGGCTTCGAGATTGACGAGGCCGAGAATGGCAAGCATATGGAGGGAATTGTAACAGACATAAGTAAGCACGGTGCGAGGTATAAGACCTTTGTGGTACAGACGGACGAGCAGTTAGAAATGGCAAGAGGCGTGATGGCGGACAGGGATCGATTCGTGGGCAAGAAGTGATGGAAACACGGTATGGTTCACATATCGAATTCTGGAGAAGAAAAATAGAACAGCGCGGAAGTGATCTTGCCATAGAAGCTGTAGGAAATGCGAGAATATCACGGCATCTTAGCATATGCTGTGCTTAGTCATACTATTTATTCGAGTAATCTATCCGACACAAACGTCCACCGAGATGCGCCCGTCAGCAACACCAAGAGATGTGGAGATGTCAACGGCACGCCCGATGCTGATCGTAATGTTAGAGCAACACATGTCATCTGCTTTGTTCCTCCGCACATGTAGCCCTTCGAACCCAGAGCCCGCTTGAGCTGTCGTCCGCAACCTCGTTCGTGCTTACAACGTGGCTACAGCGATCCTAGCATTCCTGCCTCAACGACCTTGCCTACCCCACGATCGCATCTCGTCATACGCACCAACACAGGTGCGCTTCAGAGTACCTTCAACGATGAAGCTTCCGCCAATCGCCGTGGCCTGCCTGTCTGCCCTCGCCATCGATTCCTGCTCCAACGTCATCGCACAACGACTCAAAGCGTGGAATGAGTCGAAACCCTTCGTATTCGACCGAGTTCTCTTCTTCCAGTTCGCCTTTATGGTAGCCCTTACGGCACCCATTAATTACCATTGGCAATGCTTTTTGGAGCGTGCCTTCCCGGGCTGGAAAACAGCGAAGCGACAGCGACTTCTTGAGGCTGGCGAGGAGGAAAAGGGCATTCTCTTAAAAGAGGACGGCGAAGACAAGAAAATGATAGAGGAGGATGTTAGGGTCAGGGACTGGTGGAACATTTTCAGGAAATGGTTCACTGACTGCATCACCATGGGCGCCCTGTTGAACCAGTCCATGTTCCTCATCCTGATGGGTCTTCTCAAACACAAGACAATGGCATTGATCATTCAAGACTTCCGTAACGTAAGTTGGTCACACCATTCAATTGCACGATCGCGGTTGCTAATGGCGATTGTAGGAGCTCATCGGGCTTATTGTCGATTCATACAAAGTCTGGCCGATTGCCAACTTCTTCTCCACGACATACTTTCCAGTCGAAAAGCGTATGATCTTCCTCAGCTTCTGTGGGCTGTTATGGAACATTTACCTTTCTTTAGTAGCGGCTCGACTATAGGCTCCAACCATGTAGAATTATTTGGGAACGCAAACAAACGCTTTCGTTCATACTTCGCGTGACACTCTCTTCCAAGCCTCCATGATCGCTGCCCAGTATTTTGCTTCGTCCTCGCGTATATGCCCACAGTGTGGACTTTTCTCAAATACCACCCTCTGAACATCCCAGCCTTTCGATTCAGCAATGTCGGCATGCTCTTCCACCTCCTCAAATCCAACCATCTGGTCTGCACGACTATACAGATAGACCCTGGGTACAGTCTTATCAAAGATGGCTGTATCGTTCAGCTCTCGACACAAGATGACCATCTTGTTCTCTTTTCGCTTTGCAGTCCATACAACAAAAGTACAGATAAGCAGTAAATGGACAAGAATGCCTCCGAACCATGTCCAAAACACATCCTTTGGCAGCGACGCCGAAATTGCCGCATGCGACTTCATCCAGGGTCCTTTGGTAGGTGACGAGTCAAGGATTTGGAGTCGCATGGGCATCACCATTGCGTACTGTGCCTTCCACGCCTTCGCAAACTCATTCACTTGCGAACCACCCCCGTTACTGAAACTGTGCACAAGCACCTCGCCGCCACTCTTCACGTGCTCGTTCAACAAATCCATTGCAGGCTTGAGCAGAGGGGCATATTCTTTCGTTCTCCTAAACATGTCTCGTGTGAAACAACGCACAAGCAAAATCTGGGAATTGTTGAAGAGCATTTGGTACGAAGTCGTGTATTTGGTTATGTGCTTAGCGGCAGCGGAGTTCCAGGCAAATATCAGAATGAGCGGCGGTTTCTCTTGGCTGTGAGACAGGTACGTTGGTGATGTCCACACGTAAGTGTTGTGGCCGATTTTCTGGAAGTCTGAGAGCGGTTTGGTGGGGATTTTCGGAGACGTTGCGATAGAGGGCTCCATGACTATCTAGATCTGATGTTCAAGAATGTAGAGTTTGGCAGACGTTTGTGAAGTCTTGAATGGTATAGATATGCAAAGTGACATTCGCAAGCATTACTTGTTCAGTCTGTTTATTTGGCCGCAACCGAGGCAATCCGAGGTCGACCTGATTGGGTGTGCGGCCACGTGCGATCTTGGACGCGAACAAGCATGTGCACAGTTCGCATTTCTCGTTTGGCTCTCCCATTTTTGACACCACCTCTGCCCTATTTGCGGAACTGCATGCCGCGGGTACTCTTCTCATCGCGTTCCTATTCACCGATAGCGAAACTGTCGATGCTTTTGCCACGTGGATCACGAGATAAAAGTTGCCATTGCTCCTCCAATCCTGAGTGTGATAGGATAGATATCACTAATTGAACGATCATTCATCTCTACAATAGCGCATGCACTATATGATTATCATCATGCGACGAGGCCGCCCGATATTGGAGCTGTGACTGAACTACCTAGGTACTCATTTATCCTCCACATTCATCAGCCCCGCCAAACCCAAGTGCTTGCTTATGACTTGAATTTCCATCAGCGCTTCCCTCTCAAGTATGTCCGATAGGCGAGGGTGATCGAAGACAACACAGCGCCAGTCTGCGCCGTCTTAGCAACAGCAATCGAGCCGGCTCCACCCATGGCAGCACTCTGAAGTGTCGCGAACAGACTTCCAGGCTCGATGCGGCCGTTCCGGCTCATGTAAGTCGAGGCAGGCCAATCTGAAAGTTTTAGATCTCGTGTGGGGGGTTCGCGGAAGAAGGATGTCACTGACGTGGACCATCGGTCCTGAAACCTAGGCTGAAGAGGGTTGGTATTGTTGCTACCATGGGATAAAAGACAATCAGTCCATTCAGAATGTGGGTTGTGGTCTGGTATGGGTGGACCTTCACCCAGCCTTGTGCTGCTCTGAGGACAGACATGTCTGCTTTGGAGGTTTTTGGTATGATCCGTTCGCGCGTGAGCACTGCTTTTGGCCAAGTATTAATTACCGTCTTCTTATACTTGCAATAACGACGATCAAAGAGTCGGTTACAATGTTAGTTACACCGTCTTAGAGCGGGTTGATTCTAAAAAAAGCATGTTGGGGTGAAGACCAGGATTAACGTCCTCCTACTGGAGCATGGCTAAAGGCGGCGCTTGCAGCAAGCCCCATAGGGCACAGCAAATCGTTTGTGTCGCATTCACTGACGCCAATCCCACAGCCCAAGCAACAGCAGAAGACGCCACAGCCCCTACTTGAGCAGCGCCAGCAGCAAAGCTCGCACCGTATCCACCCATAGAAGCGCTTTGCAGTGTCGCGTAAAGTCCACTCGCTGGTACGAATGCAAAGTAGCCCATCACCCCACTCGCTACCGTCCCTGAGGCATGTCAATAAGTTCACAAATGATCGGCCAACTAGCATAGCGCAGGCCGGCATGGGACAAGAATTGACCGACCAGCACCTGGTCCGATTGTACTGAAGCCAAGTGCACTGAATATCGGAACAGTGATTGCGCCAGGGGTGCAAAGAACCAATCCGTTGATGGCGTGAATGGCGGTTTCATATGGATGTTTAGCTATCCAATCGAGGAGAAATTGAGGTAAAGGTAATGTGAAATTCATGGTGGCTATCTTTTGGGCGGTAACTGGGTAGGTTCGGTCTCGAGGTTGTTGTTATCGCTGAAGGTATCGAGCGGCACTCATATTGCTAGATCAACGCGTAAAAGGCGTGCATGAGCTACCTTGACATCGAGAGTGTGTATTTGTGGCATTGCTTTAGAGGATTGCGAATATGTCCACCATCCAGTAATCGATGTTCTCTAGGTTACTATGGACATAATGAGACTTCAAGGTCTCGTCTTCCATGAATGTAATGACAGTGTTCTCATTTCAATCTCCACTGAACATCCTAGTGATCCTCAAGTACACGTTTCATATTCCTCCATCTTCTTGCCGAACTGCTCAACATATAAAATGCTGCCGTCTTCGTTATAGTCGACTCGTTGCTGCTGGTTACTGGCTACGGACGGGTCACCGTCCAGGTAGTTCAAAGGTTCAAAGCGCATCGCGGAGCGTGTGGATGAGAACATGGTTGTAGGTAAGTCACCTGTATGCGGCATGTGATGCATGCCCAGATTGAACCATATCACTCTGTCCAGTGGTCAGCGATATTTTTTTCAAGGACTAGATAAAGAGGGACGTACAAATCTTGCTGCTCGATTAACTCCTCGTCGAGAAATTTGCCAAAATCTACCAATGGATCTTCGGGTGCGTACTGATTGTACGAATCTGCTGCACGTGGCTCAGTATGCTTCTGATTGGTAACATAGAAGTCATGTGTAGCGTATGCTGCGGCTCTTCCGGTGTCGGTAGCATTGACTGCAGTGAGATGCGTCGTGCCGGCATTTCGCTTCATCCTGTATCCTGGGTATTCCCCGAAGCGGTTTGGTGTGTCTTTATTCACAATTGCGTACATAGTTGCATCATTTTCAGACCAATTAATACTGCTTTCAGTGGCCAGGAAGCTTCTTGGCGCTTTGAACGTGTTGTAGGATCTTCCATTCGACCAGGGATAAGTAGTGGTTGTAGGCACTATGTCGATCTTCTGAATGCTATTTTTCGTTCCCAGTATATCAATATCGGCTTTGAATGTCAGCACATGGTCGTGCAGACTACCAGAAAGATAGTCATGGATATGGAAACCGTAGTCTACATTCCCATCCCAGTACGCGGCGGAGATATAACCTGATGCACGAGCGGAGACCTCGATTGCGCCGTCGTAGAAGAAAGTGTATTCGATCAAAAAATCGTAATTTCCAATCGTGGAGATGGTGCGTATCGTAAAGATGATGTTCCTTGCTACGCTTGTGTGAGGTGCTGCTGGGGAAAACGAGTGTCTGCGGATTGGGAATCCCGCATCAAACTCGAAGATACAGATTGCATCCGCTTGTGTCCTCGTTGCATTGCCTTCCGTGAAGGTTGCATTAATATAAGTAGCATGCGATGGACAATCGTAGCCTCTAATGAGTGGCTGCAGAGTCGACCCGAATCCCGTTTGGCTATCGAAGAATGTTGCCTGCGAGGCAAAGGGGTCGGAGCCGGCGTAATGTGTCAGTGCTGGAAACTAAAGTTAGTGCAATTTCGTGGATAGTATTTCTACCAGCTGCTTACCTTCCTGTAACGAGAGCTCATATATAAGTCTTTTTCCTTTGTATTGCACATCGAAGAGCGACAGACCAAGGTCAAAAGATACAGAAAAGTAGAAAGAGAAGTTCATCCACGATATGTACCCATTTACGGAGTCAATTTTGAACCTCTGGATGCCTTGTGAAATCGAAGTTGGGGGAGGTTGATCGTCCAATGGTAAAGGCGCACCTTGCTGGTTAGTCGACGTCCAATTTCCGTCTACATTCGCATGCGGCCTGATGAATTCCGGGGCGGAAAGAGCGTTCAAAAAAGACTCTGTGCTATCATAGAACTCTCCCAGGGAGTACCAACCAGCTACCTTCCAGTCCTGCCAATCGCGACCGGTCAGATCCAACTTGACAGTGACTCCGAGCGCGAGTAGGGTAGGGCTGCTGGTGAGGTCTGCGTCCGGGTTTGCAAAAAATGCTGCCCATGAGATAGTTCTGTTGTCCTCTTCCCAGAAAGGTACACCGAATCGTACTCCTATAGTTCCTTCTGCGATTGTCTGGTATCGTCAGCTTGTTCTCAATGCAGCAGGAGCCAACGTACTGTGTTCCAAAGCTCACGAGTGATGTTCTCTACATCTGAGCTGATCTTTGTTTGAAACTGCACAGCATCCGAAGCCGAGTATATTGGATGGACCTTAGTGTTGCCTGGATTGTTGTTGTTGAAGGGGTATGTGAGCCGTGCTATGTTTGTGGTATTTGTTGCAGGCAGTGGGCCAACCAGATATTCTTGCCAAAACAAGTCGGTGGAGTTTGTAGCTCCAGTGACCACAGTTGCTCTTGCATAGCGACTAGGGGCTGTCGAGTTGTGGTCAAGGTAGGCAATCACATCTGTCTTGTTGGGATTCTGAAGGGTAATCTGAATTCTAGCTTAGGTTAGCACACAAGGTACGCCACAGATGACTGAAGCATGCTCAACTTACACATAGCTGTCAAAACTATGGATCATCAATATAGTTAGCGCTCCAGCTGGAAGATTCACAGTGGAGTCGATGCTCCTACCTCGAGCCCTGAAAGCCGGACAGGTTGAATTTCCGTTGTATCAAGTCATTCACACCAGAGACTTCATCTTCAGACAGTGCTGCCCAAGAATTCGTATGCGATGCAATCACTTCATTTTCAGAGTTTGACGCAACAGCTTGGGCTGTCACAGATATCGATAGGCTGGCAATGTGTAGCAGGAAAGAAATGTAGTGCATAGTGCCAGATAGGTCGCAATAGTGACTGATACAATTGGTGATCCTCCGAGTGATGTGCGAAACCAGGGTTTTATATGATTTCCCACGTCATAAGGTTCTCGTCGATCTTAGGATTCAGGCAACTTTGAGACGCCTCATCGCTCTAGATGTCGGGCTATACGTCTCTGCAGACAATGAGAATGTTGATTCTGAAGCGCGTATGCTCCACCTGCTGCACATTTCAGCCGGCGACCTCGTGTCCCGACGTCAGACCGATACTAGCGACTGAAAGCAGAGAGGGCAAGCGAAGAATCACAGGCTGGAGAGTGCAGAAGGCAAAGCCACATACTGCACGCCATGACGAGTGTGTCATCTTCATTTTCCGGGGTAGAGGGCCCAGCCAATCAGCGTGGATCTGAGCTTGTATCTGTCAGGGATTAGAGGCGCTAATTCTAAAAGTTGAGCCCAATGCGAGCATAGCTAGCCACGAATTGCATTTACCTGGGGGCGTGGACCAGATGGAACACGTTCCTAGAAGCATAAACTCAGCCGTTCACTGTGTCCAGACGGCAAGTACAAAGATCCCGCAAAAGGAGCACATCCTTGCCAGTCATTGAGACCGTTTCCATGTATTTTCAAGCTAAGCATTCAGTCCAAAGCTTATTCCCAAAACATTGCAGTCCAGACGTACATGAAAAAGGGACCTCGAGGCATCCTGGTATTCTGGCATTAGCTTGTCCATCCAAGAGCCTGACTGTGTACGTTCCATGCACTAATGACGGTCCTGAGACACTGGTTGCAATCTCTCATAGGTCCACCTGCAGTATAGTTGCCATCGATACCGTTGGTATATGTAGCTCGGGATCTCCGTTGTCTAAGTCCCCATGTCAATTGGGCCAACCCATGTCTCTCCTCTGCTCTCAAAAATGGTGGCGCACGACCTGGAGGAAGCCACAGAAATATTGTTCTCGTGATTACGTCATGCGTTGCATCCGTAAATGTTAGAAAGGTGCGATTTCTTGATTGTTGCATCTGGGCTTAGTTCACGATAGGAGCAGAAACATCTTCTCAAATTCACCTCGTCCATGAAGATTTCTATGCGCACCCAATCCATCCCAGAATGCTTTAGCGTGTATATGAGTGGGTTTGCAATGTTACCAGTTATCGTGTGGCGCCTCATGTTCCCAATGCGTCGTGCCACGTCGTAAAAGATTGTTCTCGACGTTCCGGGGGTAAGCGGACGCCGATCGGGGGTGTACAATCGAATACGTACAGACGCGGCGCGCTCCATGCGGGCGCCCAAAAATATCGACTGCAATCACAGCGCATTAAAGAAGTGGGTCGAGCGATCTAAGTATAAACATGAAATTTGGAGAATCAGTCGTCCTCGTTGAATTGATCGTAGGAAATCTTGATTGTTCATGATGAAGAGCTGTACCTCTGCTTCATCTTCTAGAGCTTAGTATAGCAAACAGCCTGCTATCTAGCATATGATTAAGTTGTCCTGTGCGCCATTTAGCGCAGATCCAAACGGAAGTGCCTCGCTGGAATGGGATGGTATGCGGTCACCAAGCCGTGATGTCGTCGACTTCGGCCTCGCCGAAGGTGCTGGTTTTGGTGGCTGTTAAGCTAGATTCCGACGTGACAGTGTCAGAGACAGGACTTCTGTTCGTGATGTCAGGTAGGACCTCCTTCAGAAACGTAGTCAGGTGTCTGTTGACTTGTTCAAACTCGAGCAGGAAAGCATCGTGACCATCCGGTGAGTCAATTGTTTTCAATGTTGCATTAGGTATATGAGCTGCAAGCTCTTGCTGCTCTGCAAACGTGAACAGCCCATCAGATTGAATGCCCAACACGAGTGTGGGTTGCTCAATGAGGGAGAGTGCATGATGGAGTGCAGACACCGGGTCCAAGGACTCTAAATCTTGACCCTCAGGATAGCGATGCCGCGAGATATCATGCGTGTCTAGCTTGCGTGTAATCGCAATGTAACAGTTGGCATCGAAGCGTTTGATGAATTTTTCCCCCTGGTAGCGTAGATACGATTGCGCAGAGAAATAATGAGGCGCTAGTCGCTTTGCTGAAGGCGTGATTTTGCTGGTCCCATCTGCTTTGGTCTGGGTGTGAGGAGGAGGTGTTGAAGGATTCGAGGCATCATGGAACTCGAGATCGGCCTGAGCTGCTGCAGCTGACGTACCAAGGCTTGCCAGTGTAGCACTGCTATTCGACCTGGATGTTGCTCGGGGTGAGCCTGCATGCTTGTGACCATCATTATGAATTGCCCAATGCTCATGGGAAGAATTTGATACCATGGAAGGTCGAGGAACCGCGTTGATGCTTTGTTTTTTGGACAGATCCGGGGTATTGCGACCAAATCGAGATTCGAATGAGTCGCGGCTCCGATAGGTTAGAAGAGCTGACATGCGCGCCGCCCCGAGGCCTGTCGACGGCGGGTCTTCGAATGTGTAATAACCGTCGTCGTACTTCGGATCACTGTATATGCTCTGACGCTGTGCCTCGCCCCAGCTGATTCCCCACGCGCTGTAACGGGCTGAAGTAGCAATGGGAATGATACACTTGACGTAGTCCCTTCCGAAATAAGCAAACTCGAGGACGAGCATGCCCCCCATGGAGCCGCCAATGACAGCTGCGATCTGTTTTACCCCAAGATCATCTAGGACAAGCTTGAAAATGCTGTTGAAGTCAGCCTGTTCTATCGTATCCCCGCCTTTCACCTGCCTGACTCACTTGACATCGTCTCTGACGGTTGTCAATGGGAACTCGGGCCCGTACAAACCCAAAGAGGCATCGCCATCTTTGGCCGTGACTGGACTCGCACTGCCGTACGGACTTCCAAGACTATTCATACACACGACGAAGAATCTGGAGATGTCAAACGCCTTGCCAGAGCCACCCAAAAGCGGTCCCCACCAGTCTCCCACGTCTGCGCTCCCAGTAAGGGCGTGACATATGACCATGGCATTGTCACCGCTGGGCGCAAGTGTGCCGTAAGTCTTGTATGCGACGGGTACATTGTGTAACACGCCACCGGATTCGAGATCGACTTGGGGGATAACGGCGAAGGATTGATCGGGTATGAGCCCACTGAACGGGTTCTCGGGCTGCGCATATACTCTCTCTGTGCATGGTTAGCCGATACTGGTCTCATAACGACAAGCGCGAGGATAATTTCCGTTCAGAAGGACTTTGATCGCTATGCGCGCGACAGTGATGACAGTCGTGCGCACGCCACCACATTTGGTTAACCACAGCACCAATCGCAGGCACAAGAAGGCTCGAATCGCAAAGTGTGTGCTTCAAGTGCAAACGTGAAGGGATACTTACTGTACTTTGTTTGCTCGTCGCGTGGCGCTGAGCTATCAGGTACTGTGCCGGCCATGCCTATGGTAATTGAGCGAGTTGGGGAGATGACTGCTTCCTGTGCAGCTTGCGCGATGGTGTTGACAGTCTACTCATTATTTGGGGAGTCATGTGGAGTAGTGTTGATAGCACGTCAAAGGCCCCCACTAAATTGTTGCGCGAACGCGGACAGCGGGCGTAGTGGGGCAAGAGCGAGGCCTAGCTTGACCTTTTTAGAACACTATTACTTTGTACCTGGGTGTAATTATTAGGTAATCAAAGGAAAACGAACACACTTAATTTTTGAAGAATCCCTATGGATCAAATGGAGAGAACGCCAAGGGAAAACAAACCGGAACTACGTTTTACCGGTCGTCGGTCGTCGGTCGTCGGAGATTGAAGCTACTGTAGCTACGTCAGCTTCCACGTTGCATCTTCCCCACGCCATTGGCTGCTCCACAGCTACCGCCATCTTTCACTCTCTATTTCTCTTTGTCGCGTGAGGTCGCGTTGCTTGAGCGATCAGCTTCATCTGTCAATGTCTGCAGCGCTCGAGAGGTAGCACGTGTCATTTCATGCCTGTTCCGCCATGTCGAACCGCGCTTTTGATACCACCAAGCTAGGCTCGGGCTATGGCTTCGAATCGCATCCAAAGAAGGCGGTGCAAATGCCTCCAACGTGGGCGCTAGTGCTTGCGCTTGCCTCCATGCTGGTGGCCATGGGCTTCTGGGTAGGCTCGAATGTCCTGCGACCCTGTGCATGAGCATTGTTAACGCGAAGTCACCACGTAGATCTACATTGCGCTTAACCTGCTTGCGCCAACACCTCGAGAACCCCGCCGGTCTGAAAAGCAATATACAACCATTCTGCCCGACGGATCGCGAAGTGCACCCAAAGCGCTTCCATGCTGGCTAGACAAATGGGCCGCCGAGAAGGAAGCCGCAAAACGCGAAGCGGCGAAGCAGCCTGGTACCAAGACTATCGTGCCTCCTCGGATGCCAATTGAGCCGCCAGAGTTGTTTATGAGCGTTGTTGTACCGGCATACAATGAGGAAGAGCGGTTGGAAGGCATGCTGGAAGAGGCGGTCAATTTCCTGGAGAGCGAATATGGCGCGGCGCACGAAGGAGAGAAAGGCGCAGCCAAAGACAAGGGCTGGGAAATTCTCATCGTCAGCGACGGAAGCAAGGACAGGACAGTAGACAAGGCCTTGGACTTTGCGAAGGAGCATCAGCTTAGCCAGCACCCGGTGCCGAAGCCCGGCCCGTGGTCGGATAAAGGAGGCGCCAAAGCATCGCATTCGACACACATACCGCATGGCAGTATCCGCGTCATCACCCTAGAAGAAAATCGAGGCAAAGGCGGTGCAGTGACGCATGGAATGAGGCATGTTCGCGGGCAGTACATTGTCTTCGCCGACGCGGACGGGGCTAGTCGATTCGACGATCTCGGCAAGATGGTTGAAGGATGTAGGAAAGTAGAGGACAAGTATGGGCGCGGCGTTGCCATTGGCAGCAGGGCCCATCTTGTCGGTAGCGAAGCGGTTGTGAAGGTATAACAACTGCCAACATCATGTCATGAAGGAACCTCTACTAACCTCCACCAGCGCTCGAAGCTCCGCAACTTCCTTATGCACTCTTTCCACATTCTCCTTCGCGTCATGACACCGCCCGCGACTGCTCGTATAAAAGACACACAGTGTGGCTTCAAGCTCTTCTCGCGACCCACTCTGCCATACATCATCCCATACATGCACTCGGAAGGCTGGATATTCGATGTCGAAATGCTCATGCTTGCCGAGAGTGCTGACATTGCTATGGCCGAAGTTGCGATTGGCTGGAAAGAGGTCATGGGCAGCAAGCTCAATGTTGTCTGGGACAGCATCGGCATGGCGTGGGGCTTAGCCCTATTGCGAGCATGTTGGCTATTGGGTATATACAAGCGAGATTAGAGCACAGGACGAGATATCCAATGCCTTTCTAGACCAAGACCTGCCATTTACGTATCCTGAACATCTAAGAAAACTTCACAATCCACCCATCACCGATCCTCTGCCCCTTTGCATTCACGCCACCCCAGAACACTACGCTATGCCCGTTTTCCATAACATCCGCTCCAAAGAATGCTCTTGGTCCGGGATGAAGTTTACCGTCTTCTTCTCCCAGTTGCTTTTCAGATGGCAGCTGTACGACGGCCTCGGCCCAAGCGAGATGACCGGTCTCAGCGCCAATTGCATGTCGAATGGCATCCTTGATCTTTGCTGGCTTGATGGCGTTCTTCAACGACCATGCAGGTTTCGCGTCTACGTCGCTTGATGGAATTTGTAAAGCCCAAGTGTCGCTAAATTGCGTGAGATTTTCCTTGTCCTTTGCTTCATCCATCATTAGTGACTCCGTCCTGGAAAGTGATTCGTCTCTTGCCCCGAGTAAGTACACCATGTAATTCCGTCCCCAGCCAGTGGTAAGTGGGAGGAAAGCTCCGTCATGGCGGGCTCTGGGGCCAGGCGCCAGCGGATTTGCCGGAAACGTGAATGAGTCCCAGGTCATCTCTTTGATGGGTGATGAGACCCCGAGATGGTGTAGTTGACCACTAACGGAGTCTTTCGCTGAGATGAGGTACAATTGACCATTCGCCAGTGCTGCGTTCGTGGTTGCCACTGGTGCGGTAGGTAGCTGTGTCCAGGCCTTGGAGGCAACGTCAAAAGTCCAGAGATCCGATGCAGCATCTCCAGTCGCGTCTACACCACCGTAAAGGACTATGCTTCCATCATGATCGAAAAGTTTTGCATTTCGTCGCGGACCTGGTGCACTGTCTGTCTTGGTCGACGATAGCAAGTCCCAAGCCTTTCGCTCGGGATTGAACAACCACAAGGACGAGGCCTCGTCAATGAGGTCGTTCTTATCATTGCTGCCACCGTATATGGCAACATTTCCATGGAAGGCGCACGCCGTATGGTTGGTTCGTGAGACAGGAACTTCTCCGCCTTCAGTGGTAGGCAATGCAGGTATTAGTCCGTAATCCATGTCTGGTTTCCCAGTATGCTCAACCGTGACTGCGTGCATGTCGTTGCTGGCAAGCAAGTTCTCAGCGGTAGTGCCGCCAAAGACATAAGCTTTGTTGTTGACTATCGTCAACGTGTGGTGCGATCGCGCTAGTGAACGCCTAATGCTGTCAGTCTGGCAACTTACCATTTCCACCACACGCACTTTGTGTGATCATCTGATGCTGTAGCAATTCGCGTGAAGGTAGCTTTCAACGGTAAGGTTGGCTTCGATACAAGATATGCTGCGTAACCTGCTTGGGCGCCATGCTCAATAACCTCCGAGGCAAGATACGCGCCTGCTGCGATTTCTGCCATGATTGGTACAAGAGAGATAGTGGACCGGGCCGATGGGAAAGTCTGGGCAGAAAGGTGTGTTAGTGTTGTAGCGACAATGGCCAGCTAATGAGGGGCGAACGACTTTTGTGGTAGGAGCGCGTGCGCTGGGTATGGATGACGTAGCTACTGATTCATACTGTGTGTGTTACCAACGATGGGACACAACAACCACGAATTTACAATGCATCTTCTTGGAAGCTACAGCCACACAGGTTGGTCGGCCCCAAGCGGCTTAGGCATCTCATTCCACCCTACTGTGACGCCAGCGATGCTGGCTGCATGTCGAACAGCACGCAATTCCCCAAAGCCTGTCTGCCTTGTTTCGAGATATTGGGTCACATCCTCTGGGTGTTTCCTCTCAAATCCGCTCTTGCCTGCGAATTGGCCTAACGATCGAAGATACTTCATTACCCCCGCCAAAGAAGTCGTTACTTCGTACGCGCCGCCGTCGATCGCGCGTTTGTATAGGGCCGCGAGAATGCCAGTTGCTAGGAGATACCCAGCGCCATGGTCGAGTGCCTGACATGGCAACACACGAACTGCCTCGCCTGTGCCATGCTGTCTGGCGTCTTCAACATTAAGACCAGAGCATGTTTGCACCAAAGAATCAAAGCCACGGCGCTGCGACCACGGCCCATCTGACCCGTACGCGTTCAAACTCGCCATGATCATATTGGGATTCAATAGAAGGAGCTCTGTAGTAGAGAGGCCCTGTGCGGCAAGGCTTCCGGGGCGGTAGCTCTGGATGAAGACATCTGCAGTCCGCAATAGTTCGAGAAGTTTGGTCTTGTCTTCGAGTCTTTTGATATCCAATTGAACTGTGCGCTTCCCTCTTGACAGGTCGATATCTAAGTCGGGCAGATCTGGCAGTGTCGGAGATGTGATCCAAATTACGTCGGCTCCGTGTGCTGCTAGAGTTTTGCCTGCGACCGGAGCAGCTATAACTCGGCTCATCTCAACGACGCGGACACCTTGAAGACATCTATCGCTGAAGGTCGTGCATCTTTGTGGTAGATAGGGCATCGAGTGTGCCACCTGATTAATTGCGACAGGGAAGTCTATGAGGGCTTTCGCTTGTGGCAAAGCGTCCCATTCTTCGAAAGAGCGCAATGCAGCTACAACTGCACCTCCTCTAGCAGCTTCTTCTTCGAGATGAGTCGAGGTCCATTGCAGCACCTTCCTCGCTACTTCTTCCCTTGAAGCGCTGGATTGAAGGCCTAGTATTCGTAAGGCACTATCGCAATGGTTGGGGAACGAATCATGCATTCGTATGTACCCGTCCGCGGTTTTATGCAAGCCGCCAATGGAGCCCCAAGTAGAAGGGGCGGGTTTGCCATTGAGCAAGTAGATTCGCTCAGACTTGAACTCCACACAGGCATGCTCGGCTTCTACAGTCACCCTCGGCACTGTACACTGTTGACGATAAGATTGGAAAAGGGCCGCTGCAAGCGCTGAAAGAGCGATGGTACTCTGGGCAAGATGCTCCACTTTGAAGGACGATGGGTAACACCCTGCTTCGTCCGAAATATCAAGAGCATCTAAAGCAGTACCAGGAAGGCCAAGAATTTCTGTCCAAATGTGCGCAATAGAATTCCTGGGCGTGAAAGAAGACCGATCCATTATCTCGTTCTTGATCCGACTGGTTGAAAGATTGGAGTTGGGCTTCGGAGTGTCTGGTATACTGATGGGGCGGGGTAGCCGATTCTGGGACACCTTCAAAGTGACCGGGATGCCATAAACGGACCGCCAATGAATGGCCCTAGCGCAAGTACTTAGCTTCAAGGATTAAAGCTTCACTTCTAGCCTGCGGAAAGCATCGCTTCGATAGCTTGTATCAACTTCCTCTAGTCAGCCGACTTAGCTAGGCATGTGAAATACGCCGGGAAGGGCGATGGAAAAGATGTACTATTATGACACCCTTACTCTACTGCGTTGTATGCATCTGCTGCTTTTAGCATGATTCTACTTTTCCCTGAAATAACTATGACACCCTTATGAATGAGAAGCCGTGATTGAAGGGGGCATTTACGTGGATCCTTGCGCTACAGTGACAGTACGGCATGATATTGCACGGCATAAAAATCAACAACAGGAGCTCACGATTTATGACAAAGATGGGAAGCACGGTCACACATTTCGCTGATAGTAGGGCAGCGTTTATTTTTCCATCAGAGGCATTCGATTTAGTGAATGAGTATGTATCTCCGCTGAAGTACTGGAGTGTCAATGAACAGGTCTATCTCCTTTGACCTACTACTCAACGTTCTAATATCGTGGGTCTGAAATCGAAGTGGTCAGTGACAAATTGGTAGTACGTGGCTCTTATGACTGTGCGGTGGGGAATTCACTGACTTCATGTCACCTATTTCAAATTCAAAGTAACGATAACCTCGATCGACCCCCAGATTCTCTCAAACGCAGGATTCAATCCCCAAAACTCTCTAGTATCGCCATTCTGCGCCTCAGACACAAGTGTCAAAGACTTTTCATGCAAAAATCGTGCTCCTACAAATTGATGACTTTAGCTCCTCATCATAACACACACGCGGAAGAGATGTACGTTGCGCATGCGTCTTCCACCAATTATAAATCATTAACATCATGCAGTGCACGGCGATACGCGCATCATCTCCAGACAGGTCGCCAGATCCAACGTACAGACACGTTAGGTGTACGCACAAATCTATCCGCCACACTCACTAAGAGGAACGTGTTAGTCCACAATACCATCTACGGCCAGAAGCCAGCCGCAAGATTCTTATGTGAGACATGGCTCGACGGGGTCGTAGAAGCAATGAGCCACAGCGAGCTCGAGCACCCACCGCCTGCTCCATGGGATCTTGAGGCACGTACAGAGGAAATTAGGGTCAACCCCGAAGACCGCCCAGCAGATGAGTGGGACAGTATAATTCGTCGAAATGGTGTCAGGTATCGTGATCGAAGGATACACAGAGATGCATGTGGCAACATGAGTGAAAGATGAGGCGGAAATTGAAAAGAGAATCACATGTCTATGATATGTACAAGGAGCCAATAGAATGACCATGAAGCTTCACCAAGGAATATATATAGGCGCATCATAAATTGGAGTTCAAGCTTTCCATGCTCGTACGTCTTTGCTTCTACTCGGTTCCGTCACAAATTGCCTTCGCCCACGCATCTCTTCAACGGGAAGGTGTCACCGACGCATAGGCTAATGACCCCATCAACCCATTCCATGGCATCGAACTTCTTGGTGTCAAATGAATCAGCTTGATAAGGTGTCAAAGTGCCGTCACCGCCTATGCTGCCCGTCCAGACATTGCCACTAGCGCGGTTGGTCCAAGGGTTGCTGACAAAAGCGCCGTATTTTCCCTCGGGCACATCGGCTCGGAAAAGCTGACTCTGTTCACTTGTCCACGAGTGGGTGTAGTCGGTACTCATTGAGGCACTGAGGAAGTCTTTGATGAGTGTGAGGTCAACGCCGGCGCCAACCGAGATTGAATTGCCAATTGAGTAGCCAGAAGAGACGGAGATTGACGTGGGTGCGCCTTTGACGACTTGACTCATTTGAACGTCCCATCCCAAAAAGCGAGAGTTCGGGTTGGGAATGATGATTGAGTCATCGCGCTTCCGTAGCCGTGACAAGGGTGCAGCCGCTTGCTTGCCAGCGTAGGTGGTGAGATTGTCTTCGAGGTAACTGGGCTTTGGTGGTGCAACGGCAGCATTGCGTGCGTCTTCTAGTTCCTTCAAGACCGAGCGCTTCATGACCGAGAGACGCCCTTTTCCATAAAGAATGACTTCGTCGACGCCGACAAGGACGGGAGCTGGAGCAGCTGATACAAAAGCGAGACCGGAAGCAATAATCAAAGCCTGCGCTGCTTGAGTTGAGAAAAGCATGGTGTTTGTGAAAAGAGTGATGATGCGAGTTGGTAGAGACTGTGAAGATGTGCCTGAGGAATGATATCAACGAAAGTACTCTGGCACCGCGGTTGATATACAACATTAAAGACTCGTCATCTCTAAAGGATACTCAAGATCAGGGAAGGAGTGAAGTCGGTCCGAAGGACACACGTGAGAAAGCAGCTTGTACTTGCCAAGCGTTATCGTGAGCACGTTGTCGAACGTGAATGGCTGAACAGCCATGCGGAAATTAACAGGGCTGATCTGGACAAGCTTTCTTTATGCGAAACGTCCACGCATAGAACACCTTACTCGTGCTTAGTGTAAAAACAAAGATAGGCTAAAACGAGACATCGGGCCGTTGCGCATGACAGTCGTGGTAGATTTCGCTGCGCTCGCTAGCAATGCTGATTTGCTCAACGGAAAACAGCAGTATCCATATTTGCCAAGATGGCGTTTCAGGAGACTGTGATGTTCGCCACATTCAGCCCGAAGTTGTGGCGAGTGAGCTTCCGTGCGAACATGCTAATTTAGTACTGCTCGGATACGCTAGAAGCTCATTCTAGAAGGGGTCATTTGGGCTGCTCAAATATCAAGTTAAGCCAGCAGTGTCAATTTCCTCACGCTCCAACTGCACTGCCTCTCTTTCACTACGATCAAGCTCTTAGTTCAATTCGCTTCGTCCAAAGTCTTTCCTCAACAAGACCACAATACTATCACCATGCGCTTCGCGTCCACATCAACAGTGCTTGCACTCCTCGCTATACACGCTCCATTTGTCCAGGCAGACATGCACTCAGCTGCTGTATGCATCGACAAAATCGGAGGCCAGCCCGTCTACAACGAAGCTGCAACACGGGCGGCATGCGAAGCCTACAAGAACAGAAACACTGGTGATGAGCAATGGGATCAATGCCCCGATTGTGAGATGGTAAGTTCAACCTGGAAGTGAAGTAAGAAGTCGAATTGTCAGAGACTGATTGCTGCGTAGGAAGTTATCGGAAACCTGAACGTCTGCCATTCAGAAGAGTGGCATCTTGGCGGAGACGAGATCAACTACTACTGTGATCAGCAAAATGGTGCAGGAAGCATGGCGAACTGAGTAGGATACCTTTAGTCGAATGCACAGATTTGAAACGACTGAAACATGAGATACACACGTAAACACTTTTCTTCTCGATGGATATTCTGTTGAAACAATGCTATTGACTGCACGGAAACTGTTAACATCTCGTGTTCACTCCAAACCCCAGTTGGATAGATGACCACGGGGCCGATTAATGCGTTCAGAGGACAGGGAAGCTCGGGATTTGGAATGACACGATCAATAAGGCTGAATAAGTACCTGCATGATGAATCCACAACCAACCCCGCCCCCTTGCCCGTTGCCCTTGCCCATATGTCGCATGGACTATTTTTGTCTCTATCGCGATGCATGTGCAAATTTGAGCTTGATCGTCTGAATGAAGCTTTCCAAGGCACAGTGAATGCAAACGCCAGGATTTGTGATAACACTGTAAACATCTCATCATTACTCTGGCTCAGAACAGACTACTCGAAGAGAATGGCTCTAGCACTCAACTCCGCAATGTCATCATCTGTCATCCGTGCGTCGCTCCCTTGTCCAGGAAAAGAGCCGCATCGCAACCCCACAAATGGTCTCACCTGTAAGTTGTCGTTGTTACGGACAACGGCAGATCATGGCAAAGAGTTTATCTGGCTTTATTACTGCCAGTGCGATGCTCAAATCCAACAGCGTGCCAAAGCGCAAGCAAGGCTGCGCGTGTTTCATGCCCAAGGATTGAAGTTGAGCAATCTATAGATGTAGACTCGGTTCCGCAAACATATTCGGTGAGATATTGTAGTTTCGGCGCACTGTCTCAGAAGAAAATGGAGAATAACATGTATTTCACACTTGCTGTTTTGCTCCTATGACGACCTGCATGAAAATAATCGTCCTTAGAAACACCGGCAAGCGTTCAAGGCTAGATCTCACGCAAACATTGTATTTCTGCACTTCATTGTAGTATTCAAGGCGAGGATATAGGGCCCGTGTCATCTTCCACGGCGTGAGAGTTACCGTGCGCTTGTTGCAGCTTTCATGATGGCTCTGGAGTATGACGATTACATAGGTACCCCCTTTGCCCAATCGAGTACAATTCTCTACAATACCCTGCAGCCCTAACGAAGAAGGTCGAGAAGCAAGTAAAGCGAGCGGGTGAAGGGTGACCGAAGTTCTGTGGAATATTCCATGACAGACGTTTCAGTTCGTGGATGTACCGTAGGTATATTTAGATGCCCCACAAAGGCAGATCGTGCATAAATTCTTCTTATGTGTGCAACAAGCACTAATCTTTTGTTAGTCAGATCAGCAGTGGAGAACATCAGAACATTATCACTAGCCTCAAAAACCAAGGGTTCAAGTGATGAAAGTCGAATTCCTACCACAGACTACCATACACAAATAACTTTTGTAAATTCTGAAACGCTAAACGGGCCGATAGAACACCTAATAAGCCATGCATACCCCAGTTAAGTCATGAATACCCTGAGGATTGAAAATTTCCGCCCAGTGAAACGCCTGCCTATGCAGATCCGGCAACTTCTCCGAACCACTGCCTCAATGCCCCTGCCAAGACTCCCGGTAACTCCCTGACATCTCGCACAACCAGGTAATACCGAAAAGGAAACCGCTCCATGTACTTCCATCGTACCACCTTACCTTCTTTTGTGATCTCCACGGACTGCAGGTCGAGAATGGATGTCTTGTCTTTCTCCTTCGCAGGGGCCTCGTCGCCAGGCGCAACACTCGGTGCCGGCGCAGTAGAGTCAATGATGATAAACACAATCATGACCCGATCTTCCTGCGCCTTGCGTATCAAACGCTGAATCTCAGCGTGCGAATCGCAAATCCCATCAGACACAATGAGCATGAGTTGCCACAGATCCTCACCCGAGGAACTCGATCCTGTCGCTCTCGCATCTCTAAACAACTCCAGACTGCGATTGACAAGGCCACGGACATTCGTCTTCACGGCGTCGAAGCCGAATTGCTCGAATACACGAACGCCGGCTTCGGATGTAAACGGCTTGTCGAAGTCGTGCGCGACGTTGACATTAGAGCCGAACCCGACGACGCTAACCTCGCCAACTTCGAGCATGGCGAGAGAGCGAGTGACGAGTGTTAGTGTCTTTAGGGCAAGACTGCTGGCGCCGCTTTCGGCCATACTCTTGCTGTCATCGAGGGCGATCATGACTTGGTAGCTGCGCTTGCTGGGCTGGCTGCGACGCAGCCAGATCTTGTCGCGCTTGTAGCCGGACGCAATGTACGGAATGATGCGTTTGAGATTGAGACGCTTGCCGGTGCGGAAATCGCCGCGGAGCTTGGTGGCGAGCGTGGGTGCGAGGATGAGGCGGAGGTGTTCGGTCAATTGCTGAGAAAGGGAATGAGTAGCAGATTCATGAGCAAGCCAGAGCGCACGAGCGGTGTCTGGCGTGATGGTTGTGGCTTCCAGATGGGTGAGCTTGAGTTGTGTCTCAACATCGTTGACTGAGGAGGCATTAGAGGCCTCCTCCTCGAGAGATTGTGCATCCTCCATATCTTCATCTTCGTCGTGCTCATAGGTCTGTTGCTCGCCAACAAAAGCTTGAGGCTGGCCTTCGGACGCATGCGATTGTGGCTGCTCTTCTGGTGCCTTATCTTGGTCGGTATCTTGCATGTCAACGTCTTGCTTGGCGTCCACTTCTTGCTCCTGGTCGTCCTCAGGCCGAGTCGGCATCTTATCGTCTTCGTCGTTGACAGGTAGCGCCATGTCATGATCGAGCGCCGTCGCCTGCTCTTCAGTTGCCGTACCCAGCGCTTGCGTGTCGGCCTGAGTCTCGTCGTCTTGCACATGCTCGAAGTCAGCATCGGCCATGTCGACCTCCTTCTCAATCTGCTGAGCTTGACTCTCTTCTTTCTCGCGCGCTTCGGAGATCTGCTTCTGCTGATTGTACCACTTTTCTAACACATCGCCGAGCTTCTTGAATGACTGAGTCTCGCGTGACTCTTCCGGTTGCTCACCACGACCACCGGCATCGGGTTGGGCTGTCTGTCCAAGTGTTCCGTCTTCAGCAGTTGTCTCTTGCTTTTGTTCCGATGCATCGCCTTCTTGCCCTTCGTCTTGATTCGCAGCACTGGGGGAAGCTTGTTCGTTCTTGTTCTTGTGCGCTTCCTCATTGGCTTCGGTCCCAGCGCCAGCGTCGGCATTGGGGTCGGCTTGGTCCGTATCCTTTGTGTCTTGATTTGAGTCCTCGGGTGTATTGTCGTCTGGAAGAGGGACTGCCTCATCGTCCATGGGCTGGTCAACATCTTCCTCTTGGTCTTCCGGCGGCTGATCTTCGTCTTCGATATGGCCAGTTGTGTCCTTTTCTTCTTCACCTTGCTCTTCAGGCCCAATCTCATTGTCGACAGTATCTGGCTGAGCACTGGCATCTGGCTCATCCATATCCTCTTCTGGCAGATCGTCTCCCATATCCATATCGCCAAGATTGTCATCATCTTTCCCTTCATCGTCCTGACCATCAATGTTGAGATCCTCAGGAAGATCGAGCGTTTCTTCCTCCTTCGCATGCGGATCCATCTTCTCTGTCTCACCAGTTCCCACGTTTTCATCCTGGTCTTCTCCATCCATGTCCATTTCTTCATCCTCTTCCCTCCCTTCTTCGTCTTTCTTCTCGTCGCCGTCGTCTCCATCTTTTTCCTTCTCCTTCTCCTTCTTCTCAGCAGCTACCTGCTCATCTTTATTTTCCGTCCCAACATCTTCTTTGCCCTCTTTCTCTTTGGTGTCGTCTTCGTTACCACCTTCATCCCACATCTTCTCGTCGACAGCACTTGGTCCAAGATCATCGACACTGCCCACCTCACTTTGTACATCATCCTCGCCTTCTTTACCATCCTCATCGCCCTTGTCTTCATTTTCGCCAACCTCCTCTGTCTCTCCTTCCATCTCATTCTCACCCATTTCGACCGCATCTTCATTCTCCTCAATGCTGCCTTCACGCTCGCCCTTCTCTTGAGCCAAGTCTTCAAGATCCTCGTCATCTTGAATGTCCTTTGAGATATCTTCCGCTCCCTCGCCAGCACCAAGACCGGTACCCTCTTCGAGCTTATCGTTCTGGCCCTTCTGCTGATCGGGACCCTTCTCGGATGGTTGACAAAAGCCCGAGCTACCGATTTGGATGAACGATTTCGAAAGCCGGTGCAGCAGCGATGCAGTTGAAGCATGTAGATTGTCGAAGCGCTTCACAAGATATTCGTGGGAATTGGCATACTGATCCAGAATCGGTTTTACTGAAGCGAACAGACCTGCCATGGCTTGAAGACTAGTGCTTTCGTGTAGATTACGCATCTTGTCGAGTAATATCTGTATCGCGATGCTGATCTGAGGTGCATGAAGGGCACTAAGCGCGGCTGACAATGCCCTCTCTTCCTTCACAAGCCAAGATGCATCCTCGGTGGACGCCGGTACATCCTTCAGGGCCGCCTCAACATCTTGCATAGAGCCGAGTATCAGGTCTAGCACAGCAAAGACTTCTTTCGATTGTGTTTCCAGCGAAGCGCGCGATTCTTCCAAGAATGGGATGGTGTTGACTTCGGGGTGTTTGAACAGGAATGAGTGCATCTGTCGAAGAACAACCCTCGGCATATCGTTGTCTTCGATCCAGGCTTTGAACGTGTTCTGGAACTCATTCCTCTCCGCCTTGACAGCATCTTCAAGCATGACATGGGCCTCAGACTGGACATTGATTGGCATTTTTGGGCAACTGGTCACAGCAATCCGCAAAATCTGTAAACTTTGTGGCGTACTGTCGCATGGCCTGCACTAAGTTGTCAAGCTCCCCTGTTTTTCCTAACTTCGCCTGCGCGGAGATAATATCCGCGCCTGTCTTGAGCCCGACAACGAGCCATCGAAGGTTGGGCTGAAGAGAAGAGATCGCTTCAATGTTCTCTTCCGGTGTCCAGAAGAGGGATTGGTGACTGGCCGCACCTAGGTGTTCTACCAAAGACATTGGTGTCGCGATTACTCCGAGATGTTCGGATGCCCTACTCAGCACTTTGCGCTGGCGAATTGTGATGTGAAGGAGGCCTTCCAGATAGCCAATGCTCTTCGCGACGTCATTCGGCGTTAGATCGCCTGAGTGTTCCTTGGAAATTCCTCGGACCTGGATCATGATGTTCAAAGCCTTGTGGAGGTGATATTCTGCCGCTGCCCCAAGAGCTTCCTTTCCTTGCCAAATTAATGGCGCCGACGACAAAACGGTAGACAGGTCGTACTGCTGAACCAAGGTGTCAACACTGAGATTCGAATTGATGCCCATTTGACGCAGCTCCTTCATCGTATCGGCGTACACTTTGCGCTTCTGTGTCTTCAAATGCTGCACAGTCTCTTTGTTATCTTCGGTAAGAGTTGTTGGCGTGGCTTTCTGAAGCTCTAAGATAGACCCAGCAAGCTCCGTGACAAAGTTTTCGATGTACGCAGCACCATCGACAGCATCGATACGTGGAGTAGCTAAACTGTGCATCATCTTGACCGTGACAGGAAGCTTCCTGAATCGCGCTGGTCGCTCAGTCCAACCAGAAATTTTGTTGACACATAGATCGAGTGCCACTGGCTCGATATCTGTTGATACAGTTGCCAGTGTGACTTGTTGAAAAATGTGAGACTCGTCTGGCAGCCCGGTGCCCATGATGCTGGACACTGGCTTGTTCAAAAGCGCTCTAAACTTGCGCACCCACTTGCTCAACTTCTTGTGACTTGTCTTCGCGCTTTGTTTTAGGGCTTCAATATTCGTGTCCTTCCAACTGGCGAGCTTAATGACGTTGCTGACCTCCTTTTCCAGGTTCTGCCGTCCCTTCGTGAGGGCCTCGTTCACCGGCTTTGTCAGGCGCGCATGGTAAGCGATGAAGTTGTCGAGTGCAGTATGTAGGATTTTGAAAGTCTCGACATCTTCCATGCGCATGGCAGCATGCGCGCGAAGCTGTTGAAGGAGCTTGATACGTTGCTCAAACTGTCCAAGCGTCGTGCTATCGAAGAAGCCCTTGAGTGAATCGAGCAAATTCTTCGCATGTGTCCTCATGCTTATCTCGTCCTGGGTGCCCTCAGACGCAGCGATGATCGTCTCGTAAGCGACGAAGAACCAAGTCTTTGCATCGCTGCGCAGCTTCTCAGCCTCTAGGTCGAAAAGCCTTGCCCAAGTGGTGAGCTCAAGCTGGCGCCAGCTCACCAGCAGTCGAGTGAGATCATCGTAAAGGTTTGCTGTGCTGTACTCTTTGCTTGCAACCTTTTGCCACTCATGCATGTATGCGTATAACTTCTCCGCTTTTGTGATGAATTTTGCAACGGGATCAACGTGGCGGAATTCAAGTGTTTCGTCACAAGTGCGCAATACATCTGACAGTGTAGCGTGCTCGGGCCAAACGTCACGAATCTGTCGATAGCGAGCTTGAATTCGATGGACCAGAGTCATGAGGCGCTTGGCCTCAGGCAGATTCGCATCAAAGTAGAAATTATAAGTCTTTCCAGTGCCCGATGTCGATAGAGCGTTCGCTTTGTCCTCCAGCGTCAGGATTATAACTGGGATTGCGTCCTCGTATCTAGTGCATCGAGATTTACCGTCAGACACACGTCGGAGCTCTGAAGCAGACCAGGTCAGTAAAGTCTTGATAGTTTGCGAAGCGTCGCGACCTTCGCCAAACAGATCGGCATGGAGATTTGCGAGACGTATTTCGTGATCTCTGGAAGCGATAAACGCTGCCGTGGATTCTTCTAGAATCTCTTGCTCTGCTTCGTAGTCTGGGAAGAGGGTCGGGTCATCTTCGTCATTCTCCTCATCCATGCCGCGATAGGTGTATAAGCTCGAATCCTTAGCTTGTTTCTCTTGATCCTGAAGTAACTTCCTCTTCCAATCTGCGTAAAAGCTCGTGAATAGATTGTGCACCAAACGCCTCGCCGCGGACTTCGACATGGCCTGGGCATCTGTGCTCTTCACAAGCAGAAGCATGTGCAAAGCGTGCCATCGCACATCGATAGCATGCTCGCCTTGGTCCAACCCATTTTCGAGCCGTTTGATGATATCATCTGTCCTTCCGATCAAACTTTGGCGACCAAAGAAGGGTGTATTGTTGGAGATGTACTCCAGGCTCTTGATGATAGTGCCATGGCTCTTTATCTTCTTGCTCCTTTCGGCCCATCACGGAGGCCAACATTCAAGCATACCAAGAAGCCCACCACAGTATCAGTGATATCGTCGTAGGCACGGTAGCCCTCGGTCAGTCGTTGGATAACACGAGCTATGTTTTGCTGGAGCGTTGTATCTTGGATCGCTTCCTCTACGCTCATGGAGTCGTCGAGAAGAGGTCGAATTATGCTAAGCAAATTGGTGAATTCGCCCTGCAGGTCATCCAACTCGGAAACTAGTGGTCGGACGACGGCAGGTACGGGTGGCTCTGCGCCCATTTGCTGAATTGCAGTCTCAACTTGCCGGATGAGGAAGCTCGTGCCCTGACCAGTGAAGTCGTTCTGGAATTGTCGGAGCGCAGTCAGGGCCTGGTGAAGACGTTGCCTTTCATCGTTGAACATCTTGCGCTCAATCATTGGCCTCAGAGCAGGATCATGTGGATAGTTCGGAACATTAAGACTCAAGCCGAACAGGCCTAATTGGATCCATGCGTTTGCATCTACGCTAGCGGAGGTCGAACTGGCGCATCTTTCGAATCCTTTTTGTAGCGTCGATCGATACAGGCCAGACACCGGTGCGCTGTCGTAGAATGCTACCTTGCCGTCATCAAGCTTTTGACATATATCTACGCAGTGCGATGCATACAACTCGCTATATATATCAAAGTATAATCGTTCATTTGCACGGACGTAATCGTCTGTGATTCGGCCTACCTCAAGAGCAATGTGCTGCGCAATCACTTGTAGTTCGGTTTCGAAGCGATGAAGTTGTGCAAGCTGGACTTCATCGGCGCCATGTAGCTTGGAAAGTATTGACACATGGAATCGTCCCATGAGTGCCATGGCCTCTGCAGGCTGACGCGTGAGCCCGAGATGGCGATACAGCTTGGCGAAATGCTCCGTAGGCGTTTGCGAACTTCCGACAGCGACAGTTGCTAGCTTGGTAGGTCGACGTGCCAACAAAGCTGACTTTGCTCGTGTCGAGAGAACTGTAGCTGAAGGACTCTGGTACAGCAGCCTTGTGCTCTGATGATCGCTAGAAGCCACATCTAGGAACTGGCAGAAACCTTCAAATTCTGTTTCGAAATATGGCGTGGAGACGATGTCGTATTCTGTCGCGCTTGACTCCAGCTCAGCCACAGCAGGAGTGAGGCCTGCAATAAGCTCTGCCGCATCGACCTCATCTTTGCGGGCAAGATCCAACGAGACTGCGATCCTTTCGCGGATCTGTGTCATCTCAGCGAGAGTCAGGCTTGATCTCCACATGACGGAATCCAGTCTATCAGCTAGGCTCTCGAGCTGGAGGATAGATGTAAGCTGGGCCAGGGTTTTGCAGGGAGCGGGCCTGAAGTGACGCCATACTCGCTCAATGCCCAAGCCAGTTGTCAGCTGCACCTCGGAGCCGAATACTGCGATTTGCTTTGAAAGGGTCGTGTTTATGTCTGTAAACATTGGCACAGCGGGCTCGATTTTCATCGGGATGGCAGATGACAGCATCTTCAGGTACGTCTGGAAAGTGGCGCGGTCGAATCCTGATCCTTCGGCAAGTGCAAAGAAAGCCCAGAACAACTTACGCACAGATTTCAAGGACGAAACGCTGATGTGCTGTCCGCCGCGGTGTGCACTCCATAACGCTTCTATCATCTTCACTAGCGCTCCCAAGTAGGAATGAAGAAAGGCAGGCAGCTTTTGCTTCTCTTTGCGACGCTCAAGTCTTGCTGAAGGCAGGCTCGCAAGGGCGAGCTGCATCTTGTAAACATCCAGCATAATTTCATAGACGGATGCGGACCACATTGCCTGGGATAGCGAGGCATCACTTTGGTGCAGCGTGAGTTCGTTGCTGAAAGGATGGTAAGGCACTTGCTGTTGTGCAAGATCGACATCAGAGTCCGCAGCTGGTAGTGGTGACCGGGCTTGTGGTATCCATGCAGTTATCAAGAATTGAGCCATGTGCAAAATGTCGTTTTCCACCGGCTGTGGTAGTGCTTCTGAGGAGATGAGTCCCTGCCTAACTTGTTTCGTGAAGCTCTCCAGCAAGTCACTGTCCTCAAATGACAGCTTTTGGAAGCGTGTACTGCTCGTAGATTCGAGATGCTCATCATTCATCTGGAACCCGCGGAATCGGTACATCTTCGAGTCCAGCGGATAACTGACAGCTCCGTGCTCTTCTACATTCTGTGGCCCAAGCAAGCAAATCTCCACGGCCCGATTCCGCATAGCTCTCGAGAGCTCGCCGAACCTTGGATCCACCGTCATGAAGATCCTAAAGTTCGGATGAGGTCGCACAATCCGCGCTTCGCCGTCGGCCGTAGCGTGCTCGTTGATCGACAAGTAGCCATGTGGCTCGAGGAGCGAGTTTAGTCGATCGAGAACAGCGCTGGAGCAGAGATTAGCGTTGTCCAGCACGAGCCATTTGCCCTGCTCTAAAGCGCGGATAAGTATGCCATCGACCCATTGGAAGCGCGCGCCATCTATGTGCTGAGCTGCAGCTTGGAAGTGTGTTTGGAGATTGTTTATGAGGGTAGATGCTTCCTGACTAGAATCGGCGATCGTTTGCATGATTGATTCTGTGTCGGTGTTTGATACCATCGCTCCGGTTTCAAGCTGCTCGAGAAATCTCAAATGAGCTTGTGACTCTTGATGAGCTGAAGAGATACGGGCCCGAATGTGTTCTTCAAGCTTCTCCATGCAACGATGCACTTCTCGCAACGGGTCTACTTGCTCATAACCACCTACGAGGTCCATAGCATCAACATCCGCATTCATCGCAAAGTTGACAAGATCAGCTCCAGTGAGGCTAGCAAGCTGATGGATGATAGATGTCTTGCCCGAACCTGGCGGGCCGACGATGATGACTGGCCAGCGTTGCTTGACACTGATCAGCAAGGCTTCCATCGGCCCTAGTTGGTTGACCTTGAGAGTCGAGACAGGTTCGGGGCTGCTGGTAACTGGGCTACGCGACAGCAGACCCAGACCAACTTGAAACACTTCGGTACCTACATTGTGATACAGTGCGATGCGTGGTTCGTGGAGGCCGTATACAGTTTCGAAAAGCTTCAGTAGACGAGCTCGGTCGCTTTCGGAGCGGAAGCGCTGTGCAAAGATTGTGTCGAGAAAATCTCTTGCGGAGCCTGTTAGACCATCAGACGCGAGTAGATCCAGCCAGCGCAGGGTGTCACGCAAGTTGAACTCCCAGGGCGCACCCAGCTGGCCGAAAGAACGATGAGTAACAACTTGCTTGTCGAGCTCAGCAACAAAGCCAATGAGTTTGGTAATCTCGTCTTCTGTAATGTCGGGGAATTTGTTTTTGCAGATCAATGCCAAGTCCTCTGGCTGGAATACATCTGCGTACACCACCGTGAAACGGTTGACAAAAGACGCAGGAAGCCCTTTACGGCCACCACCTTGGTGATGTGGGTTTTGAGCTGCAAAAACTCTGAAGTCAGGATGCTTGTGGAAGGTCTGGTCTAGTTCAGAGATATACACCTCGCCACGATGGTCAAGAACTGCGTTGAGGCCTTCCAAAACAGACTGCGAAGCTAGATTCATCTCATCAAGCAAAACCCAGTCGCCGGTTTTCATGGCCTTTAGGAACGGTGCGTCGCGCCAGGCAAAGGTACCAGCTGCTCCTCCTTCGACCGGAACATCGGAGCCGAACAGATCCATCAAGTCAGTCTGTTCAGAGAGATTGAGACGGGTCAGCGGTTTGCCAATCGCCTTAGCAAGTGCCGTGACCAGAGTGGTTTTACCAACACCAGGGTTGCCCTCGAGAAGGATCGGTTTCGGGAGCTGAAGGGCTCGCACAACTCGCATGGCGTTTGAGCACGTTGTTGGCGCTTCCATCGTGAAGTCGGCCGAGCGCGATCCTCTGGTAGAGAATTTGGGTATCGAAAAAGAGCCTAACTGCAAGTGATGGTTGGAGCTTGTAATCGTAATATCATTGAAGTATAGTGGCGAGACATCTTGGCCAAGCAATGAGCCCAGTTGCTGCAAACACGCTTTTCGCTCATCTGATAGAGAGGATTGAGATATGGCGAGAAGACCAGCTGGGTTCGCGCCTAGCGTGTCAATGAAGACCATTGCAGCGCCATGCACAACGCCAAAGATCGGATCATCTTGAGGGCAGCTGCTCACAAACGACACCCAGGCCAGTGTGTCGCGTATTGAAATTGAGGAAGCGACTGAAGTGTTGTACTTGTCGTTGAACCATTGCGAGAACGAAACAATGGCTTCAGCGTATTGCTTTGCAGGGGGACTCAGCTTGGACTGCACGATCTGCATGATGTCGTCCAGGTTAGACATAGCTGGCACCCAAATCTCGGTAAATCGATTGCGAAGTGCAGGTGATAGCTCTTTCTTGCCATAATCACCACCTGGGTTCATAGTTGCTAGAAACTGAAAGCCATCTGCTGCGGTGATCTCTGAATCGCTAGGACCCTTCTCAGCAAGTAACAGTGTTCGAGAGGGCTCAAGGACACTGTTAAGACGTTCGAGGACGGAGTCATCTGCCAGAGAGATCTCGTCTAGAAGGAAATAGTGCCCCTGCTTCATGGCATGAACAAGGCTTCCGTCAGCCCATTCAAACAAGGCAGCGGCTTTGATGCGATTGGCATGAATCTCCTGTCGGTGATTGGTGGGTACCTCATTCGGCATCTCCTTCACGAACTTGTCGTATATGTCTAACAGATGCCCAAGGTCGATCGCTGCAGGATCGAAGTCCAGCCGCTTCGTAATCTCAAAGACGTCTATCACTTGATCCCGGATGAGCTCCTCTATGGCCGCACGATTCCTGATCGGGCGTTGCGCACCAATGAGATCGCCTGTCTCGGTATTTTGGTGTGCATTCAGTATATGAAGCTGACGTTTGTACTCATCGGCCAATAGCTGACAGACTGTTGTTTTGCCGCACCCTGTCTCTCCGATGAGTAGGACAGGCTCGTTGTTCCGTAACGCGTGTGCGACAAGGACAAAAAGTCGCCGCATCGCACCCGTCCACACAACACCAGCGCTGGCGCCTGTAGCATCTTTGCTCAAACGAGCAATGCCAGACCAAGCATCCTCAGCGAACATCTTCTCCACGTCAATGATGACCTTCGGTCCGTTCTTGCTCATCACGGTCTCCATGACATTCTTCACAGCGATACGCTCTTCTTCTTTTCGAACACGTTCAGCGAGTAGCATGTAACCATTGTTAGCAAGATCTTGGATGGTATCTGCCTTTCGCTGCGCCCATCTGAACAAGTCTCGCAACGTCGCGAAACTCTTTTGCTCGAAGATGCGGTTCTCCTGTCGAAGAGTCGAAAGCTCCTGGTACACCTTGACGATCCGCTTACACCAGGATTCTGGGATCATGGTACGGCGGTGCAAGATTTCCGTCAACTCTTCCACTGGTATGTCATCGAAGTGTAGTTCAAGAAAGCGGTTTCGAAATGCTCGTGACAGAACCTTGCGACCACCATACAATCCTGCTGGATTCTGCGTGGCGAACAACATGAAGTCATCGTGTGGTCGGACCACCTCTTGTGTTTCTGGAATTAAGAGCTCTCGGTTGTCGTCGAGAAGACGATTGAGCGCTTCGAGCACGTCTGTTGGTGCCAGGTTAAGTTCATCCAGCACGATCCAATGGCCTTCACGCAGAGCTTTGACAAGGATGCCCTCTTGGAAGATGAGCTTCCCATCAACGCCCGAGATGTATGAGCCAAGGTACTCCTGCAAATCGGTGTGCTCGTGGTTGTTGATGCGCACAAACCTGTTGCCAGACTTCTTTGCGAGATATTCGATCATGCTCGTCTTACCGGAAGAAGTTGGTCCCTGGATGAGCACAGGGTATCGACGCGTTGATGCGGCGCGTATTAGATTATTCATATTGCGCTGGACGAAAGGAGTGATGATGTAGTGAGATTGCTCTTCGACAGCATGCACACCTTGTCGGAGCCAGTAGTGCCCCAGCGAGATGTAACTCCGCCCGTCACTTGGCTGTCGAAGAGGCTGTCCAAGTTCAGTCTTGACCATTCCCTTCTGGGGGAAAAGATGTGCAGTGATCAGTGGCGCAACCAAATCTTCCGACGCTTTGCCGAGGAAGGTCAGGAAACTCATGTGGAAGCCTTCATATAATGCCCTTCGAAGGGTTCGCAAAGGAGCTATCTCCCTCGCGTATGAGAGTGTTCGAGTCAGTGTTCTGAGACTGAAGTGTGCTTTCTGATCAGCACCGTCGACTAGTCTATTCGACTTTGCCATGTCCTGTATCTTGAGGTAGAGAGTTGTGACATCTTGAGCGACCCTGGTGACGTTTTGGTCCGCGTTGTCACCTCCAAGATACTTCTCGACGATGTTGCGCAAGCTCGTCTCATCGCCATCCGGGCTTTCCACGTACAGTTCAGTAAACCGTGAGCGGATACCGGGAGGTAGATCCTTCTTGCCAACATCGGTCGCAGGGTTCATGGCAGCGAAGACTCTGAAGTTGGGGTGCGCAACTACACGCTCCACATTTCCAGTCTCAGTGAGTAATATCGAAGGCCTGCCATCAGGGCCACCACCTAGCAAATCAGTGAGCGCCTCGAGAGTATCCGAAGAAGCTAAATTGATTTCGTCTAGCAGCACCCAGTCGCCATTCCGAACTGCCTTGACGATGTTGCCTTCGAGAAACGAAAAGGCAAAGGCTTCTGATCCGCTGGCTAGCTGTGCCTCCAGATCGTAGAGATTCGTCGCGAACTTCTCCCATCGAGCATTGGGAAAGTTGGCAGGCAAAGAGTCTGTTTTTCTCTTCTTTTTTGGCTGCTCACCGTCTGGGTCAGGGGAGGAGGTTTGCGACTCATGTGCCTTGCGTGCCGCATCCACCATCTTCAAGGCCTCTCTCCACAAAGTGCATACCCGCTTCCATTCGCCTTTCGCCACACGCTTCCCTAGAGTTTCTATGAAGCGTTGGTTTTTCTTTCGGGAGAACGTTGTGTCGAAGATATCATCGAACTCATCTTTGAGCGGAACAACTAGGCTGCGAACATTGACTGGCTTGTAACCACCGAGCAGATCCCCACTTTCGCTCTGTTGGGACAGGTTGAATGCGACTAGTTTGCGGCCGAGCTGTTCCGCCAGATATTGGATACATGTTGTTTTTCCTGTACCAGTTTCGCCTACAAGTAGTAGAGGCTCCTGTCTGTCGACTGCCACGGCGATCTTCTCCAGTAGTCGAAGAGTGTAATTGTTAGTTGAGAATGGTCGGCTGGATCCAGTGCGCTTCGAGACTTTGTATTTCGACAGCTTCACTCGTCCTATCTGAATACTACCTGAAGCCGAGCTCTTTGAAACGACCTGCAGCTTGACTTCACGGTCCTTCAGCAGATGGATCATGCGTTGGGGATCAATGTGCAGTTCTTCAGCTACACACGCCATAACTTTGAGTTGTGCACTCTCGCCACGCAGACTTCCTGCGAAGCAATCGAAACCTTCCATCAAGATTTCGTCTTTCTGCGCAGTACTGAATGGCCGCGAAGGCGCAAGCAGAACATCTATCCTGTCACACCACTTCAGAAGGTCTCGTGGTGTTATCGCTCGTAGCGAGGTGCCATTCTCAGAAGAGAACTTGGGGTCTGAGTAAAGCTCGATCAGGCGAGCGTACACTTTAGTTATTCCGGACAAGTGTTCTCGCAAGCGTGGGTAGGTCGTAGTTATGATCTGCTCAAACTCTGCCAGCTCTGGCATACAAACTGTGACAGAGTGCCAAAGGCGGTGCCCAATCATGTTTTGGCGCGGTACAATCGCCTGGCCGCGGGGGTTGAGCGTACTACGCATCGTGGCAATGATCCGGAATCCCCTCGCTGCTCGTACTGTCTCGCCACGGCTGGGAATGAGAAGTTCGCCACGTTCGATGAGTGGCAGTAGAGTGCTGACAACTTCGTTGGGTGCGCGGTCTAAGTCCTCGATGAAGATCCACCTCCCTTCACGTACAGCAGTGGTGAGGACGCCGGGACGCCAGCTGAAAGTTCCAGGTTTCGCTCCAGTAGCATACATTCCTATCAGTAATTTTGCGTCACTCTGCTCATTGAGGTGAAGGGTAACCATCTTGTCGAGCTTGTTGAGCTGCCATGCGAAGTGGCGCACGAGAAGGGTCTTGCCCGAGCCGGCAAGACCTGTGAGTAGAATCGGACTCGACCCCAGAAGTCCTTGAGCGATGTTTCTCAAGTTTGAGTCGGTTGTTGCTGTCTTGATGAGCTGAGACGGCATCTCTCGTGAAGGAGCTCCATCTAATCTCGGTAGCAGAATGCCGTTCACATTGAGGGTTAGACCAGAAAGCTCTTGGTCCGGCCATGAAGTAGATGGTAATGTTTCTTGTGATTGCCGCTGCTGCTGCTGTATTTTGAGCTGCAGACTCTTCCACCTCTTCTCTTCCCACAGTGACAAGAAGCGATAGTCGATCTGCAAGATTTCCCATGGTCCTTCAACTTCTCCTTGACCGACGTATCGTTTGAGCATCTCCTGGGTAGCATGATCGGCTGCATGAACGTACAAACAGAACGTCCGGATCGCAACATAGCGTATGGCGCGACTAGGGTGTTGAAACAAGCTTTGCAGAACAAGCGGTCGCACATATCTTGCGAAGCCCCTGCAATCATAGCTAAGCAGCCGAAAGGTTCCTAGGAGTGATTCAAGAAGTTGCGGCTCTGTGATAGCGCCCGCCGATGAGGCTGAAGCCTGCGATGCCACAATTGGAGAATTTGACACATGTTGCAAGAATCTTTCCACGTGCTCTGCGAGGTGAGGCGCAAGCGGTAAAAGTCGTCCAAAAGCCGCAACCTTGAGCGCTGATTGCGTATTATTCTGAATCCAGCGCGCACACAGCTCCGTAAACAGGCCATCGTATTGCACAAAAAGTTGATCCGTTGATCCAGGCTTCAAAGCTTCCATGGCAAGCCGTTCGACATTGGGCGCCATAGCAGCTGTTCGGGTGCTGTTATAATCCGAATAGGATTCCTTCTGTCTTGTATGTCGACTGGGGCGCCTTTCCCATAATTTCGACGCGTGATAAAGCCCGAAAGTAGTGTTTCGTGGCGTACATGTATCGTCGTGAAGTTCTCTCGGACTTTTTAGCGGGCCCCGCCAAGCCACCAGACCCAATCGGTAGTCGTCCGCTCCGCAAAATCTCAGGAAAGCAAGTACGACAACGACATCAGCCAGGACGTCGAAAGTCGCCAGTCACGTTACGATCCACTTCACAGCACCAATGGCCGCCCCAGCATCTCGCGCCATGAGGCGTTGCATTTGTACTGCTCGACCTGCCGCATACGTACGACCGACCGTTGGAGCCACACAGCAGAGGATACAGCGGAGATGGGCGTCGGGCGAGGCGAACCCCAAGATTGCGACAATTGTTGATCAGATTAGCCAATTGACTCTCTTGGAGACTGCAGACTTGGTGTCTACGTTGAAGGTAGGTCAAACCCTTGGTTGCAGAGCATAGTGGCGACTTTATGTTCAGCTGCTACTCGCATGCATTCAACATCAGCTGGAACTGGAGACTAACCAGAGACCCAACAGGAACGCCTAAACATACCCGACATGCCAATGGGAGGCTTCGTCGGCGGCGGAGCAGCAGGCGGCGCCGCACCAGCCGCAGCCCCCGTCGAAGAAGAAGAAGCCGCCCCCGCCGCAGCAGAAAAGACACTGTTCAACCTCAAGCTCGAGAAGTTTGACGCCGGCGCGAAGCCAAAGGTCATCAAAGAAGTCAAGGCAATGTTGGGACTAAGTCTGGTGGACAGCAAGAAGTTTGTTGAGAGCGCGCCGAAGATGATGAAAGAGGGCGTGCCAAAGGAGGAGGCGGAGAAGATTGTCGAGACGCTCAAGGCGCTGGGTGCGACAGTCGTTATGGAGTAAGAGGGAAAAGAGAAGAGATGGAAAGTGTATCATAGCATTGCATGTGGCGTGTACAGATATGTTGGGCATGATATCGGATGTATTCAGTACAATGAAGTGGGCCCTGTGAGCCCGTGGTATCTCCACCAAACGCCTCGCTATGCAGTCCATGATTCCAAAGAATAGAAAATAAGCACCCCGGGCCTTTATCCAAAATGTATGGCCTGGTCCCTCTCCTCGCGATCTTCTCTTCCGACCACATAATCATCTTCGCCAATCTCACTCGCCTCTTCCCACAGCTTCTCCATCTCCTCGTCGGCCTCTCCACTGACGGCCCAAATACTCTCTCGCAGCCGCTTGTGTCGCTCCCGATCCTCCTCTATGCGCTGCTCAATCTGGCGCTTGTCCATCTTGACGCCCGCGGTGCCGTTCTTCTGGGTGCCAGGGCTGCCAAACGGCATTTCGCCTTCTCTGCTCTTCAGCACGGCTTCCAGCTCCGAGACAGTTTCCTGCATGAGGATGCCCCTCGCCTGCAGTGTCTGCAGCACTTTCCTCACAACGCGGACATTGGCGCCCTCCTCGCCGACCACACACTCGACGACGCGCAAGATGTCGCGCTGCAGCATGCGCACGTAGCCCATGGCGGAGCCGTCGCCGCTGCCGTTTTCCTTGACGGCCATTTCGCACAGACATTCGATGAAGAACATGATGTTGGCGCGCGTGTTCATGTTGGTGCGCTCGAGCTGCTCGAGGATGCACGAGTGCAGGTCCTCGTCCATTTCGCGGTTCTTGAGCGCATAGAGGGCGGCTTTCTGGAGGGATGTGTGGCTGGCGGAGAGGTGAGAGAGCAGCGTGGTGAAGCGCTGGCGGACTTCGAAAGGGTCGGCCATGGTTGTTGTGCGTTTGGTGCGCTTGGGTGTGCGTACTCTGCAGGAGCACTTCGTATACGCGTAGTGGAGGTGCGAGTGTCGCGCTTTCCATCGGCTGGCCCAAGCTTGAAGCTCGATCCTCGTGCCTCCCCCGCCGACGTCGCTCTTGCAGTCCCATGCAAATATTTGGTAGTCACTCTTGCTCTCCCTGACCCAACACCACCAAAACCAGGAATTGCGAATAGACCAGACACTATGGCAGCTTCCCAGGATCCCAAAGGTCTTACATTGACCGTGCTCGGCTCCGGTACGTCTGCCTCTCACACTGCATGTGGAAACGTGCTAACTTGCCCAGGCACAATGGGCATAGCCATAATGGGCGGCGTAATGTCCTCGCTCGCCAAAGCGCAGACACAAGCAACCATCGACCCAGCCTCGGCCCCCAAGGACACGCCCAACCTGCAGAACTTCGTCGCATGCGACACATGGGCGCCCGCCGAAGCCAACGTCAAGAAGGCCCTCGGCCACTACAACTTCTCGCTGCAGACGTACACCAACCAGAACCTCAAGGGCGTGCAGGCTGCCGACATTGTGCTGCTGTCATGCAAGCCCTACGGCTACAAGGACATTCTCGGTGAAGATGGCATCAAGGATGCGCTCAAGGGCAAAGTGCTCGTCAGCATATTGGCGGGCGTTACCCAGCAGCAGATCGAAGACTTCCTGTACCCCGAGGGCGCGAGTAAGGTGGACGGTGCCTGCCGTGTCGTGCGCGTAATGCCCAATACGGCGTCTTTTGTTGGCGAGTCGATGAGTGTTATCCAGACTTCCACTCCGCCGCTCAGCGAAAGCCAACACAACCTGGTCAACTTCGTCTTCTCCTCCATCGGCCGCGTTGTTTCGCTTCCGCCCGCACAGATGGATATCTCGACGGCGCTGTGTGGATCGGGACCGGCCTTCTTTGCCCTGATATTGGAGGCAGCGGCAGATGGCGCCGTGGCTATGGGATTGCCGAGGGCCGAAGCACAACTGATGGCTGCGCAGACAATGCGCGGTACCACTGGACTGGTTCTCAATGGCGAGCATCCTGCCGTGTTGAAGGACAAGGTGTCGACGCCTAGGGGGGTGCACCATCGGCGGGCTCATGTCGCTCGAGGAGGATGGCGTCAGGGGCAGTGTCGCAAAGGCAATCCGGGAGGCATGTGTCGTAGCATCACGACTAGGTGGTGAGCAAAGGGAGTTTGTCAACCACAGGCGGTAAATGGCGGAGAAGCCTTGGACGAACAAAATGAGCAAAATGATACCAATACTTATTTTCGATTGCATGTTTCATTTTATTGGACCTATGCCTAGCTACCACCCGCCCTACGGCTATACATCGTTTGCCATAGGGTATTATATTACTAGAAGCTAGGAGCACGAGGCCATCACAGACATATCGTAGTTGTACCCTTACCAAGTAGATCTGCGATTACAAGTGCAAATACTCCCAACTTGTAAACACAGCCCATCACCTCCTCTCCCTTTCCCTCTCAACCCTCTCCAAATCCCTCTCCATATCACCCTCCGTCCTAACCCCCCCTCTCCTCGCCTTAGCATTCTTCCTCAACCCCGCCGTGAATAATCTCGCAATATTATCGTCGCCAGTAGCGCCACTCTTCCTGCGCTTATCGCGGTGCGAAGACAGTCCCGACAGGGGCCGAGCATCTGCCTTCGGACCACGAGGCGGTTCAACCTCGTCGTCGTCATACGAGCGTTTGGAAGAAAGGGAAGGTCGAGACGACGAAGAGATGCGCGAGTGCAGAGGCTTGCTTGGCTTATCGCGACTGTCGCGTTCACGAGCATTGCGTTCGCGCTCAGCAGCGTAGTGGTCCTGGGTTTCTTTCGGCGTAGCAGCGCGGCTCGGGATAGACGCGGTGCTCGATTTACGACGGTGGTCCTTTGCGTCACCGTGATCGCGATTGCGGTCCGCGGCTGGACCTTTGGGGGGCTGGAATGCTCGAGGGCCAGTGGGAGGCTGGACGGGTGGCGGCATGACGTTCTTCGAACGGCCCTTGATGCTGAAGCCATTTGCTGAGGGACCAGTGGGCGCATTGAGCGGTGGAGAGGTGGCGCGCTTCTGCATCATTGCGCCAACAATGTCTTCTTCACGATCACTTGGCCTTTTCTCCGTCTTCTCTCGAAACTCACGATCGCCACGCTCGCGCTCGTCATGACGCGGTGAACGCTCGCGATCGCGCTCCTTACGGCTGCGGCGCGAAGAGCGGTGTTTGTCGTCGTCGTAGCCGCGCTCGTCGTCTTCGGCTTCACGACCCTTGCGGCGCTTGCGGTCCCGGTCTTTGTCGCGAGTTCGATCATAGTCGTAATCACGATCACGCTCTTTCCGGTCTTTGCGGTCTCGCTCTCTATCTCTCGATAAATCGCGGTACTTTTCCTTGTCGGGCCTGTGCTTGCGCCGCGAGCTGCCATCAGAGTCCTTCTCACTTCGAGCATACGCCCCCTTGTCGTCGTACTTCTCATCGCCTGGAGATCGCGAGCGGTGCCGCCGGCCATGCTCCTTGCTTCGATCCCGGTGTGATCGTGAAGGCCGATGCTTGTCCTTGTCAGGACGGCTACTACGATACTTGGATTCCACTGATGCAGTTCGTGTACGGTCGCCACGACTCGCTCTGTCGTCACGCCGCTCGTCATCGTCTTCCTCCCGACCCTCGTTTCGTGACGACCGATGAGGGAGCCGCTCTTTCCGCTGATCGTATTCGCTGTCGTCTTTCGGTACAGCGGAGCGCCAGCCGACGTCCCGCCGCGATTGGAGATCTGCTGAACGTGTGCGTCCGCGGTATTCGTTCTTCTTATCATCTCGTTTTCTAGATCTTGATCGCGAGCGCGAAGGCGACTTGTTAGCGACTCGCATGCTTTCGTCCCGTTGCGGAGAGCGCCTGGAAGTGTCAATACTTGTCCCAGTCACTGTAGAGCTGCATGGTACATACGATCGTACCCTACGCTGAGGGCTGGTAGGGGCGATGTCATGGGCAGAGGTCACACTTTTCGGTGTTGGAACAAAACGCGCACTGTTGACTCTACTAGAGAATCCAGTATTTGGGCGACCCTCACGCATGGCTCGTGGACCTGTCGGCGCTCCAGCTACACCAACACCAATTGGCTCAGTAGGCTGATCCGTCAGTACTTTTGCAGCACCATATGCGCCACTGTTAAAGGCTCCACGAGAACCATAGTTGCTGTAACCCATCTGCATGTTGGAGTTGAATGAGGGATCCATGGGAGTATGTTCGAATCCTTGGCCCATCATGCCCTGTGCATATGGCATACCATTGGACGTCATCGGCTGGCTGTAATCATCCATTTCCATGTCACCAGAGTCGAAGGTTTGGATCGGATTCAGGCCACTCATCTCATTGGTGGCATCTCCTGCTTGGTTAGTAGCATCGCCCGCCACCGTAGTAGTATCGCCAGAAGGAGCAGAATCCTGTGCAGTCTGCAGACTGGACTCTGCAGTAGCTTCGGTGCTTGTCTTACCTTCTTCAGTAGGCCCTGCGGACGCCGCTGTCTGCTCATCGCCAGTCTTGGCATCAGAAGCTTTGTTAGCGATTCCGTCAGGCGACTGGCCATCACGCTGTGGAGAAACAGAATCGTCAGTTCGTATTCGTATAAGAGATTTACCGACCGATGGAGTCGGCATTGACGGGTGATGATGAAATCGACGTACGTTGGGGGCAGGACCGCTTCGGCTGCCGGGGCGAGAGTTTGCGTTCTGGAACCCAGAACCAAAGCTTCCATGACTGCCATTTCGCATGTTTCGCTGGGGATGGCCTGCTCCTTGATTGGCAGGGAAACGATTTTGGTTCTGGTTTGGGAAATTATGCTTGGGGAATTGGTTCATCATCTCGGGATATGCTCCTGATTGATTATATCCACCCATTGAGCTGAACCCGTTGTTGTTGTAGTTGCCATAGCCACCACCCATGCCATTCCAACCACCATAGTTGCCATTGTAGTTCATGGCCGACATGTCGTTCATGCCCATGCCCATGTTTCCTCCATAGTTGCCGTACATGCCGTTGGCCATGCCGTTCATGTTGTTGAAGTCTAAATAGTTAGCGACATGTACTTCGCAGCGAGGTGATGTGTTGACATACCCATGGAATTCATGCCATTCCAGTTGCCGTTAGCCATCATGTTGTTCATGCCACTGATGTTATTCATGCCGAAGCCCATGCCGCTGTTGAAGCCGTAGCCCATCTGGCCAGCCATGCCATTCATTGGCATAGGGTTGTTCCCCATCATGCCGCCGTTGGCGGCGTTCGCATTCGGCTCAACTGTGGCGGCATCTGTGCCCTTTGCCACGGTCTGTGAGGCGACACTGCCGCGTCGCTCGGCCTCGTCATTCTGTGGAGCGATGGAGCCCTGATGAGGATTAGTAAGAGGGTAAAGAGAGACAAGATGCATTCGGCGATCACTGGCACGTGCTGCAACAATCATGTTCATTCTTACTAGACCAACCGAGCTAACGCTCTGGTTCAGAAGCTGTCTCAATAGATCAAGTGTGTGTGACAGCAATGCAGAAATAAAAAGGTACAAACCTACCTCGTTCGGTTGTTCAACAGAGCCGGCGCGCTCATCTGCGTCCCGGCTGTTCTCCACTGCGGCCTGTTCATCACTGATGCCTTCCACCTTGGACGCCTCTTCGATGCTGTCCACAGGCTTGTCAGCTGCGTCACCTGGCGGCTGAACCTCGGGGGCGGCAGGCATTGACTCCACCGATGTGGCGGAAGCCTGGGTGGCCGCCTTCTCTTCCTTCTTCTTTTGCTTTTGCAGCCATATCCTAATGGTGTTGCGGAGAGTCTTGTTGGGTGCGCACGACTCGGCCTCGAGCGGTGAGTGGTCGCACGATGGGCACGTCGTCGGGAAAGCAAGCTTCTCTTGGCCTGCACCAGCATTAGCTTCCCTTTGTAAGCAGTTGGGGGACACAGATAGGCTCACATGGGGGGCATATAACTTTGTTACAGCATAGGAGCTTGTATGCGTCGAGAGCAACCTGGCCGTCGAGCGCGCAATAGAAGCCCTTGGGAAAACCAGTCACGGGCAGAGACCTGTGCATGTCAGCGCCTATTCCAGTAGTGACGGGTAGCAAGACTACGCACAGCGCGTACTCCCTCAGGTCGTCGGGGAGGATGTTGGCCATGGTGAGGCTCTGTGCGTCTGCGCCGGTCGTGGTGAGTGGAGGCAGCAGCGCAGTATCCAGCCTCTGGTACGGCGTAGCTTATGTCATTAAATTGATAATACAAGAGAGTGTGAGAAAGTGGTGAGACAAAGGCGCTCGAGGTAATTGCAGACAAGCGGCCGATTCGCTTGCAGTTGGCGCGCGTGCGAGTTCGTGACAGGGCGACGTTGGAGTCGCGACTTCTGGAAAACTTCCGCGGCGGACGTGCACGTGATGGTTGGGTAGCGTCACGTCACCTGCGCGGCACGACCCCTGTCCACCACCTCGTCGTGCACAGCAAATTCGTCTGCATTGTGCAGTCACTTTCCATGTTACTTGAATGCCCAATTCACGGAACATCGTCTTGGTCAACGTGAGAGTCTCCAGACGCGTTCCTTGCTATAACTTGTCAACAACTCACAGCACATCTGATAGCCTGGAGCTATACACAAGGCATTGCTGCTGCATCCAAAGTGTAGCGATACTTTGTATATCTTCAGACTACCATTTCATCAGCAAAACCCTATACCATTCTTCGCGCAGATCGAACCAGCAAAACACCCCAACGTCCGCTAATCAAACCTAGTCTAGCGTTCTTGTCATCGTCATCGCACGTTCCATGCACATGTCTCCCCATTTTCGGCTCGACCCGGACCTGTCTCCTTCGTCCCAAACAATCCACCATGATCCTTAGCCAGATATCCTACTTGGACTGCATAGCCTTTCTCGTATTTCTCACGCCTCAGATTTTTATACAGATTGGTTTGTTTCCCATCTTGAATTGGCTGATTCCAGCGTTGCCATGGCTCGGTACGTGATCCGTGATACTCTATCCAGGCATGCTCATACTCATAGTCCCGAAAGTCATTGTGATTCCGTATCAATTCGTAAGAGAGAGACTGTTCATTCCCCATGAGAAGCGCACGCCATTTGTGCAAAAGGCAACTCCATTCCAAGACCTTGTGATCCGCTTTGTTCGCTTCGCGTTCGCGGAAATGCCTGCTTTCATAGGCAGAACATTCTTCTCCAAAGCAGTCTCGTTACCGTTCCTGAGATTCCGGATGCTGAGGCATGGCTTCGTTACTAGTCCCATTCGTTGGACCGAGGTCACGCGACCAAACTTCAGGGGCGTCTATATCGTACATGACCAGCAAGAACAGCCTGATATCATAGTGTATTATCTACATGGCGGGGGCATGTCTATGGGAAGTAGCTACTTCTACATGGAATTCCTGCTCGCATGGGTCACGCTCCTCAAGTCTGCCGGATATCGCAACCCAGCTCTCTTTGCTCTGGAGTACACCTTGGTTCCAGATGCCACATACCCCACCCAACTCCACGAGGCAGTCGCTGGATACGAACACGTACTATCTCTCGCTCAATCATCAGCACGTATAGTGGTAGGTGGCGACTCAGCCGGCGCCACCCTAATCCTCTCTTTCCTATTGTACATATCCGAACACCCCGAGCTGCGCCACCAAAAGCCCGGTCTCGCAATCATGATATCACCCTGGGTCACCATTGTATCCAGCAACAACCGCAATACCGCTTCCGACTACCTCAACTCCGCAACCCTCAAGCTCTACGGCATGCAATACATTGGCGACAAAGTCTCTCCTTCTGATCCCATCGTGTCACCGGGGTATTGCAAAGACGTGAAGAAGTGGAAAGAAGCTAGTCCAGAGCACGGATGGTACTTTGTATACGGAAGTGAAGAAGTGCTTGGCCCAGAAACCAGGCGGCTGATCACATTGTTGAAAGAAACGGGCAAAGAAGTGGAAGTTTGGGAGGAGAAGGGCGGGATTCACGCATGGCCTGTTGCTAGTCTTTATCTTGGGGAAACTAGAGAAGAGAGGCTAGCTGGATTAAAGAGTATTGTTAAAGCTACGAAGGAGAGTATATAATCTTTAAACATTTTAATAAATAGAAGAGAGAAAGTTAGTACTAACAGCACTACTACGTAGGCATTTTAATACCTAGCTTCTATAGTATACTCTATAGGTTCGCTGCTACTATAGGTTTGCTGCTATTCTTTGCTAAGCTCTTACTAAAACTACTATACTTTAGCCTAAATTAGCTTATTTTAGCTCTATATAGCATAAAGTAAGCTATAATATTATTCTAAGTCTACTTCTACTATATATTTATATATATGCGTATTATATCTAACGTAACTAGCAACTAAGTTATATAGATAACTAAACTACGTATCTTTATACTATTATAACTTAATACTATAGTAGAGTTATATACGTTAGTGCAGAGCCTAAGCCTAATAGAATATTAAGCAAAGTATAAAGGTAGAAAGAAGCAGTTTAGAACTTAAGAACTTAATTAACTACTTCTATATTAACGAATTCTATTAGTAAGCTAGCTATATTAGTAAGCTAGCTACTTTTTCTTAGTAATATATCTTATAGATTAGCAAGCTATATAGATTAGCAAGCTACTTTTACTAAGCTTCTACTAAAACTACTCTATCTATATAGTGCCTTAATAATAGCACTAAATTAATACTTCTAATAAATATAAGATATAGACTACTCTCTAAGCTCTTAAATAAGATATAATATTCTCTATATAACGCACTATAGCTATCTATAATATTTCTTAACTAACTCTAGATTATTAATATACTAGATAACTTTCTTAAGTAGATTACTAGCCTAAAATAATAAATCTAACTTTAACTAAGAAGAATATAGTTATTAAGTATATACTTAAGCTAGTTATATATAAGTTTTCTCTTAAGCTTATAGCTATAGCTAATATAGCTAATTCTATATACGCTAAGTATAGTTTAGGCTAAGTTAGCTTAAATTAGCTTAGTATATTTATTAAATACTACTCTAAGCTCTAAATAAAGTTTAATTATAAATATAAACTATAAAAGAGCTCTCTATAAAGATTCTAAGATTATATAAGACTAGTTTTAGCTTATAGAGAATATAAAAGCAAAGTATAGTATTCTTAATAATAATATATATAACTTTAATAAGTCTAGCTTTATAATAAGCTAGATCTTAACTAGAGTAGTTATTATAGCTTTAGAGTAATAAAGATAGCTAAAGATAGTATAATAAAATAATTAAAAGTAGATAATAGTTATTTAGAATATTAATATAATAAAGTAAGCTATTTTATTCTTTATTACTCTTAAAAGCTACTACTATCTTCTAGCTTAGTATAAGAAGAAAGATTTATCTTATAATTAAGTTATTATAGTCTCTAAGAATAGCTAAATAATAAATAAGCTTAGTCTATAGTAACTAAAGTACTTTAATAAGTATATAAAAAACTATACTATTAAGATAATATATTTACTTATTATTAATAGCTATAAAAGCTATAACTTACTTAAATTCTAGTAATACTATAAGAATAATAAGATTATTACTATCTATATACTGCTTTACTTATTAACGTATTCTACTACTAAGTAACCTACTCTACTAAGTAATCTAAAATTTCTTAGCATAAGAAACTTTAGTTATGCATCTTTAATTTTATTACTATCTATAAGAGAGCCTATATATAATATGCCTGCATCTAATTTAGAAGATACCTCTATATTCTTTTTATATATTTACGTATTATACTTAGTTTTACTATAGTTTCTATAGCGTTATCTAGCTAGTTAAGCTCTTTCTTAATTACTTTTATTATAACTTCTCTTTAACTACTTAGTAGCTATAGACGCTTCTATAGCTATCTGCATTACTATCTTACTATACTCTATAGTACTACTCTGCTAGATCTGCTTACGTTTTTATAATTTTCTCCTTAGTTATCTTTACTAATTACTTTTTAAGCTTATATATCTAAGCACATTAAAGAGTATTTTTATATAGTATTAGCTTACTATCTTTTATAAGCTAGAAGAAGCTAGCCTAAGCTATAATAGATAACTAAAGTAAGATATTGCATACTAGCTTTAACTAAGATCTAAACTTATAAGTATTGCTTAGAGTCTTTAACTACTATAGAGTTACTAGAAGAAAGAGTTCTAGTAGAATATATAGACGTACTTTAAGGTAATCTAATACTATCTATATATTAATAAGAATAAGTCCTAAAGCTTTAAAAGCCTTTTAATAGTTCTCTTCTATAAATATATTAAAAAATGCATTTTTAAAGATAGAAAGAAAGCTTTCTTTATTAATATAGAAAATATATTTCTATACTAAGTTCTAGACGCATTTAAAGTACTTATGCTTTAATAGTAAAAAAAAGACTATATTAAGTAGCTAGAAGATATATAATAAATAAGCTAGTATATAGAAAGTTAGAATCTTATTCTTAACGTAGTAGTCTTTAAAATTCTAGTTAAAATAGCTTTTATAGCTATCTAGAATAAGTAGCTTATACTCTTTTACCTAACGTGCCTTTATATGCGCGTTAAAATACTTTAACTACTCTAGACTAAGCATATTATTTATCTAGCTATTCTTAGAGACTAATAGCTTCTAATTATATAGTATTAAAGCCTTCTTATACTATACTAAGATATAGATATATTCTTTATAGATAATAAAAGATAGAGTTACGTATCTAGCAGCGTAGATACTCTAGATTACTATAATCTACTTATAATTACTTAGCTAAATAAGCTTAGGTTAAGCGCATTTCTCTATGCTTATAATAATCTTTATAGAGCTAATTACGCCTATCTAAAAGCTAGTCTTATTAAAGTTATGCATATTATTCTAGTAAATACTATACTTAGCTATAGTCTCTTCTATAAGCTTAAACTACGCGCTAATAATCTTTAGGTCTTTCTAGAGTATTCTCTACCTATCTTTAGCTTAATTAAAGGCTATCTTAAGCTTAGATAAATATATTATAAAGCGCTTAGCCTAGTACTTACTAATAAGCTTACTACCTCTTATATCTAGTAGCTTATTAGCTATATCTGCTATCTTATATAGCTAGAGCGCAAATCCTTATAAATTAAAATTAAGTATATATTAGATAATTATCTGCTCTTTAGTTATAGTAAGTTTCTAGTAGTTAGAGGTAGTTTCTGCGCATAAGGTAAGTCCTTTAATATAGTAATTAAGAGTATAGTAATTAACGTTAAATGCAGTAGTAGCAGCCTAGTAGCTTTAGAATTATTTAGATTATATAGCGTTAATAGCAAGCTAAATTCTACCTTTATTTTAGAGTAATAACGCGTTAGGTAGTTAAGATATATTAGAGAAAAGAAGAATATATATAGCTTAGCAACTTTTAAGTTACTTAGTAGAGTAGATTACTTAGTAGTAGAATACGTTATACTTTCTATAGCTTTTTAATATAGATTATTTTATCTCTTTAAAGAAAGTATATAAATGCTAAGTTAAAGAGCTTATATATAACTAAATATTGCAGTATTAATATCTAAGAATAGTAAAGTGCTAATCTACGTAACTAAGCTAACTAAGCTTAGAAAGTAGACTAACGTTTCTCTATAATCTATTTATATATTTAAGCTAGCTCTTCTAATATATTAGAAGAGTAGTAATTAATATAATCTTTTCTTTTAAGTTTACTTAGCTATAATAGGTTATAAGGCTTAGCGCTATAAGATTATAAAGTTAATTCTCTACTATATATCTTATATTTGCTAAGTACTTAAATTAATTATTCTACTACTCTTATTTCTCTTAAACTTCTTAAATTATTCTAATAAAATCTATCTAAATAGACTAAATAAACTAGATAAAACTTTCTTCTACTATTACTCTTTAAGCTTATAAAGACTAGCTAGCATAGTATATTTAGCTTAAAGTTTATGCTATTAGAAAGTAAATATAAGACTATATTAATCTAGATAGCCTATTATAGCCTAATCTTCTTAATAATGCTTCTTTATACTTAGAATTATTTACTAAGCTAGTTAAGCTAAAAGATCTTCTCTACTAGAGCTATTAATAAAGTAAAAGCTAATTATAAAAAGTCTTTATAAGAATATATTAAAGATATTAAAGCTTATAAAGTTTTATTAGCTAACTATAATAAGAGAGTCTAATAATAGAAAGTTCTTACTACTAAATAGTCTTAAAAAGCTACTGCACTTATAAATCTTTAAGACTAGATTATAAAAATAGTCTTACTAGATCTTCTTAAGCTTATCTAGATTAGGGCTTTTCTAGATAAATAACTTAAGCTTCTAATTATAATATAAACTACTTAAAAATTAGCTAGCTCTAAGTAAGGGCTATAACTTAGAATTAAATTAGATAAGAGTACTAAGCTTATCTAGATAAAGCTAAGTATAGCAGGATTAAACTAGAGAAGTAGTTTAATAAATAGTAAACTCTTTATATCTAAGCTAAGATATATAATATCTTAGAGATTAAAGAGACTATTACTTTTACTAACTTTCTTAAGATAATTATAGTAAAATATACTTTAGAATAAGCCTAATAGAAATAAGTAGAAGTTATAGAAAGAGTATCTCTAGAAAAGAATAATCTAATATTAGATAATATTGCTATAGTATTTAACGCTATGCTAACTAAATAATTTAGAAGTATTAGAAAGAAAAAGAGACTATTAATCTTTATAGTACTAACTTTAAATAAGCAAACTGCTTAGAGTAGCTTTACTAGAAGAACTAAAAAAAGCTTAAAAGTATACTTATATATTAAACTAAACTCTTAAAAGCTTTAATTAGATAAGTTTTATTACTAGAAACTAATTAACTGCTTTAAGCTTTAAATAGCAGTAATAAGATTAGCTTTTAGTAATCTAATTAAGCTTAATAATATAGATAAGAAAAAAATCTTAGAATAGTATAATAAGCCTAAGTAGAAAGAACTCTATAAATAGATTAAGAAGTTAGAATAGTTTATTTTCTCTAGAAAGAAAAGATTAAATAAAGATTACTCTATTACTATTTAAGTAACTTTAATTAATCTAA